ATTGTGTGCATCTACTAAAGTCTGTTGGACTAACGTTCTGCGTCCTGCGCCTGATTCCACCACCACACCCACCTACATCATCATTGACAGAATCACACACCCGCTCGAATGGAATCAGCAGGAGCCGCAGCAGCACAGGCGACGCTGGAGGACAGGGTCCGCGAGCAGAATGACCAGATCCTGCGGATGGGGTCCGCACTGCAGGAGGTGATCACCACCATCCGAGGCTGGGAGACCCGAGGGACACCTCCACCACCATCTTCCTTGCCCGCACCATCGGCAAGTCAGCCCATTCCCGCTCCGGAACCCAGAGGAGTTCGACTCTCGCTCCCGAGGGCCTACGATGGGACCGCTGCCGGGTGTCAGGGATTCCTTCTCCAGGTGGAGCTTTACCTGGCCACCGTGCACCCGGCGCCCTCGGGACACGAGAGCGTGTCCGCCCTGATCTCCTGCCTTTCCGGTAAGGCGTTGGAATGGGCCAACGCAGAGTGGAGGAGAATAGACGCTACCACCATCACCTACGACGAGTTCTCCCGCCGCTTCAGGGCGGTGTTTGACCATCCCCCGGAGGGGAAAGCGGCGGGGGAGCGTCTGTTCTGCCTCCGGCAGGGGAAGAGGAGTGCCCAGGAGTTCGCCTTGGAATTCCGTACTCTAGCGGCGGATGCAGGGTGGAATGAGCGGGCCCTCATCGATCACTATCGATGTAGTCTACGTGAGGACGTCCGTAGGGAGCTGGCCTGTAGGGACACCAGCCTCTCGTTCGACCAGTTGGTCGACATGTCCATCAGGCTGGATACCCTGCTAGCTACCCGCGGGCGTCCCGAGGGGGGTCCGTCCATTTCACCCTCCAGCGCCTCCGAGCCGTGCCCCATGGAGCTCGGTGGCGCTGGCCCTAGAGAGAGGAGGGGTCGGATTACGAGGGGGTCCATCTCCTGCACCAACTGTGGTCGGGGAGGACACTCCGCGGCTAGGTGCTGGGGATGGCCTCCTAGGGGAGAAGACGACAGGTCCCCGCACTGGGGAGTCCTTCCAGGTGAGTAGGCGCCCCACTCACCCAGAGCTCTCTGTTGCACACTTCTGTATACCTGTGCGTTTTCCACAGGTAGCACCTCATTCCCAGCATAAGGCGCTGGTAGATTCAGGCGCGGCTGGGAATTTTGTTGATAAGGAATTTTGTTTAGCCTTAGGGATTCCCCTTCTCCCTGTTGACGTTCCCTTCCCCGTTCATGCCCTAGATAGCCGTCCGTTGGGTGCGGGCTTGATCAGGGAGGTCACGGCGCCACTTAGGATGTGTGCGCAGGGGGGTCATCAGGAGATGATCCAGCTATTTCTGATCGACTCGCCTGCGTATCCGGTGGTGCTGGGCATGCCCTGGTTGAGTACCCATAACCCATCTATTTCGTGGCAGGAGAGGGCTCTGATGGAGTGGTCTGCCCAGTGTGTGGGTCGATGTTTAGGCGTTTCCGTAGGGGCTACCTCGGTGGAGAGTCCAAACCAGGTGCCCGCATTGCACGTTCCCCCTGAGTATGGGGATTTGGCTATTGTGTTCAGTAAGTCGAGGGCGACGCAGTTGCCTCCCCATAGGCAGGGAGATTGTGCGATAGACCTCCAGGCAGGAGCTGCGCTCCCACGGAGCCATGTGTATCCTCTGTCTCAGGAGGAGAAGAGAGCTATGGAGACTTACATAGACGAATCTCTGAGACAAGGATACATACGGCCTTCCACTTCCCCCTGCGTCCTCGAGTTTCTTTTTTGTGAAGAAAAAGGATGGTGGGTTACGCCCGTGCATTGATTACCGTGGTCTCAATCAGATCACGGTGAAGTACAGTTATCCACTCCCGCTGATTGCGACCATGACGGAGTCATTGCACGGGGCGCGTTTCTTCACTAAATTAGATCTCAGGAGCGCGTACAACTTGGTGCGCATTAGGGGGGGCGATGAATGGAAGACAGCCTTTAGTACCACCTCGGGCCATTACGAGTATCTTGTCATGCCATACGGGTTGATGAACGCTCCTTCAGTTTTCCAATTATTCGTGGATGAGATCTTCAGGGACATGCAGGGGCAGGGGGTGGTCGTGTACATAGATGACATTCTCGTGTACTCGCCTACCCGAGTCGAGCATGTGGCCCTGGTGCGCCGAGTGTTGCGGAGGCTGTTGGAGCACGACCTGTATGTCAAGGCAGAGAAGTGTCTGTTTTTCCAAGAGTCGGTTTCCTTTTTGGGTTATCAGTTGTCTGCGTCAGGGGTGAAGATGGAGGTAGACCGGGTGTCAGCCGTGCGTAATTGGCAAACGCCAACCACTGTGAAGGAGGTGCAGCAGTTTTTGGGGTTTGCGAATTACTACTGGAGGTTTATCCGGGGTTTTGGACAGGTGGCAGCTCCCATAACGTCTCTTTTGAAGGGGGTCTGGTGCGTCTGCAGTGGTCAGCCGAGGCGGACAGGGCGTTTGGGAGGCTGAAGGACCTGTTTACCTCGGCCCCGGTGCTGGCGCATCCGGATCCCTCTTTGCCATTTCAGGTAGAGGTGGACGCGTCAGAGGCCGGTATAGGAGCCGTGCTTTCGCAACGGTCCGGCGCGCCACCTAAACTCCGCCCCTGTGCTTTTTATTCCAAGAAGCTCAGTCCGGCGGAGCGAAAAACTATGACGTAGGGGACAGGGAGCTGTTAGCCGTGGTACAGGCCCTAAAGGTGTGGAGGCACTGGCTTGAGGGGGCTCAACACCCTTTCCTCATTTTGACGGACCACCGTAACCTGGAGTACATCCGGGCAGCGAGGAGGCTGAACCCTCGCCAGGCGAGGTGGAATATGTTTTTGACCCGGTTCACATTTAAGATCACGTACATCCCTGGGTCACAGAATGGTAAGGCAGACGCACTGTCTCGGCGGTATGACACGGAGGAGAGGTCCGTGGAGCCCACTCCCATACTGCCGGAGTCTTGTCTGGTGGCACCGGTAGTGTGGGAGGTCGATGCTGAACTCGAGCGGGCGTTACGCACCGACCCTAGTCCACCTCAATGCCCGGAGGGTCGGAAGTACGTTCCACTCGAGGTTCGGGATCGATTGATTTATTGGGCTCACACGTCACCCTCCTCTGGACACCCTTGTATCGGCCGGACAGTGCACTGTCTTAGTGCCAAGTACTGGTGGCCCACGTTGGCGAGGGATGTGAGGGTTTATGTTTCCTCCTGCTCGGTGTGCGCCCAGTGTAAGGCGCCTAGACATCTGCCTAGGGGTAAGTTATTACCCCTGCCCGTTCCACAACGACCATGGTCTCACCTCTCGGTGGATTTCCTCACTGACCTTCCTCCTTCACAGGGGAATACCACTATACTGGTCGTTGTGGACCGGTTTTCTAAGGCCTGTCGTTTGCTCCCTATGCCGGGCCTTCCTACTGCCCTGCAAACCGCCGAAGCACTATTCACCCATGTGTTCCGGCACTACGGGGTACCCGAGGATATTGTGTCTGATCGAGGTCCCCAATTTACCTCCAGAGTCTGGAGAGCTTTTATGGAGCGGTTGGGGGTCTCGGTGAGCCTCACCTCGGGTTACCACCCGGAGAGTAATGGGCAGGTGGAACGTGTGAACCAGGATGTGGGTAGGTTTCTTAGAACATACTGCCAGGACCGGCCGGAGGAGTGGGCAAGGTACGTTCCCTGGGCCGAAATGGCCCAGAATTCCCTACGCCATTCCTCCACTAACCTAACCCCTTTCCAATGTGTGTTAGGTTACCAGCCGGTTCTGGCACCTTGGCAGCAGAGCCAGATCGAGGCTCCTGCGGTGGATGAGTGGGTGCGGCGCTCGGAGGAGACATGGAACGCTGCACACGTCCACCTGCAGCGGGCCCTCCGTCGTCATAAGGCGAGCGCCGATCTCCACCGCAGTGAGGGACCGGTGTACGCACCTGGTGATCGAGTCTGGCTCTCTACCAGAAACCTGCCCCTCCGCCTGCCCTGTCGGAAACTGGGTCGGCGGTTTGTAGGGCCATTTAAAGTCCTGAGAAGGTTGAATGAGGTGTGTTACAAATTACAACTACCTGTTGAGTATAAAAGTATTAACCCCTCGTTCCATGTGTCTCTTCTCAGGCCGGTGGTAGCTGGCCCACTCCAAGAAAGTGAGATCAGGGAGACTCCTCCGCCCCCATTGGACATCGAGGGGGCACCGGCGTACTCCGTGCGGTCCATCTTGGATTCGAGACGTCGGATGGGGGGTCTCCAATATCTAGTGGAGTGGGAGGGGTACGGCCCGGAGGAGCGGTGCTGGGTGCCGAGGAGAGACATTTTGGACCCGTCTCTCCTGACGGAATTCCATCGTGGGCACCCGACGCATCCTGCTCCGCGTCCTCCTGGTCGTCCCCGAGGCCGGAGTCGGCGCACGTCTGGAGCCGCGCGTCAAGGGGGGGGTACTGTCACGGTTTCGGCCGAGGCTGCCTCTCTTCCTTGCTCGGGCAGGCTTCGGCGTTCGTCGTCTCTGGAATACTAGCTGCCACCGTTGCATGTTTCTATGTTCGTTTGCTTTTGTCTGATTGTTGTTACACCTGTTATCGTTTAGTGTATTAGTGTCCTATAAGGTCTCGTTGTGTTTGTCTAGTGTTGTGTGTGATTGTTTGACTGTCGTGCCGGTAGGCTGTTATTCTACTGTGCTCGGTTGAGCTATTTCTCCATATTGTTTGGAGGGTTTTGTCGCACCTGTTAGTGCGCCCGTTATTTTCGCCTACGTGCGGAGTTTTGCCTCAGGGCATTTATTCGTGCTTGTTTTTGTGTGCATCTACTAAAGTCTGTTGGACTAACGTTCTGCGTCCTGCGCCTGATTCCACCACCACACCCACCTACATCATCATTGACAATGCTCGAGAATGACCAGCATGCTCGAGTGGCTCCTGATGATGAGGGGAGGGGCTCAACTCGTTTGCCACTCAACGTTTTGACCAGGATCTCTGGTGTTTTGACTAGGGTTTCTGGTGTTTGACTATATGCTCTGTCTCTGTCTTTTTGTTCTAGATTGATAACGTCGGGGCGTTCATGTGGCAGTCTCAGCTGAGGCATCGCTGGGATGACCATAACAAGCACTGCTTCGCCAACATCTGTGATGCCCTGTTCAGATACTCCTACGAGTACCTGGGAAACACCCCGCGATTGGTCATCACCCCGCTGACTGACAGGTGCACAGACCAATCACAGCTCAGCTCATATGAATTCTATCTAATCCATCAAAATATATATTTTCACATTTTATCTTGACAGGATGTTTCCTCTTCAATACTCAGTTTGTGTCACGACTTCCTCTGAAGCTGCCACCTCTCCTTGTTCAGGCAGGCTTCGGCGTTCGTCGTCACCGGCCTTCTAGCCACTGCCGCTGTGATGAGTGTGATTAGAAGGAGTCAGGTGCAGGAGGGTAAATCACCGAATACAGAGTTTATTTCGTCGTACACAGTTGCGCTGGAGAGCGACAACAAGGTACGGGTAGCTCCAACATAATACAGGCACAGGAGAATAATCTACCCCGGCAATACAAGGTACGAGTAGCTCCACCGAGCTACACTCAACTCACATAAAACAATCACCCACAAGGACAAGGGGGCAGAGGGAACACTTATACACGGACTAATGAGGGGATATAACCAGGTGTGTGTAATTGACAAGACAAGACAAATGGAATGATGATATATGGAGCGGCAGTGGCTAGTAAGCCGGTGACGACGAACGCTGAAGCCTGCCCGAACAAGGAGGGGAGGCAGCCTCGGCGGAAGTCGTGACAGTACCCCCCATCCCCCCCCTTGACGCACAGCTCCACCAGCGCGACGGCCACGAGGACTTGGAGCAGGGCGAGCCGGATGGCGACGGTGGAACTCCCGCAACAGGGAGGGATCGAGGATATACCTCACCGGGACACAGCACCGTTCCTCCGGACCGTACCCCTCCCACTCCACAAGGTACTGAAGGCCCCCCACCCGACGCCTCGAATCCAGGATGGAACGGACATAGTACGCCGGGGCCCCCTCGATGTCCAGAGGAGGTGGAGGGACCTCCCGCACCTCAGACTCCTGGAGTGGACCAGCCACCACCGGCCTGAGGAGAGACACGTGAAACGAGGGGTTAATACGGTAATCAGGGGGAAGTAATAACCTATAGGTGACCTCGTTGATTCTCCTCAGGACTTTGAACAGCCCCACAAACCGCGGGCTCAGCTTCCGGCAGGGCAGGCGGAGGGGCCACGGTGCCAGAACTGGTTGGTAACCTAAAACACATTGGAATGGCGTTAGGTTAGTAGAGGAGTGGCGGAGAGAGTTCTGGGCATATTCTGCCCATGGCAAGAACACTGACCACTCCCCCGGCCAGTCCTGGCAGTAGGACCGCAGGAACCTACCCACATCCTGATTTACACGTTCCACCTGCCCATTAGACTCAGGCTGACCGAGACCCCCAGACGTTCCATGAACGCCTTCCAGACCTGGGATGTGAACTGGGGACCTCAGTCAGACACTATATCCTCTGGTACCCCGTAGTGCCAGAAGACGTGTGTAAACAGGGCCTCCGCAGTTTGCAGAGCCGTGGGGAGACCGGACAGAGGAAGGAGGCGGCAGGCCTTGGAAAAGCATTCCACATCGACCAGAATGGTGGTGTTACCTTGGGAGAGGGGAAGATCAGTCAGGAAATCAACACTTAGGTGAGACCATGGTCGTTGTGGAACTGGTAAAGGTTGTAACTTACCCGCTGGTAGGTGCCTAGGTGCCTTACTCTGGGCGCACACTGAGCAGGAGGAGACATACACCCTCACGTCCTTAGCCAAGGTTGGCCACCAGTACTTTCCGGTCAGGCAGCGCACTGTACGACCGATACCTGGGTGACCAGAGGAGGGTGACGAGTGTGCCCAGTAGATCAGACAATCACGGATAAGAGCAGGCACGTACCGCAGCCCAGCTGGACACTGAGGTGGAGATGGATCTGTGCGTAATGCCTGCTCTATATCCGCGTCCATCACCCATACTACCGGCGCCACAATGCAGGAGGCTGGGAGTATGGGGGTGTTGTCTCTGGGCCTCTCCTCTGTGTCATACAGCCGTGGCAATGCGTCTGCCTTCACAAAGAAGAAACTCGAGGAGGCGGGTGAAGTGGAAAGTGATCTGCTCACAATGAGTCTCCTGGGTAATCATGGTGACTGGTGCAGTAACTTCCTGAACAAACCCGGACCCTAATGGTCGACTATCAAGTGCTCTGATGGGGAGTGGAATGGATAGGGGAACCAATGAAATTCCTAGACGGCGTGAGAATGCCCTGTCCATAAAGTTCCAAACTACATCTTAATCGACTAGCGCCTTACACTGGGGAACTACCATGTGATCGGGAAAGTAGATGGGTAGGGTACAGTGCGCAGCAGAGGGTAGTGTTTGATACTTGAGGTGATGCGAGAGTGCCCTGCCTGCCGCCTCCAGACCCAAAAGAGCGTTGACGACCACGTGTGGTGTACAGTCCCTTCGTGCCACCGAAGTGACACTCTCGCTGTCGTCCTCCGCTCTCTCGGATCGCGGTTCCACCCAGCTCCATCAGCTCGGGATCCGAGTCGGCCGGGGTGGGAACGGGCAGACCCCTTCCAGGACGTCCTCTGGCTGCCAGCAGGTTGTCCAAACGGATGATCATGTCCACCAGTTGCGTGAAGGACAACATGGTGTCCCGGCAGGCTAGCTCCCATCGGACGTCCTCCCGAAGATGGCACCGGAAGTGGTCGATCAGGGCCCGCTCGTTCCACCCGGACTCCACAGCAAGATTCCGAAACTAGTCCTGCGCGGTCCTCGTCCCCTGCCTCAGGTGGACCAGCCGCTCGCCGCCACTCGACCTTTGGGCGGGTGATCAAAGACATCCCGAAAGAGGAGAGCGAACTCCCCGTAGTTCTCCAACGCGGCTCCTCCTTCGTTCCAAACCGCGTTGGCCCACTACAGGGCTTTCCCCGAGAGGCAGGAAACGAGGGCGGACACCTTTTCCCACTCCGATGGGGCCGACCTGATGCTGGAGAAGTAGAGCTCCAGTTGGAGGAGGAATCCTTGGCAGAGCGCTGCCATCCCGTCGAACTCCCGTGGTCAGGATATCTGGATCCCTCCGGGTGCTGGGGTGTGGGTGGCTGGATCCGGTTGGCCAGCTGATCTCGATAGATCGGGTCCTCTCCTCTCTAGGCGTTGGACGACCTGAAGAACCCGATCCATCGCTTCCCCCAAGCTGGCCAGCATCGTGGAATGTTCAGTTCTGTTGTGTGAGTGATCATGTAAAGAGTTTCTGTCTCTCTCCCAGGTGTTACATCACTCTGACCCAGTCTCTCCATCTCATCATGGGTGGGGCTCCGGCCGGTCCTGCCGGTACCGGGAAGACAGAGACCACCAAGGATCTGGGCCGAGCCCTCGGCATCATGGTCTATGTATTCAACTGCTCTGAGCAGATGGATTACAAGGTGAATCTGTTGCTCAGACTTCTTATATTGCCAAAAAATGTAATCTTATTCAAGCATACAATAGATTCTGCTGTGGTTTTTTAATTGGGCCTTATGTTGTCCTGTCTTGCCAGTCTTGTGGAGACATCTATAAGGGTCTGGCTCAGACTGGGGCCTGGGGCTGCTTTGATGAGTTCAACCGAATCTCAGTGGAGGTGTTGTCTGTCATCGCTGTGCAGGTAAGATACTTCTCTAGTTCTCGACCCCTAAGATACTTCTCTAGTTCTCGCCCCCTCCTCTCTTTCTTTCCCCCTATCTCTCTCCCTCCTCTATCTATCTCTCTCTCTCATGGTGACACTGACCCCCCCCCCCCCCCCTCCAGGTGAAGTCTGTTCAGGACGCTATCAGAGATAAGAAGATAATCTTTAACTTCCTGGGTGAGACCATCAAGCTGATCCCCACCGTGGGAGCCTTCATCACCATGAACCCGGGCTACGCTGGCCGTGCAGAGCTACCGGAGAACCTCAAGGCTCTGTTCAGGTACCATACACATAGTGGATCTCTCTCTCTGCCTCTCTATCTCGCAAACTCTCTTTCTCTCTTTATCTTCTTTCTTCCTCTCTTTCTCGCAGACTGTTTCTTTCTCAGTCACTCTTTCACCAAATATTTATCTCTTGCCCTTACTTGTCTTCATACCTGAGTGTCTCTCTCCTGTAGGCCATGTGCCATGGTGGTGCCGGACTTTGAGTTAATCTGTGAGATCATGTTGGTGGCTGAAGGCTTCATCGACGCCAGAGTCCTGGCCAGGAAGTTCATCACCCTCTACACCCTCTGCAAAGAGCTGCTCTCCAAACAGGTACAGTAGCTACCTCACTGCTTTAATACACTGTCACTCTCATCCTGCTCACCCTTCATTCGCCTTGCTGTCTGCTCACAACACAGAGATTTTACATCCTCACCATCTCTTTAAAACATCTTCATAGTTTCCTTTGTGGTGTGTGTGTTTGTTTGTGTACAGGACCACTATGACTGGGGTCTGCGTGCCATTAAGTCCGTGCTAGTGGTGGCCGGCTCTTTGAAGAGAGGAGACCCGGGTCGCCCGGAGGACCAGGTCCTGATGAGAGCTCTAAGAGACTTCAACGTCCCCAAGATCGTGATGGACGACTCACCTGTGTTCCTGGGACTGATCGGAGACCTGTTCCCTGCTCTGGACGTCCCCAGGAAGAGAGACATGGACTTTGAGAAGGTCGGACACGCACAAACACACACACACACTTGCCTCTCCTTAGCTAGACAGAGCACATGACAGAGGTGGGAAGGGCAGAAATAACATGAGCATTCATATAAATGTACACCTGTGTTTATACAGTATCTGTGTATCATCTGTAGCAAAAAAATACTTTTTTACAGTTGTCTATGTTAAAAAAGTAGTTTCTGATGCTACAGATGTAGGATCAGAATTTGATCACCCTGTTGCAGGATAACGTTTCTGCAATGCAGAAAAAATTGTAGTGTATTTGTGGTTTAAAAAGGCTTCTGAAATTTGTAATTTCCACTAAATGTCAGACTTGATTTTCCCTTAAATATATCAACCCCTACAAAAAATGTCCATTCATTATAATCCACATAATAATTCACATTTCCTGTTGCTTCAGGATTATTTTCCTGCTGTAGCAAACTGGCTCAAATAAAGATCCTACATCTGTAACTGAGATAGTCGTTGTGTGGGTGTGTATCAGGTAGTGAAGCAGTCAGTGCTGGACCTGAATCTGCAGGCGGAGGACAGTTTTATCCTGAAGGTGGTTCAGCTGGAAGAGCTGCTGGCCGTCCGACATTCCGTCTTCATCATCGGCAACGCCGGCACCGGCAAGTCCAAGGTACCATAAACCCTCATCCCTCTAACCTCTATTGTGCACCACTCTTTTTCTATATTTTTCTGACTCCAATTGTCTGGAAAGAGTGTGCATTTCAAATGCCACCCTATGGGCCCTGGTCAGAAGTAGTGCACTAAATAGGGAAAAGGGTGGGATGGAGCCAAATATTCTGTTCGGTTAGAAGCCAACACTGTTGTGTTGTGTCTCCAGGTGATGCGCTCGCTGAATAAGACCTATCAGAACATGAAGAGGAAGCCGGTGATCGTGGATCTGGACCCCAAGGCTGTCACCTGTGACGAGCTGTTTGGCATCATCAACCCTGCCACCCGAGAGTGGAAGGACGGTACGATGGAACTAGTGAGGCTATAATATAGTTGAAATGTGTAGTCAATGAAGCCCTAACAACACACTAAGTAAAGAAGCTTTGCATCTGGACTTCTCTCTCTAGTTCTAGGCACACGGCCCCATCTGTACAACCTGAGTTAATAGTGTTGAAGTGTTTTTGAGTAGTGTTGCACGGTATACCAGTACCACGGTAATATCACGGTACCAAAACGTCATGATACTTATGATACCAACATTTTAGACTACCGTAGTACCGTTTCATATGATACTACCGACTTTTTCATCCCTACCATTCTAAAGAACCTGCTGGCGCCTGTTATATAATGTTTCTAAAGTCAGTTTGGTTTATGAATTCAGTTGAATTTAAGCAACAGCCACTAGTCTCTTGTATGGGCAGGTCCAATAATATCCACTTCACTTTCATGCACATATCACGTGTAGCAGCTGTAATCAGCCAGCTGCATCCCATACCAGCCCTCACTCACCTGCTTCTCTCCGTCCGCTCTTCACGCACGTCTATTCCTCCGTCAGTTAAAAATATATATCATTTAGCCGGGATGCAGACCCAGACCCTGATAAGTCTTTTGTTGTTAGATTTGTTACATTGGAGCAGCGTGCAAAGCGAGCAATGTTGATACATTGTATAATTTAATCACCTGTTATAACCAAGAGGACAGACCAGTCTAAGTAGACTTTGCAAGTTCACTGTCATGCAGCCTCTGAGTGTCAGAGAGGGAAAATGGAGCACTGCAACAGGCATGCTTGCAGCTTTACAGCAAAGAAAATTGCTTGTCTCTAGCCTAAACGGTTCAATATGACCCATATTACCGGATATGCCTTTTTTAATTTCTATCCGGAATCGCACACAAACCATGTCGCAGGCCGTTTTAAACTAATCCCGGGTCGCTAATTATTGGTTTGATAACCAACAATGTTGTTCATTCATGTTACCTAGCTAGCTAACATCCTGGTAACTTGACAGTAGGTTTAGGTAATTTGATTGGCACAGGAAGAAATGAAATGGGTCTGCTACCCATGAGATGTGCTTCAAAAGATAGGATTCATATAGGCCTAATGTAATCCTAAACTACATCAAAAATCTATTTATTTCTGGTGCACCTTAAATTCTGTTTAGTGCCTAACGTTTTAAAAGTAGGGAGCAGTGTGTGTGTGTTTGTGGGAGAGGGAGAGTGGTGTGTTTATGAGAGTGAGGGAGACAGAGAGAGTGTGTCTATGTTAACTGAAGAGTAAACATGGTTTCATGCAGTGTTTTCCCCTGACTGACACAATGACATGCAGATCATGCATGTATATCAAGATCATGCATGTATATCACAGGAAGTTGGTGGCACCTTAATTTGGGAGGACGGGCTCGTGGTAATGGCTGGAGCGGAATAGGTGGAATGGTATCAAACATGGTTTCTAGGTATTTGATGCCATTCCATTTGCGCCGTTCCAGCCATTTGCGCCGTCCTCCCTTCAGCAGCCTCCACTGATGTACTGTTTATTCCTTCCTCCCATTCCTCTAGCCAAATCACAGGTAGGCCTTTGCAAATATGAGCAAATCAGCGTTCTTGTTAGGCTATGGTTAAACCCAGCACTCAGAGAAACAAAACACGACTAAGGGAGTGGAAGAAACAAAAATGCTTTTAATAAAAATTCAATTTGTCTTAGTCCAAAAAACAACTGAAGAAAAGGAACAGAGTGGGCTAGTCGGCTCCGGAGGAAGGAGAGGCTGAGGCAGGCAGGCAGGCAGGGAGGTATGTCTGAACTGAAGACAACACAAACGACAGGTTAAGGAGAGTAAAGAGCCAGGCTGAAGACAAAGACAATTAAACTCTACTGGTGAGCTAAGTTACCGCTCTAGTAAGAACAACGATCTGGCGCCGGTGGAGAGCCATGCCCAGGAATTAGTAGTGCAGGTTGATGAGAGAATAGGATGCAGCTGCGTAGGCAGGAATCACTGGAAACAACCCGCAGCTGCACAGGAGAAGCAGATCCTAAGCACGCCCCCCGATCCACTCCAGACACACACCGGCAGACGCACCAACATAATGGGGACAAACCCACATACAGATACAACAGACAAATAGGGGACAAAACAAGGAGGAAGGGAAACAGAAAAGGGAGAGACAAGCTGCCCACATAACAGTTCTATGCAGTATTAAATTATACACTGAACAGTGGGAAGTTAAATTCAATGTGTTGTATTGAGTAGAAGTGTGAATTTCAGTTTTTGGAGAATGTTTAGAAAATGTGACGGGGCGAACAGGATGCTAGGCCACAGATTTTTCCACCACCGTGGTATCGTGATACTACTTGGTATCGTGATACTTGCCCTGGTATCATATCGTTTGTAAAATGTTGGTATCGTGACAAGCCTATTTTGGAGTCTGTCTGGTTGTTGTCTAATGTTGTGTGCCACGCTGGTTTCAGGTCTTTTCTCCTGTGTGATGAGAGATCTGGCCCTCATCAGCCATGATGGGCCCAAGTGGATCGTACTGGACGGAGACATCGACCCTATGTGGATCGAATCCCTCAACACTGTCATGGACGACAACAAGGTCTGTCTGTGTGTGTATGTGTGTACCTTGAGGTTTTGGGATGCCGTGTCCTTTCCTCAGGGTGATCTGGAACACCTCCAGGTTGGGGATTTTGGCAGCGAGGCGAGACTGCTTGTGTGTGTGTGTTTGTGTGGTGTATTCAGGTCATATGGTCCTAACCCCGTGTGTGTGTCTGTGTAGGTATTGACTCTGGCCAGTAATGAGCGCATCCCTCTTAACTCCACCATGCGTCTGGTGTTTGAGATTAAGGACCTGCGGACGGCCACTCCAGCCACCGTGTCCCGTGCAGGAATCCTCTTCATCAACTCTGCTGACCTGGGATGGAGCCCGTCAGTACCTCCCTACACATACACTATATATACAAAAGTATGTGGACACCCCTTCAAATTAGTGGATTCTGCTATTTCAGCCACACCCGTTGCTGACAGGTGTATGAAATCGAGCACATAGCCATGCAATCTCCATAGACAAAAATTGGCAGTAGAATGGCCTTACTGAAGAGCTCAATGACTTTCAACGTGTCACCGTCATTGGATGCCACCTTTCCAACAAGTCAGTTCATCAAATGTCTATCATGCTAGAGCTGCCCCGGTCAACTGTAAGTGCTGTTATTGTGAAGTGGAAATGTCTAGGAGCAACAATGGCACACCCGCGAAGTGGTAGGCCACACAAGCTCACAGAACGGGACCACCGAGTGCTGAAGCGCGTAAAATGTTTCTGTCCTCGGTTGCAACACTCACTACCAAGTTCCAAACTGCCTCTGGAAGCAACGTCAGCACAAGAACTGTTCGTCGGGAGCGTCATGAAATGGGTTTCCATGGCCGAGCAGCCGCACACAAGCCTAAGATCACCATGCGCAATGCCAAGCGTCGGCATTGGACTCAGGAGCAGTGGACATGCGTTCTCTGGAGTGATGAATCATGCTTCACCATCTGGCAGTCCGACGGACGAATCTGGGTTTGGCGGATGCCAGGAGAACTCTAACTTCCCCAATGCATAGTGCCAACTATAACATTTGGTGGAGGGATAATAATGGTCTGGGGCTGTTTTTCATGGTTTGGGATAGGCCCCTTAGTTTCAGTGAAGGGAAATCTTAATGCTACAGCATACAATTACATTCTAGACGATTCTATGCTTCCAACTTTGTGGCAACAGTTTGGGGAAGGCCCATTCCTGTTTCAGCATGACAATGCTCTCGTGCACAAAGTGACATCCATACAGTAATGGTTTGTCAAGATAGGTGTGGAAGAACTTGACTGGCATGCACAGAGCCCTGACCTCAACCCCATCGAACACCTTTGGAATGAATTGGAACGCCGACTGTGAGCCAGGCCTAATCGCCCAACATCAGTGCCCGACCTCACTAATGCTCTTGTGGCTGAATGGAAGCAAGTCCCTGCAGCAATGTTCCAACATCTAGTGGAAAGCCTTCCCAGAAGAGTGGAGGCTGTTATAGCAGCAAAGGGGGGACCAACTCCATATTAATCCCCATGATTTTGGCATGAGATGTTCGAGAGGCAGGTGTCCACATACTTTTGGTAATGTAGTGTACATTAAATTGAACACCTTGGTTGGTGTCCCAAATGACACCCTGTTCCCTATATAGTGTACTACTTTTGAACAGGGACAATAGGGCTCTGGTCAAAAGTAGTTCACTACATGGGGAATAGGGTGCCATTTGGGATGCGGTCCTCAAGTCATATTGTCGTTATATAACACATCAGGGTTGGGGTCAATTACAATTTAATTTGAAATTCCAATTCAATTCTTGAATTCACACATAAAGTTGAAAATGTATGTTGAATTCCATTCGAATTTCAACAATCTTCAAGTTATGGAATTGGAATTAGACTGTTTGAATTGGAATTGCACAAAAGAAAAAAAGAAAGGGGAATTGATTTGAATTAGAATTCAATATTTGTACATTTCCCAGTTGATGGAATTAATGCATTTAGTATAAGAAATGGAGTGCAATTTGTTTTTCTATAGTTCCAGGATACCTATGCTGTGTGAACAGTGACATGATCAGCCTAAAAGCCTGAGGGAATTTAATTCTAATTGGAATTTGTGGAATTGTTGGGGATAATATTTCATTGGGAATTGAATTATTGGAATTTACCTAACATTGGAATTCAGAAGAATTGAATTATCTCTGAATTCAAAGTCTGACCTGGAATTTGAATTGAATTTAATGGAATTTACAGGGAGAGGGAATTGAATTAGAATCCATTAATTTGTGGAATTAACCCTAAACCTGCAACACATTTATTGACCTGAGTGACCTTGTGTCCTGTCTGTCTGTGTGTTCCTTCAGGGTGGTGACCAGCTGGATCGAGAAGCGAGAGGTCCAGTCGGAGAAAGCCAACCTGTTCATCCTGTTTGACAAGTACTTGCCTACCTGTCTGGAGAAGCTCAAGTTCGGCTTCAAGAAGATCACTCCTATCCCAGAGGTCACACTGGTCCAAACCCTGCTCCACTTCATGGAGTTTCTACTGGTGCCTGAGAACACCCCGCCCGACTCCAACAAAGAACTCTACGAGCTCTACTTTGTGTTCGCCTGCGTCTGGGCCTTTGGAGGGGCCATGTGCCAGGACCAGGTAGCTACCCACTCAGGACTACGTTCATTCTCAAGGGGTGCAGGGTTCTCCCCAAATAATGTAAGAGGAGTGCTGCGCCACCTTGTGGACTGGCTGCGCCACTATGTAAAATAAAAAATAAAGTAAAAAGATTGCAGGAAATGGCAGTTACAGGTGTTCAAGAACACAAAAATCTCTGAGTCCAAAGGGGGTCACTGCACCCCTCTAGGGCCCTCGTCAAATGTAGTGCACTGTATAGGGAATAACATGCAATTTCAGATGCAGCCAGGGTAACATTTTTACAGTGCAAAATGCAGACTCTCCATGAACAAGTGAAGGAAAGTGACACTCAAGAGTTCTGTCTAACCTAACTTCTCTCTCTCTCTCTCTCTCTGTCTCTGTCTCTGTGTGTGTTTGGTCCGTAGCTGACAGACTACCGTGTGGAGTTCAGTAAGTGGTGGGTGAATGAGTTTAAGACCATCAAGTTCCCGTCTGCAGGGACTGTGTTTGACTACTACATTGACAGAGTCTCCAAGAAGTTCCAGCCCTGGACAGAGTTAGTCCCCAAGTTCCAGCTGGATCCAGACCTCCCACTGCAGGTCAGAGTCCTGTCTGTCTACCTGGCAACTCACCCAATTAATGAATGACACGTGGAGTAACTCTTAGCTCCTAGGACTCTTAGGACATTGTAGTTTGTCTTTGCTATGAGGTGCTCTGCAACAATAAATTGAGATTTTGGAGAGTTAATTGAGCTGACAGCCGTTTTGCAATGTTTAGCTATGGCTTTAGTCATCAATCTAGCAAGAGGGCAATATTTTATGAATGTAGTAGTGTGTGTGTGTCCCCCACCCCCCAGAAAGCTATGACCTTTGGCTTTCACCTGGAATAGTTTATTTATGTCTGAATAAAACACACTTTTCAACCCATATGATCTAGTACACAATAAAAGTATAATAGAACATATACAGATATGATTAAATAAATAAAACTTGTGAATGAATAAGCCTTTTCATACTTTAGTCAAAATCAGTTAAATTTCTGGATGTCTAACATTTGGGCCATTTAAACAGCATGTGTCCCGCCTACAGACAAGGGGAGAAGGGCTATGTAAAGGGATTGATTTTTTCGTTCTGAGCATATGCAATGTGTCTGCCTCCGACGTAAAACAAATGTTTGACTTCCACACAAAATTACTTCTTTACTTATTTTAGGTTTAAGAAAGTGTGTAGGTCGCATTCTTTATCGTAGATCTATAACAGTTATGTATTTCGATCCGCCTGCTTGAGACAAATTCTGCGATTGCTTTGCCATGTCTGTGCCATGAAGCAGTCGGCAGGTAGCTTAGTGGGTAAGAGCGTTGTGCCAGCAACCGAAAGGTCGCTGGTTCTAATCCCCGAGCCGACTAGGTGAAAAATCTGTCGATGTGCCCTTGAGCAAGGCACTTAACCCTAATTGCTGCTGTAAGTCGCTCTGGATAAGAGTGTCTGCTAAATGACAAAAAAAAAATAATAATAAAAAAAAAGCAGTCGAGCTGCTTTGATGTAATGTTGCATTGAAGTGATATAAATCAATGTAATGATGCAGCCGACCACCAGAGGGAGGCAAATACAAGTTTATTCGACAGAGGATGTTTACATGGTCCTAGTAAGGTCTGGATGGCTGTCTTCTGACTTATAAAACAGTGAGAAATCAATCAAATAAGTCATGTAAACATATACATATTTTTTAAAGGAATTCTAGTGCCCGATTTCGGGGACTGTCAGCTTAAGATGATTACTAAGCACCAGATTTTGGAGAGTTATTCTGCTGACCTTTACCCTCTGTCTCCTGTTCCTCTCAGGCGTCTCTGGTTCACACGGCTGAGACCATCCGTATCCGCTACTTCATGGACAAACTGATGGAGAGGAAGTGTCCTGTGATGTTGGTGGGCAACGCGGGCAGTGGCAAGTCAGTCCTGATGGGAGACAAGCTCCGCGGCCTCAGCACTGATTACTATGTGGTCCAGTCTGTCCCCTTCAACTTCTACACAACCTCGGCCATGCTGCAGGCCATCCTTGAGAAACCCCTGGAGAAGAAGGCAGGCCGGAACTATGGCCCCCCCGGCAGCAAGAGTCTCATCTACTTCATAGACGACATGAACATGCCTGAGGTCGACAAGTACTTCACTGTGGCTCCGCACACACTCATCCGCCAGCACATGGACCACGGACACTGGTACGATCACAACCACTGACTAGTCAACCACAACATAACTACAATCACTATTTTGATCCTACTACAGTGAGGGAAAAAAGTTTTTGATCCCCTGCTGATTTTGTATGTTTGCCCACTGACAAAGACATGATCAGTCTATAATTTTAATGGTAGGTTTATTTGAACAGTGAGAGACAGAATAACAAACAAAAAATGAAAAACGCATGTCAAAAATTGTATAAATGGATTTGCATTTTAATGAGGGAAATAAGTATTTGACCCCTCTGCAAAACATGACTTAGTACTTTGTGGCAAAACCCTTGTTGGCAATCACAGAGGTCAGACGTTTCTTGTAGTTGGCCACCAGGTTTGCACACATCTCAGGGATTTTGTCCCACTCCTCTTTGCAGATCTTCTCCAAGTCATTAAGGTTTCGAGCCTGACGTGTGTTTTGGGTCATTGTCATGCTGGAATACCCATCCACAACCCATTTTCAATGCCCTGGCTGAGGGAAGGAGGTTCTCACCCAAGATTTGACGGTACACGGCCCCGTCCATCGTCCCTTTGATACGGTGAAGTTGTCCTGTCCCCTTAGCAGAAAAATACCCCCAAAGCATAATGTTTCCACCTCCATGTTTGACGGTGGGGATGGTGTTCTTGGGATCATAGGCAGCATTCCTCCTCCTCCAAACACGGCGAGTTGAGTTGATGCCAAAGAGCTCGATTTTGGTCTCATCCGACCACAACACTTTCACCCAGTTCTCCTCTGAATCATTCAGATGTTCATTGGCAAACTTCAGACGGGGCTGTATATGTGCTTTCTTGAGCAGGGGGACCTTACGGGCGCTGCAGGATTTCAGTCCTTCACGGCGTAGTGTGTTACCAGTTGTTTTCTTTGTGACTATGGTCCCAGCTGCCTTGAGATCATTGACAAGATCCTCCCGTGTAGTTCTGGGCTGATTCCTCACCGTTCTCATGATCATTGCAACTCCACGAGGTGAGATCTTGCATGGAGCCCCAGGCCGAGGGAGATTAATAGTTTCTTCCATTTGCGAATAATCGCACCAACTGTTGTCACCTTCTCACCAAGCTGCTTGCCGATGGTCTTGTAGCCCATTCCATCCTTGTGTAGGTCTACAATCTTGTCCCTGACATCCTTGGAGAGCTCTTTGGTCTTGGCCATGGTGGAGAGTTTGGAATCTGATTGATTGATTGCTTCTGTGGACAGGTGTCTTTTATACAGGTAACAAGCTGAGATTAGGAGCACTCCCTTTAAGAGTGTGCTCCTAATCTCAGCTCGTTTCTTGTATAAAAGACACCTGGGAGCCAGAAATCTTTCTGATTGAGAGGGGGTCAAATATTTATTTCCCTCATTAAAATGCAAATTAATTTAAAACATTTTTGACATGCGTTTTTCTGGATTTTGTTGTTGTTATTCTGTCTCTCACTGTTCAAATAAACCTACGATTCAAATTAGACTGATAATTTATTTATTAAAACATAATGTTAACTTTCACTGCTATGCGGATGACACACAGCTGTACATTTCAATGAAACATGGTGAAGCCCCAAAATTGCCCTCGCTAGAAGCCTGTGTTTCAGACATAAGGAAGTGGATGGCTGAAAACTTTCTACTTTTAAACTCGGACAAAACAGAGATGCTTGCTCTAGGTCCCAAGAAACAAAGAGATCTTCTGTTAAATCTGACAATTCATCTTGATGGTTGTAAAGTCGTCTCAAATAAAACTGTGAAGGACCTCGGCGTTACTCTTGACTCTGATCTCTCTTTTGACGAACATATCAAGACTGTTTCAAGGACAGCTTTTTTCCATCTACGTAACATTGCAAAAATCAGAAATTTTCTGTCCAAAAATGATGCAGAAAAATTAATCCATGCATTTGTTACTTCTAGGTTAGACTACTGCAATGCTCTACTTTCCGGCTACCCGGATAAAGCACTAAATAAACTTCAGTTAGTGCTAAATACGGCTGCTAGAATCCTGACTAGAACCAAGAAATTTGATCATATTACTCCAGTGCTAGCTTCCCTACACTGGCTTCCTGTTAAGGCAAGGGCTGATTTCAAGGTTTTACTGTTAACCTATAAAGCGTTACATGGGCTTGCTCCTACCTATCTTTCCGAGTTGGTCCTGCCGTACATACCAATACGTACGCTACGGTCACAAGACGCAGGCCTCCTAATTGTCCCTAGAATTTCTAAGCAAACAGCGGGAGGCAGGGCTTTCTCCTATAGATCTCCATTTTTATGGAACAGTCTGCCTACCCATGTGAGAGACGCAGACTCGGTCTCAACCTTTAAGTCTTTACTGAAGACTTATCTCTTCAGTAGGTCATATGATTGAGTGTAGTCTGGCCCAGGAGTGTGAAGGTGAACGGAAAGGCTCTGGAGCAACGAACAGCCCTTGCTGTCTCTGCCAGGCCGGTTCCCCTCTCTCCACTGGGGTTCTCTGCCTCTAACCCTGTTACAGGGGCTGAGTCACTGGCTTGCTGGTGCTCTTTCATGCCGTCCCTAGGAGGGGTGCGTCACTTGAGTGGGTTGAGTTACTGACGTGATCTTCCTGTCTGGGTTGGCGCCCCCCCTTGGTTTGTGCTGTGGTGGAGACCTCTGTGGGCTATACTCGGCCTTGTCTCAGGATTGTAAGTTGGTGGTTGAGGATATCCCTCTAGTGGTGCGGGGGCTGTGCATTGGCAGAGTGGGTGGGGTTATATCCTTCCTGTTTGGCCCTGTCCGGGGGTTTCTTCGGATGGGGCCACAGTGTCTCCGGACCGCTCCTGTCTCAGCCTCCAGTATTTATGCTGCAGTAGTTTATGTGTCGGGGGGCTGGGGTTAGTTGGTTATACCTGGAGTACTTCTCCTGTCTTATCCAGTGTCCTGTGTGAATTTAAGTATGCTCTCTCTAATTCTCTCTTTCTCTCTGAGAACCTGAGCCCTAGGACCATACGTCAGGACTACCGGGCATGATGACACCTTGCTGTCCCCAGTCCGCCTGGCCTTGCTGCTATTCCAGTTTCAACTGTTCTGCCTGCGGTTACGAAACCCCTACCTGTCCCAGACCTGCTGTTTTCAACTCTTAATGATCGGCTATGAAAAGCCAACTGAGAGACCTGAGCCCTAGGACCATACGTCGGGACTACCGGCCGTGGTGACTCCTTGCTGTCCCCAGTCCGCCTGGCCTTGCTGCTATTCCAGTTTCAACTGTTCTGCCTGCGGTTATGGAACCCCTACCTGTCCCAGACCTGCTGTTTTCAACTCTTAATGATCGGCTATGAAAAGCCAACTGAGATTTATTCCTGATTATTATTTGACCATGCTTGTCACTTATGAACATTTTTGAACATCTTGGCATGGTTCTGTTATAATCTCCACCCGGCACAGCCAGAAGAGGACTGGCCACCCCTCATAGCCTGGTTCCTCTCTAGGTTTCTTCCTAGGTTTTGGCCTTTCTAGGGAGTTTTTCCTAGCCACCGTGCTTCTACACCTGCATTACTAGCTGTTTGGGGTTTTAGGCTGGGTTTCTGTACAGCACTTCGAGATATTAGCTGATGTAAGAAGGGCTATATAAAATACAATTGATTGATTGATTTGTCAGTGGGCAAACGTACAAAATCAGCAGGGGATCAAATACTTTTTTCCCTCACTGTATCTCTCTCACCCTCTCTACCTCTCTCCCCTCTCCTCCTCTCTCCCTACCTATCATCCCCCTCTCCCTGCCTCCCTTCTCAGGTATGACAGAGCCAAGCTGACTCTGAAGGACATCCATAACTGCCAGTACGTGGCCTGTATGAACCCTACAGCTGGCAGCTTCACCATCGACCCCCGACTGCAGGTACTCACCAGACTAACGCTAAATACAAGGTTGGAGAAGAAGCGTATTAGAAACCTCTCTAGTCGTTCTGTTTTAGACTGCTCTTAACCCTCTGCATCCCATAGTTGCCTTATGTATGGTAAGATACTGTAACACTGATCCTCGTCAGAGAGAGAGGAAGCGAGAGAGAGAGAAGAAGAGAGCGCGAAGAGCGAGGAAAGCGATAGCGTAGAGAGAGAGAGAGAGAGAGCGAGAGAGTAGATATAGAGAGAGCAGAGAGATAGCGGAGATCTGAGAGAGAGAGACTAGAGAGAGATGCGAACGTGCGTAGATCTATCTCTCTCTCTCTCTCTCTATACTCGATCTCTCTATATCGCGATCTCTATCTCCTCTCTCGCTCTCTCTCTCTCTCTCTCTCTCTCTCTCTCTCCTCCTTCTCTCTCTCTCTCTCAGAGGCACTTCTGTGTCTTTGCGGTGAGTTTCCCGGGCCAGGACGCACTCCAAAGCATCTATAACTCCATCTTCTCCCAACATCTGGACATGAATGGCTTTCTCCCCGCCGTCAAGAAGTTCTGCTCCACGCTGGTCACCTCTGCAATCAGTAAGAACACTACAGAGAAACACTTAGATAATCGTCATGTCAAACTGAAAATGTAATGACTTAATTCAACATCTCATCCGATTTAACTTCTCATTTTATGACATTGAACTAGTGTCAGAGATGGGGGAAACCAATGCAGTATATAGGCCTACAGTATTTGCCCTGTCTCCATGTTCTTACCTGTCTGTGTGTGTATTTTCTTCTCCAGTGTTCCACCAGAGGATCTCCACTTCCTTCCTTCCCACGGCAGTCAAGTTCCACTATGTCTTTAACCTCAGAGACTTGTCCAACATCTTCCAGGTAAACCCTTCTCCCTTACAGCTATCTATATGATGGGCATCTTGATCATACATTGTAAAGTTGGTTTGAGACACTGGAATGACCCACTGGCTCATGTTTGTTATGAATTACTGTGGAGAGGAGGGAGGTATCTTGCTGTGTGTGTGTGTGTGTGTGTGTGTGTAAATGTGGTGAGAGATCATCATCATGTTAGTGCATGTGTGTGAGATGTTCAATTCGTCCCTCTGTGTCTCTCCTGTCTGCTGCCAGGGTCTTCTGTTCTCCATGCCAGAGTGTGTGAAGGCTCCTGCTGAGCTGGTGAGACTGTGGCTTCATGAGTGTGACCGTGTGTACGGAGACAAGCTAGTGGATGAGAAGGACATGGTGCTGTTTGCCAAGATCAAGGGAGAGATCTGCAAGAAGTGCTTCGAGGTACGACTTAACACACACACATGCACTCATTGTCTGACATTGAGAAAAAACTCAAAACTAATGGTGAACTAATGGTGAATAAAGTAATTCAATATTAACAGCAGATTTCTCATTGTCCATATCGGTGTGTATTTTCCTCTGTCTGCAGGAAATAGATGCAGGTTTCCTCTTTGAGAAGCCCAACATCTTCTGCCACTTTGCCCAAGGCATTGGCGAGCCCAAATACTTCCCTATTCCAGACTGGGTGGTTCTGAACAAGCTGCTACTGGAGGGCCTGGACAGCTACAACGAAGTCAACGCTGTCATGAACCTGGTGAGTCCACCACGACACACTACAAAAGCAAATACCTGGTGTTGGTATCGCGTCTTCACTGGAGAGTAACCAGAGTAGCTAAAAACCTGATTGAGATGAAGAGAGAGTCCTAGACCTTCCTGTTGTGACCCTGTTTGTGTGTGTGTGTGTGCGCGTGCATGCGTGTGTGGTCTCCAGGTGCTGTTTGAGGACGCCATGTCCCATATCTGCCGAATCAACCGTATCCTGGAGTCTCCTCGTGGTAACGCCCTGCTGGTCGGGGTGGGCGGCAGCGGCAAGCAGTCTCTGTCTCGCCTCGCTGCCAGCATCGCAAACCTGGAGGTGTTCCAGATCACCCTGAGGAAAGGCTACGGCATCCCCGACCTCAAGGTGTGATGCTATGCTCTGGCCAACTGTTAACCTCTGTAAAGATGCTGAGACATCTATCATCATCCTCATCATCCTTCCTTTCCCTCGCCCCACTCTTCCCCCGCCCTCCTCTCTCCTCCCCCTCTCCCCACCCTCCTTTCCCTCCCCCCTCCCTGTCTCTTGGTAGTTGGACGTGGCCGCCCAGTACATGAAGGCTGGGGTGAAGAACATAGGGACGGTGTTCCTGATGACCGACAGCCAGGTGGCCGAGGAGGAGTTCCTGGTGCTGATCAATGACCTGCTGGCGTCGGGCGAGATCCCCGGTCTATTCCAAGACGATGAGGTGGAGAACATCATCGTTGCCATGAGGAACGAGGTCAAGGCTGTGGGCCTGCCAGACTCACGTGAAAACTGCTGGAAGTTCTTCATCGACAGAGTCCGCAAACAGCTCAAGGTGATACTCAGTGTGGCCAGTCTGGCTTGTCATTGGGGGTTGTTGAGGGTTTTGGTCTGTATGTTCAGCAGCGTTACAGAGGGGTTATCCAACTAGCACATAATGTTCTGAGAACCATATGTTTCTTAGAGCTTGGTTAAAGCGTGGTTGTCAATCAATGAAATGTATTTATAAAGCCCTTTTTACATCAGCTTACAGAAACCCAGTCTAAAACCCCAAAGAGCAAGCAATGCAGATGTAGAAGCACAGTGGCTAGGAAAAACTCCCTAGAAAGGCAGAAACCTAGGAAGAAACCTAGAGAGGAACCAGGCTCTGAGGGGTGGCCAGTCCTCTTCTGGTTGTGCCCGGTGGAGATTATAAGAGTAAATGGCCATTAAGGCCAGATCGTTCTTTAATATGTTCAAACGTTCATAGATGACCAGCAGGGTCAAATAATAATCACAGTGGTTATAGAGGGTGCAACAGGTCAGCACCTAAGGAGTAAATGTCAGTTGGCTTTTCATAGCCGAGCATTCAGAGGTCGATAGAGAGAGGGTCGAAACAGCAGGTCCGGGACAAGGTAGCACGTCCGGTGAACAGGTCAGGAGTTCCATAGCCGCAGGCAAAACAGCAGAAACAGGATCAGCAGCATGACCAGGTGGACTGGAGATGGGGTAAGCCAGGAGTCGTCAGGCCAGGTAGTCCTGAGGCATGGTCCTAGGGCTTTGCCACTTTGCCAAAGCACAGCCCCCACACCACCAGAGGGATATCAACAGACCACCAACTTACTACCCTGAGACAAGACAGAGTATAGGCCACAAAGATCTCCCCCACCGCACGGTCCCGAGGGGGCGCAAAACCGGACAGGAAGATCACATCAGTGACTCAACCCACTCAAGTTGAGTATAGCGGAAAAAAGAGCTTTGCATGACGTGATGCACCCCTCCTAGGGACGGCATAGGATGGCACCAGCAAGCCAGTGACTCAGGCCCCGTAATAGGGGCAGAGAATCCCAGTGGAGAGAGGGGAGCCGGCCAGGCAGAGACAGCAAGGGTGGTTCGTCATTCCAGTGCCTTGTCGTTCACCTTCGCACACCTGGTCCAGACTACACTCAATCATAGGACCTACTGAAGAAATGTGTATTCAGTAAAGACTTGCAAATGTAATAAGATGGTGGTCTGATGGTCCAGGATTATGAGGAAAAACATTTAGATCCACAATATCTATTCCACGGGACAAAACTAGATCCAGGGTATGATTGTGGCAATGCGTAGGTCCGGAGACATGTTGGACAAATTCCACTGAGTCGATGATGGCTGCGATAGCCTTTTGGAATGGGTCTGTGGACTTCTCCATGTGAATATTGAAGTCACCAAACGTTTTAATATTATATGCAATGACTACAAGGTGCGGTAGGAATTCAGGGAACTCGGCAGGGAACGTTGTATACAGCCCAGGAGGCCTGTAAACATTAGCTATAAAAAGTGATTGAGTAGGCTGCATAGATTTCATGACTTTTTTTTCTTGTAAATTGAAATTTTCTGTCATAAATGTTAGCAACACCTCTGCCTTTGCGGGATGCGTGGGGGATATGGTCATTAGTGTAACCAGGAGGAGAGGCCTCATTTAACACAGTAAATTCATCAGGCTTGAGCCATGTTTCAGTCAGGTCAATCACATCAAGTTTATGATCAGTGAGGGATCTAACATTAAGTAGTCCTATTTTGAGATGTGATGTAATATCACAACCTCTTTCAGTAATGACAGGAATGGAGGAGGTCTTTATTCTAGTGAGATTGCTAAGGGGAACACCGCCATGTTAAGTTTTGCCCAACCTAGATCGAGGCACAGACACGGTCTCAATGGGGAAAACTGAGCTGACTACACTGACTGTGCTAGGGGCAGACTCTACTAAGCTGGCAGGCTGGCTTACAGCCTGCTGCCTGCACCCCATCTCATTGTGAAGCTAGAGGAGTTAGAGCCCTGTCTATGTTGATAGATAAGATGAGAGCACCCCTCCAGCTGGGATGGAGTCTGTCACTCCTCAGCAGGCCAAGCTTGGTCCTGTTTGTTGGTGAGTGCCAGAAAGAGGACCAGTTATCCACAAATTCTAAAAACTGTTTTCAACCAGCGAGTTGTGTGAGTCTGCTGTAAACCTCATCACTCCCCCTAACTGGGAAGGGGCCAGAGACAATTATTCGATGCCAACACATCTTTCTAGCTAAGTTACACACTCAAGTTATGTTGCGCTTGGTGACCTCTGACTGTTTCATCCTAACATTGTTGGTACTGACGTGGATAACAATATCCCTACACCATCTACGCCAGGGTTCCCCAACTGGCGTCCCGCGTGCTTTTAATTGGCCCCCCAAGTTTTCTGAGCAAAAAAACAACTTTTTGTCAAGACTGTAAAAAACACCAGGAAAAACAAAAGCTCCAAGTGATTTTAATTTAAGAAATCTGTTTCCAAGTATCAATAATCAATAACAATGTAATACTACAAAATAAACACGAGAAATAAGAAATACACTATATACAGTGGGGGAAAAAAGTATTTAGTCAGCCACCAATTGTGCAAGTTCTCCCACTTAAAAAGATGAGAGAGGCCTGTAATTTTCATCATACGTACACGTCAACTATGACAGACAAATTGAGAAAAAGAATCCAGAAAATCACATTGTAGGATTTGTAATGAATTTATTTGCAAATTATGGTGGAAAATAAGTATTTGGTCACCTACAAACAAGCAAGATTTCTGGCTCTCACAGACCTGTAACTTCTTCTTTAAGAGGCTCCTCTGTCCTCCACTCGTTACCTGTATTAATGACACCTGTTTGAACTTGTTATCAGTATAAAAGACACCTGTCCACAACCTCAAACAGTCACACTCCAAACTCCACTATGGCCAATACCAAAGAGCTGTCAAAAGACACCAGAAACAAAATTGTAGACCTGCACCAGGCTGGGAAGACTGAATCTGCAATAGGTAAGCAGCTTGGTTTGAAGAAATCAACTGTGGGAGCAATTATTACGAAATGGAAAACATACAAGACCACTGATAAACTCCCTCGATCTGGGGCTCCATGCAAGATCTCACCCCGTGGGGTCAAAATGATCACAAGAACGGTGAGCAAAAATCCCAGAACCACATGGGGGGACCTAGTGAATGACCTGCAGAGAGCTGGGACCAAAGTAACAAAGCCTACCATCAGTAACACACTACGCCGCCAGGGACTCAAATCCTGCAGTGCCAGACGTGTCCCCCTGCTTAAGCCAGTACATGTCCAGGCCCGTGAAGTTTGCTAGAGTGTATTTGGATGATCCAGAAGAGGATTGGGAGAATGTCATATGGTCAGATGAAACCAAAATATAACTTTTTGGTAAAAACTCAACTCGTCGTGTTTGGAGGACAAAGAATGCTGAGTTGCATCCAAAGAACACCATACCTACTGTGAAGCATGGGGGTGGAAACATCATGCTTTGGGGCTGTTTTTCTGCAAAAGGACCAGGACGACTGATTCCTGTAAAGGAAAGAATGAATGGGGCCATGTATCGTGAGATTTTGAGTGAAAACCTCCTTCCATCAGCAAGGGCATTGAAGATGAAACGTGGCTGGGTCTTTCAGCATGACAATGATCCCAAACACACCGCCCGGGCAACGAAGGAGTGGCTTCGTAAGAAACATTTCAAGGTCCTGGAGTGGCCTAGCCAGTCTCCAGATCTCAACCCCATAGAAAATCTTTGGAGGGAGTTGAAAGTCTGTGTTGCCCAGCGACAGCCCCAAAACATCACTGCTCTAGAAGAGATCTGCATGGATGAATGGGCCAAAATACCAGCAACAGTGTGTGAAAACCTTGTGAAGACTTACAGAAAACGTTTGACCTGTGTCATTGCCAAGAAAGGGTATATAACAAAATATTGAGAAACTTTTGTTATTGACCAAATACTTATTTTCCACCATAATTTGCAAATAAATTCATAAAAAATCCTACAATGTGATTTTCTGTTTTTTTTTTCTCATTTTGTCTGTCATAGTTGACGTGTACCTATGATGACAATTTCAGGCCTCTCATCTTTTTAAGTGGGAGAACTTGCACAATTGGTGGCTGACTAAATACTTTTTTCCCCCACTGTATACAAAAGTATGTGGACAACCCTTCAAATTAGTGGATTTGGCTATTTCAGCCACACCCGTTGCTGACAGGTGTATACAATCGAGCACACAGCCATGCAATGTCCATAGACAAACATTGGCAGTAGAATGGCCTTACTGAAGAGTTCAGTGACTTTCAACGTGGCACCGTCATAGGATGCCACCTTTCCAACAAGTCAGTTGGTCAAATTTCTGCACTGCTAGAACTGCCCCGGTCAACTGTAAGTGCTGTTATTGTGTAGTGGAAATGTCTAGGAGCAACAACGGCTTAGCTGCGAAGTGGTAGACCACACAAGCTCACAGAACGGGACCGTGTCGTGCTGAACCGAGTAGCGCATAAAAATCATTTGTCCTCGGTTGCAACACTCACTACCGAGTTCCAAACTGCCTCTGGAAGCAACGTCAGCACAAGAACTGTTCGTCCGGAGCTTCATGAAATGGGTTTCCATGGCCGAGCAGCCGCACACAAGCCTAAGATCACAATGTGCAATGCCAAGCGTTGTCTGGAGTGGTGTAAAGCTTGCCGCCATTGGACTCTGGAGCAGTGGAAACGTGTTCTCTGGAGTGATGAATCACGCTTCACCATCTGGCAATCCAACGGACAAATCTGGGTTTGGCGGATGCCAGGAGAACGCTTAGTTCCAGTGAAGGGAAATCTTAACGCTACAGCATACAATGACATTCTAGATAATTCTGTGCTTCCAACTTTGTGGCAACAGTTTGGGGAAGGCCCTTTCCTGTTTCAGCATGACAATGCCCCTGTGCACAAAGCGAGGTCCATACAGAAATGGTTTGTCGAGATCGGTATGGAAGAACTTGACTGGTCTGCACTGAGCTCTGACCTGAATCCCATCGAACACCTGAATTGGAACGCTGACTGCGAGCCAAGCCTAATCGCCCAACATCAGTGCCCGACCTCACTAATGCTCTTGTGGCTGAATGGAAGCAAGTCCCTGCAGCAATGTTCCAACATCTAGTGGAAAGCCTTCCCAGAAGAGTGGAGGCTGTTATAGCAGCAAAATGGGAGACCAACTCCATATTAATGGCCATGATTTTGGAATGAGATGTTCGACAAGCAGGTGTCCACATACTTTTGGTTATGTAGTGTATGTCCAGTTGGGAAACTGTGTATTATATTGATAAGGTATTCGAGTGACCACTCAACAATTGAAGGCAGGCGAGATCAGCTGGGACCATTCTAGCTAATGAGAGGTCAGATACGCGCGTGAACAATAGGCACAATTAAGTTGTTTTTCTCAAAGTTGCCGGAAAGCCACGTCTATCCATTTATATCAGTACATTTGTAACAGCCTAAACATTACGAAACTTCTATTTGATCAAATAAGCCTCACGTAATTTGACACTCCCTCATAGACCATAGAAAAAAGGGCTTATCTCACGCGGACAGATTTTTGGGGGAGTAAATCCTCTCGCTTCGCCTCTTCATCTCTGACTGCAACAACAGCGCACACTTCACACACACCCAGGTACCGGGAGGCGGGACAGACAGCAGACTGTCAAACCAGCAGTGTTTCCCTGTCATCGCACACTTTGTTACTGACAGCGCCTGTACTATCAAAAGATTGCTAGTAGATGCATATCGTTCATTCTAGCGGAAGAGGGCTCAGCTGACTTTTTTCTGACTAGCGAATGGAAAAGTATTCTAGTTAATTTAAATGGAAAAGTAGCCGGCTGAAAAGTAGCCTTTAATCGGCTGTATAGCCGATAGCCGCGCTAGTGGAAAACACTGAGATCGCTTCTTAAAAGTTCAAACATGGTTACATTTAATTACATTTTTGGTAATGTTCTAAGAACGTTCTCCAAATGGTATGACATTGGGAATGTTCTCAAATAGTTCAGAGAATATTAAGAAACAACGTTCTTCTGTGGGAATTTTTGTACTCCAGCATAACGTTTCCTACAGGTTTCCTCATGGTTCCATTTAAAGCCATGTTCTCAAACGTTTTTCTGTGGGAATTTCAGTACTTCCACTCCACAGAACATTCTACACAAGTTCCCATGTGGTTCTATTTAATGTAATGTTTTTACTACATTTTGGGAACGTTCTCAAAAATTGTATGACTTAAGCGATGTTCTCAGAACGTTCAGGTTCTCTTTTATATCAGTTCTTGTCAATGTTCTGGGAATGTTCATAAAATTGGAATTCCACACATGAACATCAATAAGCTCTAAATTCCATTCTCAGAACATGAAGAAAATAAAACTTTAATAACGTTCAAAGGAAGTTCTAATAATGTTATTTAAAAACATATACATTCCATTCTCAGCGTCCACAAAACTCTCTCTATCCTCTAGCTTGTTATGTGTGTTCAGGTGTGGTGGCCCCACCAACTAATTGTCCACACATAATCTTAATGAGTGGTTGTTTCCTTTGAAATTGGGTCTGTTTGGATAGACTAAATTGATCAGCTTTGTATGCGTAAAAAAACATGACATGATAGTTCCATCCTGGTTGTGCAGTGGACTATGTAAAGATGGCGCCGACAGACATGGCAGCTCTACTTCTAACTCCTAAGCAACTCTGCCAGTCCAGACGGTATCCCTAGCGCCGTCTTCAGAGCACGTGCATACCAGCTGGCTGGAGTGTTTACGGACATATTCAATCTCTGTCTATCCCAGTCTGCTGTCCCCACTTGCTTCAAGATGTCCACCATTGTTCCTGTACCCAAGAAAGCAAAGGTAACTGAACTAAATGACTATTTAGCACTCACTTCTGTCATCATGAAGTGCTTTGAGAGGCTAGTTAAGGATCATATCACCTCCACCTTACCTGACACCCTAGACCCACTTCAATTTGCATACCGCCCCAATAGATCCACAGATAATGCAATCGCCATTACACTGCACACTGCCCTATCCCATCTGGACAAGAGGAATACCTATGTAAGAATGCTGTTCATTGACTATAGCTCAGCCTTCAACACCATAGTACACTCCAAGCTCATCATTAAGCTCAGGGGGCCCTGGGTCTGAACCCCGCCCTGTGCAACTGGGTCCTGGACTTCCTGACCGGCCAACCCCAGGTGGTGAAGGTAGGAAACAACACCTCCACTACGCTGATCCTCAACACAGGGGCCCCACAAGGATGCGTGCTCAGCCCCCTTCTGTACTCCTTGTCCTTGCCTCCAACTCAATCATCAAGTTTGCAGACGACACAACAGTAGTAGGAGGTGGGGGCCCTGGCTGGATTATCTTGGCAAGTGGTGCCAGGAAAATAACCTCTCCCTCAACGTGAACAAAACAAAGGAGCTGATCGTGGACTTCAGGAGACAACAGAGAGAGCACGCCCGTATTCACATTGACGAGACCGCAGTGGAGAAGGTGAAAAGCTTAAAATTCCTCGGTGTACACATCACTGACAATCTGAAATGGTCCACTGACACTGACAGTGTGGTGAAGAAGGCGCAACAGCGCCTCTTCAACCTCAGGAGGCTGAAGAAATGTGGCTTGCCCTTAAGACCCTCACAAAGTTTTACAGATGTACAATTGAGAGCATCCTGTCGGGCTGTATCACCGCCTGGTACGGCAACTGCACCACCCGCAACCGCAGGGCTCTCCAGATGGGTGGTGCGGTCTGCCCAACGCATCACTGGGGGCACACTGCCTGCCCTCCAGGACACCTACAGCATCCAATGTCACAGGAAGGCCAAAAAGATCATCAAGGACATTAACCACCCAAGCCACAGCCTGTTCACCCCGCTATCATCCAGAAGGCGAGGTCAGTACAGGTACATCAAAGCTGGGACCAAGAGACAAAAAACAGCTTCTATCTCAAGGCCATCAGACTGTTAAATAGCCATCACTATTCGGCTACCACCCGGTACTCAACCCTGTACCTTAGAGGCTGCTCTGCGGAAGCACAGTTCCCGCTCAGCCCAGTCAAAACTGTTCGCTTCTCTGGCACCCCAATGGTGGAACAAGCTCCCTCTCGACGCCAGGACAGCGGAGTCACTCACCACCTTCCGGAGACATTTGAAACCCCACCTCTTTAAGGAATACCTGGGATAGGATAAAGTAATCCTTCTATCCCCCCCAAAAAAAAATGAAAAAAAAGAAACATATTGTAAAGTGGTTAATCCACTGGCTATAAGGTGAATGCACCAATTTGTAAGTCGCTCTGGATAAGAGCGCCTGCTAAATGACGTAAATGTAAATGTACATAGACATGGAATCACTGGTCACTTTATATGGAACACTAGTCACTTTAATAATGTTTACATACTGTTTTACTCATTTCATATGTATATACTGTATTCTACTGTATTTTAGTCAATCCCACTCAGACATTGCTCGTCCTAATATTTATGTATTTCTGAATTCCATTCTTTTACTTTTAGATTTGTGTGTATTGTTGTGAATTGTTAGATACTACTGCACTGTTGGAGCTAGGAACACAAGCATTTCGCTACACCCGCAATAACATCTGTTAAATATGTGTATGTGACTAATAAAATGTGATTTGATTTGACTAATATCATGGATAGATAACAGAAGATCATAGGTTCGATTTTCACGATGCCGTGTCACAATAAAAATGCATGGTTAATGCCTGAGCAAATTATTTTCCATGTGTCCTATCTGTGTTTGGAGTTCAAAAAGTCTTATTGAAACATTAAGTGAAAGTTTTAAGGAAGTTAGCTAAAAACCTCCAAATAACCTTCACATTCCATTCTTAGAGTGTTAAGAAAACTTTCAATAATAACCATAAAACTTTCACAACATTTCGAGAATGTTTGCACAATGTTATTTAATTAGAGTGTTAATAAAACCTCCCAGGAAAAAATTCTGGGAACCAGAGGAAAACGTTCTCAGAACCTCCCTGCAACCTAAAAATGTACATTCCCAGAACAGGCTAAATTTTCACTTCTGTTCTCAGAACGTTTAAAAAACCCTTCAGTTTTACCAGTCAGAAAACGTATGGCTTTGTTCCCACAACCAATGTGAAACCAAAAACATACATTCCCACAACTTCCAAGGAACCAAATATGCTAGCTGGGTAATGTGTGTGTGTGCATGTGTGTTGTCCTGTAGGTGATCCTGTGCTTCTCTCCGGTGGGCTCCACTCTAAGGGTGCGAGCCAGGAAGTTCCCTGCCGTGGTCAACTGCACCTCCATCGACTGGTTCCACGAATGGCCAGAGGAGGCGCTAGTGTCTGTCAGCGCTCGCTTCCTCTCCGAGACAGAGGGCATCATGGTGAAGAAGACACGTCACACCCCTCGACCCCATCCCAAAACAATCCCTAGCCCCTTCCCTGAGTTGCCTCATGTAGACCCCTCATCTAGCTTTTACTGTATTCCTGTGTGTCCGATTTTCTCTCTCCCCCCCCAGCCCGAGGTGAAGGAATCTCTGAGCCAGTTCATGGCCTTCGTCCATAAGACAGTGAATGAGATGTCCAAGTCCTACCTGCTGTCAGACCGTCGCTACAACTACACCACGCCCAAGACCTTCCTGGAGCAGATCAAACTCTACCAGAACCTCCTGGCCGTCAAGAGGAGCGAGCTGCTGTCCAAGATGGAGCGCCTGGAGAATGGATTAACCAAACTGGAGAACACCTCTGCTCAGGTCAGATATACAGTATACCACCACACACACGGTCTGGGAGTTAGTTATCCACCTGCACTAAACTTAACACAAACTGGCTATTACATTTGATACTGTATCAATATCATATCGTAATTTTAAGATTTCTATATAATTTGTGCCCGTTCCGTCTCTATCCAACAGTGTTGGGGAAGCTACTCTGAAAATATAGTTTACCAAGCTACACTATATATACAAAAGTATGTGGATACCCCTTCAAATAAGTGGATTCGGCTATTTCAGCCACACCCGTTGCTGACAGGTGGACTGTATAAAATCGAGCACACAGCCATGCAATCTCCATAGACAAACATTGGCAGTAGAATGGCCTTACTGAAGAGCTCAGTGACTTTCAATGTGGCACCGTCATAGGATGCCACCTTTCCAACAAGTCAGTTTGTCAAATTTCTGCCCTGCTAGAGCTGCCCCGGTCAACTGTAAGTGCTATTATTGTGAAGTGGAAACGTCTAAGAGCAACAATGGCTCAGTCGCGAAGTGGTAGGCCACACAAGCTCACAGAACGGGACCACGAGTGCTAAAGCGCGTAAAAATCGTCTGTCCTCGGTTGCAACACTCACTACCGAGTTCCAAACTGCCTCTGGAAGCAATGTCAGCACAATAACTGTTCGTCAGGAGCTTCATGATGGGTTTCCATGGCAGAGCAGCCGCACACAAGCCTAAGATTGCCTCCCTACTGTCACTTTATTTTACTGTATATATAGCCTCCCTACTGTCACTTTATTTTACTTCTGCTCTTTTTTTCTCAACACTTTTTTTGTTGTTGTTTTATTCTTACTTTTTTGTTTAAAATAAATGCACTGTTGGTTAAGGGCTGTAAGTAAGCATTTCACTGTAATGTCTGCACCTGTTGTATTCGGCGCATGTGACCAATAAAATTTGATTTGATTTGATTTGAAGATCACCATGCACAATGCCACGGCTGGAGTGGTGGAAAACTCACCGCCATTGGACTCTGGAGCAGTGGAATCACACTTCACCATCTGGCAGTCCGACAGATGAATACCAGGAAAACGCTACCTGCCCCAATGCATAGTGCCAACTGTAACGTTTGGTGGAGGAGGAATAATGGTCTGGGGCTGTTTTTCATGGTTCGGGCTAGGCCCCTAAGTTCCAGTGGAAGGGAAATCTTAACAGCATACAATGACATTCTAGACAATTCTGTGCTTCCAACTTTGAGGCAACAGTTTGGGGATGGCCCTTTCCTGTTTCAGCATGACAATGCCCCCGTGCACAAAGCGAGGTCCATACAGAAATGGTTTGTCGAGATTGGTGTGGAATAACTTGACTGGTCTGCACAGAGCCCTGACCTGAATCCCATCGAACACCTTTGGGATGAATTGGAACGCCGACTGCGAGCCAGGCCTAATCGCCCAACAGTGCCCGACCTCACTAATACTCTAATGCTGATTTGAAGCAAATCCCAGCAGCAATGTTCCAACATCTAGTGGAAAGCCATCCCAGAAGAGTGGAGGCTGTTATAGCAGCAAAAGGGGGGACCAACTACATATTAATGCCCATGATTTTGGAATGAGATGTTCACATACTTTTGGTCATGTAGTGTATCATATACTATACTTCAGACTGGAAGAAGTGACACTACACTAAAGCTACCCTTTAAGAAAAATACAGTTTACTTAACTACATCCAAACTACTTTATGATAAATTATCATATCTAAATCTGAAATGTCAGACTGCAAATTGCAAGAAAGATCACTCTGGAGTCAGATGTTAAGAGAATGTGTAATTTAGCCTATTAAAAACAAAAACAATGTTTCAATTGAGAATTAGGCTGGTCTGATGCTGAAAAAGAAATCAAATTCTTGCCTACTTCACCCATATTTTATTTTATTTTTGCAAAAAAGTAGTGTGTAGTTCCAGTAGTTAGCTACACCGCTACATGGCAAAAAAGTAATGAACTACTGAAAACACTACCAAGATTTGAATATAATTAAAGTACCACCAAGCTACTGCAAAATGTAGTTACATTACTAGTTGAACTACATGTAGTTCACTACTCCCCAACACTGCTGTCCGATTAGCTAAAAACTTCACCCTCCACAGATCTGTAAGAGAGTTTTGAGCTAGCTACTAGCTAGCTAACGTTCACTAAAACAGATGGGGAAAATATCCAGTTAGGTAGCTAGCTCATGTACCCAAAATGCCGCCACTTGGGGTTATTTTTCAGCAGGGCCTGTGGAAGGACTCCAGATAACCTGAGTTTTACAAAGAGAAAAGGTAAAAAAAGAAAAGGGGTAGACTAAATTGATTACATGGTCTGGAAGGTACATCTAACCACCTGTAACCGCATAACACAAACCCATACAAACACTACCTAATTCATGTTTATGCCATGCTTATTGTAAATTGAGCTATCTTAGCCGTCAGCTTGTAAATATTTTTGCCAATTTACCTTCACCTTGTGCAGAGCTAGGGGTTGGAAGCACATGCTGGTGGAATCAGATGATGTGCCACCTACAACAAAACACACAACAATACACAATTTAACCCCCCCACTAATTGCATTGATGTCTATTAGACTGGCTAGCTTAGCACACCTAACATGGACATTTCAATATTGTGAGCTTGCTGTTAGCTAGTTAGCGTCACTAAATTGGCAGCAAGATTGCTAGCCAGCTGAGAACTAACTAACCAACCATAGACGATTTATACACATTCAAAATTACTACCAACACACCAAGAGTGAGTTAAGCTATATCGGCAATTCTATTTTTAGTAACGGAGTGTTTTGCAGACAAGGGTGGAATAGATGACTACCAGGGTTACTCTTATTTAACAAGCTTATGTTAGCTAACGTTAGGTGTCCACATACTTTTGGTCATGTAGTGTATCATATACTGTACTTCACACTGGAAGAAGTGACACTACAGCTGAGAACTAACTAACCAACCATATACGATTTATACACATTCAAAATTACTACCAACACACCAAGAGTGAGTTAAGCTATATCAGCAATTCTATTTTTAGTAACGGAGTGTTTTGCAGACAAGGGTGGAATAGATGGCTACCAGGGTTACTCTTATTTAACAAGCTTATGTTAGCTAACGTTAGTCAAACATAGAACGAACAAACAAACATGTTTAGTCTGCTGAAGGTAGCTACCAGTCTAGCAGTGACTACCATGGAATAGGCGAAATTGATTGACAGTGTGTATCCAAAAGATAGCTAGCTAACTTACCTAGTCCAGCTAGGCTAGCAAGCTAGCTAACACTACGTTACCTCTAATCGAGAATCTTCTGTTTTCTTGTGAAGAAAACAATGATTGTATCGCATCACTTGTCAGCTGTTGTCGAAATGGATTCCCCATCCGTTCAGCCTGAATAGCCCTCTGATAATCTTTGGTCACCGTAAGCATCATTCTTGATAGCCACAAACCACTGGCAGCATCGGGGTAAATCTCTGGTAGGTAGAGCAGTGAAAGATAACTCATTTTCACACTTGTTGTGATTAGCACAGCCAGACAGAACACCACATGGGCATGATGACAAACGTTAGCGAAAAACAAACGTTTAAATACATAATTGCCTAGAGAAGTTCTGAGATTACTGTGTGTTGGTGGTTCGAAGTAAACAATGCGATCAACCAAGTTTGTGGGCACACCCCATCTACCTAACGGGGCTGTATCTGCATTTGCTATGAATGCCGGAGTTTGTGGTTCACTATGAGCAGACGAATACACAGGAAGTCGAAACTTCCCAATTCTACCAGTGAAATGAAAATGTGCTTGTTCTAGCTTGTGGTTTGGATGTTTATGACAAAAACGTAATGTTGTTAATATTATAATTTTACATTTACATCATTTAGCAGACGCTCTTACTTGGCTTGCTGGCTAGCTAGCATTTAGCTGAGTGGGGTTAACTAAAGCAAAAATAGCCAGTTGTCTAGCTACAAACATGTTTGTTTAAACCAGATGAAGGTTGTACAAGTATTAACTAAATAATGTAAAGAATACATGTATGGCACAACAACTATGAGCTTTCTTACAATGTGCTAGCATGCTAGCTAGTGAAAATGTTTTCCACCAGCAGTTGTTTGTTGCCTGCTACTTTGTTCCATCACCACTGTTTGCTATAAGGTGAGGGTGGTTGACTCGTGAAGAAGCAAATAAATGGATGGATGAAACATGAAATACATTGTGGCCATAATACTTTTATCTTCCAAGTTTTTACAACATTTTTGTTTGATTAAAGTTAGCGAGCTGGTCCCATGGGTGAACCCATGCTATGTCTTTGCTCTGCTAGCTACACACCGAGTGCGGCAGCAAATGCTGGTGCGTTTATTTATTTTTACATAAGAGTGTAGAAAGCGGGTAAAATAAGTATTAAACGATATCACGACATGCCTACGTCATATCGATATCAAACTAAATCGATATTATCGATATTGGTGCCCACCATTAGTAATTACTGTATTAGGCGTTGATACATTGATTGCCTTTATCAAACTTTATTTTACCAATGAAGTTGACTAAGAACACATTCTCCTTTACACCAATGATGAACAACCTGCAGAAGAGTTGCACAGCGTTGTCTTCTGTCTCTGATGTGCGTGTTGTTGTGTTCTGTTTCTGATGTGTGTGTGTTCCCTGCACCAGGTGGATGATCTGAAGGCCAAGCTGGCCGTGCAGGAGGTGGAGCTCAAGCAGAAGAACGAGGATGCTGACAAGCTCATCGAGGTGGTCGGTGTGGAAACAGAGAAAGTGTCCAAGGAGAAGGTCATAGCCAACGATGAGGAGCTCAAAGTGCAAGTAATCGCCAAGAATGTGGGAGAGAAACAGAGGTCTTGTGAAGAGGACTTGGCTAAAGCAGAACCTGCCCTGTTGGCTGCCCAGGAGGCTCTCAACACTCTCAACAAGGTCTGGATGTGTGTGTGTGTGTGTGGGTTATTCTATCCTTGTGTGGACCTAAAGTCCCCAAATGTCCCCACAAGGATAAAATAAGGAACATTCTCCCTCGTGGGGACATTTCCCTCATCCCCATGAGGACAAAGGCTATTTTAAGCTTAGGGGTTAGGGTTAGAATTAGGGTTGGGGTAAGGGGTTGGGGTTATGGGTTAGGGTTAAGGTTAGGGTTATGGTAAGGATTAGGGAATTTGAATGGAAATTCATTTTAGGTCCCCACGAGGGGAAGAACATAACATGTATGTGTGTGTGTGTCAGTATGTATAGAGCTTTAAACACACTCTAAAAATCAAATCAAATCACATTTTATTGGTCACATACACGTGTTTAGCAGATGTTATTGCGGGTGAAGCTTGTGCTTCTAGCTCTGACAGTGCAATAATATCTAACAAGTAATATCTAACAATTTCACAACATATACCCAGTACACACAAATCTAAGTAAGGAATGAATTAAGAATATATACACTACCAGTCCTACTCATTCAAGGGTTTTTACTATTTTTAAAGTAATGATGGACTGTTGTTTCTCTTTGCTTATTTGAGCTGTTCTTGCCATAATATGGACTTGGTCTTTTACCAAATAGTGCTATCTTCTGTATACCCCCGCTACCTTGTCACAACACAACTGATTGGCTCAAACGCATTAAGAAGGAAAGAAATTCCACAAATTAATTTTAAGAAGGCACACCTGTTAATTGAAATGCATTCCAGGTGACTACCTCATGAAACTGGTTGAGAGAATGCCAAGAGTGTGCAAAGCTGTCATCAAGGCAAAGGGTGGCTATTTGAAGAATCTCAATTATAAAATATATTTTGATTTGTTTAACACTTTATTGGTTACTACATGATTCTATATGTGTTATTTCATAGTTTTGATGTCTTCACTATTATTCTACAATGTAGAAAATAGTAAAAATAAAGAAAAACCCTTGAATAAGTAGGTGTGTCCAAACTTTTGACTGGTACTGTACATATACGGACGAGCGATGTCAGAGCGGCATGGACTAAGACACAGTAGGATAGTATAGAATACAGTATATACATATGAGATGAGTAATGTAAAATATGTAAACATTATTAAAGTGGCTAGTGTTCCATTTCTTAAAGTGGCCAGTGATTTCTAGTCTATGTCTATAGGATAGTTAACAAGATTAGTAGGAATCGAGCATTGAAACTACTGTAGTGAGCCTAAAATGCTGAAGAGTGTGTGTGTTGTCCAGTGAGTTAAGTGACTCTGTGGTCATATAAGCTGTCTGTTCCCCCTGCACTGCAGAACAACCTGACAGAGTTGAAGTCGTTTGGCTCTCCCCCGGAGGCGGTGGTGAACGTGATGGGTGCTGTGATGATCCTGATGGCCCCAGGAGGGAAGGTGCCCAAAGACAAGAGCTGGAAGGCTGCCAAGAACACCATGGCCAAGGTGGACGCCTTCCTGGACGCCCTGATCAACTACAACAAGGAGAACATCCCTGACACCTGCATCAAGGCCTTCCAGTGAGAAACACAAACCTAGCTGACATCCAAACACTTTGGCTGATTCATCATGAAATCCTTATTTCTCTGAAGATTTCAGCCCCTTTTCCCCTGATTTTCTTTTATCTCTTGTTGATGATAGGTGTTGTGTGTATCTTCTTTTTATTCCCTGTGCAGACCGTTTAAGAACGACCCCACGTTCGAGCCAGAATACATCCGCTCGAAGTCACTTGCTGCTGCAGGTCTGTGTTCGTGGTGCATCAACATTGTGATGTTCTACGAGGTGTACTGTGATGTGGAGCCCAAACGCCAGACTCTGGCCCAGGCCAATGCTGAGCTGGCCGCTGCCTTGGACAAACTCTCCGTCATCAAGTCTAAGATCAATGTGAGAGAATACAATAGAATTGTTACAAAACCGATTAACAAGCCTTCTAATATAGTTGCACTCGCGAAATCTTGGGGTCTTAGGCCTAGTTAAATGGTCTGTAACCTGATTTAAGATGTGCATCTACAGTGAGCTCCAAAAGTATTGGGACAGTGAAAATTTTTTGGGGGCTCTGTACTCCTGCACTTTGGATTTGAAATGATACAATGACTAAAAGGTTAGAGTGCAGACTGTCAGCTTTAATTTGAGGGTATTTTCATCGTGAAATTTTTTGGGGGGCTCTGTACTCCTGCACTTTGGATTTGAAATGATACAATGACTAAAAGGTTAGAGTGCAGACTGTTAGCTTTAATTTGAGGGTATTTTCATCGTTATCGGGTCAACCGTTTAGAAATTAAAGCACTTTTTGGACATAGTCCCCCCATTTTAGGGGACCAAAAGTATTGGGCAAATTCACTTATATGTGTATTAAAGTAGTCAAAAGTTTAGTATTTGGTCCCATATTCCAAGCACGCAATGATTACATCAAGCTTGTGATTTACAAACTTTTTGGATGCATTTGCTGTTTGTTTTGGTTGTGTTTCAGATTATTTTGTGCCCAATAGAAATTAATGGTAAATAATGTATTGTGTCATTTTGGAGTCACTTTTATTGTAAATAAGAACATAGTATGTTTCTAAACACTTATGTGGATGCTACTATGATTATGGATAGTCCTGAATGAATCGTGAATAATGATGAGTGAGAAACTTACAGATGCACTAATATCATACCCCCAAAAAATGCTAACATCCCCTGTTATTGTAATAGTGAGAGGTTAGCAGTGCATGTCTTGGTGGTATGATATTTGTGTGTCTGGAACTTTCTCACATCATTATTCATGATTCATTCAGGTTCACCTGAAATGGATAATAATATCCTCAAATTAAAGCTGACAGTCTGCACTTTAACCTCATAGTCATTGGATCATTTTAAATCCAAAGTGCTGGAGTACAGAGCCAAAACAACCAAACAATGTTCACTGTGCCAATTATTTTGGAGCTCACTGTATGTGAGAAATAAGCTTATGTGTCTAGGTGTTGAATGTATGTACCCAGGAGACAGCTACCTTACCTTAAAGGGCAACTCCGCCACTTTTCAACCTCATATTCATTATCTCCAGCATTGCATAAAAGTACAGACTCAAAGCTTCAAAATTGTATATCATACACTGCAACAATGTGAAAGTAATGCTGCTTTGAAAGTTGATCAAATTGTAACCCTACCTTTGAGAAATGGCCCTTGAAAAGTTTGGATTCAGTTTTTACACTTCTTTGTTCACACCCATTCAGCATGGTTCACACCGTCTTAAGCCTTAGCCCCATCCATCTCTTTAAGGATTCACATGTGAGGCCATGTGTTAAACAGTGAGTAAGGTAGTCTAGTAAACAACCAAAGATTTCAAGACTAAAAGTGGTGAAAGTAGTAGCCTACAATAAGGAAAATTCCAGATAAAAATACACTTTATAAAGAATGTAAGATCAATAAAAGTAGTGCTAATCATGTTGGTGGTAAATGAAATAATCAAAATATGTTTGTTTTTTGCTTTACATACGAAGTGTTGTCATCGATACCTTGTACAGTCGTCACACCGCTGCTTTTGTCACATGAAATGGCAGCAGCTTTGCACCAATGTTTTTGTGTCCTGGGTCGTGTCCTGGTAATACTATTGCATTGTCCTCTGCATAGTGGTTGAAGTTCACAACTCGCTGCAAGTCCTCATGCTTCTGGTGTAACCTGTGCTTGCTTGGGCCGGCACTCTTTTTGATGGGAGGCATAAGACCATTCTCCTTGAATGATTGGTGAAGGAGAGTCAGGCGTGTTCTGCTGATGCTGAAAGACAAATTCAAGAGACAAATATTTTATCATGATTAGATGAGGCTTACCCAGACGTACTTGTCTAAATTGATGGGCCATGTGAAAGAGAGGCTATAACCACCCACCAGCCACATCTAGCTATGCTTTTAAAGCTTTTGCCCATTATTACTTTCAAAATTCTTCAAGCTCGGTCAAATTGGTTGTTGATCATTGCTAGACAACCATTTTCAGGTATTTTTTATAGATTTTCAAGCAGATTTAAGTCAAAACTGTAATTCAGCCACTTAGGAACATTGCCTTTCTTATTGGTTAGCAACTCCGGTGTAGATTTGGCCTGTGTTTTAGGTTATTGTCCTGCTGAAAGGTGAATTCATCTCCCAGTGTCTGGTGGAAAGCAAACTGAACCAAGTTTACCTCTAGGATTTTGCCTGTGCTTAGCTCCATTCTGTTTCTTTTTTATCCTGTAAAACTCCCGAGTCCTTAACAATTACAAGCATATCCATAACAGGATGCAGCCAACACTATGCTTGAAAATATGGAGAGTGGTACTCAGTAATGTATTGGATTTGCCCCAAACATAACACTTTGTATTCAGCACAAAAAGGAAATTGCTTTTCCACATTTTTTGCAGTATTACTTTAGTGCCTTGTTACAAACAGGATGCATGTTTTGGAATATTTTTAATCTGTACATGTTTCCTTCTTTTCACTCTGTCAATTAGGTTAGTATTGTGGAGTAACTACAATGTTGTTGATCCATCCTCAGTTTTCTCCTATCAAAGCCATTAAACTCTGTAACTGTTTTAAAGTCACCATTGGCCTCATGGTGAAATCCCTGAGTGGTTTCTTTCCTCTCCAGCAACTGAGTTAGGAAGGACGCCTTTATCTGGATAGTGATTGGGTTTATTGATACACCATCCAAAGTGTAATTAATAACTTCACCATGCTCAAAGGGATATTCAATGTCTTTTTTTTTTACCCATCTACCAATATGTACCTTTCTTTGCGAGGCATTGCAAAACCTCCCTGGTCTTTATGGTTGAATCTGTGCTTTGTTAGGTTCTAAATAAACAGAGTATAACTCACGGATGACTAGGAAAAGCTCAAACCAAGTTTATTCACCCACTGGGTCAAACAGCTGAAAAGACAAAGACGTGTACACAAGCATATATATTTATACCTTCCCCCTATGCTGAGTCTCGTCCTTGCACATCTGTACAGCCAATACATCTCTGTTGCTAGACAGGACTTTTGTGGTGACTGTTCTTTCTCCCTTCGTTTGACCTGACCTCGGCCCAAATTCCTCACTCCTCCCCAACACATGGCTGTCCTACCTTATCTGTGACTGAAACCAGACCATTGCCCTTCTCCTCTCCATAGGATACCTGAGATTGAACAATAACATGTTCTGACAGAATGTAAACTTTCTGCCCTCCCCTTTCTCACACAGTAGATTCCATCCACTCAGTTCTAATAGTGTAAGATATTTAAAGTTAGAAGATCGAATCCAACAGCTTCAAATTCACTGCTCGACTGAGGGTCCTTACAGATAATTGTATGTGTCGGGTACAGAGATGAGGTAGTAATTCAAAAATCATGTTAAACACTTATTGCACACAGAGTGAGTCCATGCAACTTATTGTGTGACTTGTTAAGCACATTTTTACTTCTGAACTTTAGGCTTGCAATAACAAAGGGGTTGAATACTTATTGACTCAAGACATTTCAGCTTTTCATTTTTAATTAATTTGTAAAAATTTCGACATTATGGGTTATTGTGGGTAGGCCAGTGACAAAAAATCTCAATTTAATCAATTTTAAATTCAGGCTGTAACACAACAAAATGTGGAAAAAGTTGAGGGGTGTGAATACTTTCTGAAGGCATTGTAGCTAGCTAGCTAACAGTATGCTTTAACTTGCAATGAAAATGACTTTCTGACAAAATTAGAAATGTATAATATCTGAAAATGTAGCTAGACTTACCCGTATACATGGATGAATGCTTCACGGCCATGGTTGCCCTTAGTTTGAAAATGTAATCCGGAGACAGGTGTTTTATGCAACAGCCTTCTGTGTTCCCTTTTTGACTCCCTCCGCATTTGCAATCAAAAGTCAGAATTTTCTCCTTCTCATACTCCGCTTCCACCGGGCATTCCACTGATTTCAAAAATCATTAAACCTCTTCCGTGACAACAACACTGTTGATCTACGTTTATCTTCTGTCACTGTCATCAGAAGACTACAGTGTACTGTATATTTCAGTGAAAATGTTTTTACCAAAATCAGGGATTTCCTCATTGTCTGATTCATTTTCAGAGTCAGAGAGTGTCAGCATGGCACGATCGTCTAAAAAGTAGTCCATCACAACTTTTATCCTTTGATGTTTGTCGAAAGCACCTGCTAAATTCAGGGCAGCAATGTTGTTGAGAGCAGTAGCAACACTTTTGCAGTTCTCCGTGGCTATATCTTTCAAAAAACCTGCGGTAGCAAGGATTATCTGAGCAGCTCATGTTATAGACAGAAGCCTGCAACATGGCAGACAAATCAGAACTCATCTCTCGGCATGTCCAGCCCAGCCATTATCTCAGCCAATCATGGCTAGCAGGAAGGTTCCCGTCTTTTTTTGTGGCTAAACCAATTAGGCTCTTAATTTAAATATTTTATTCGTATTTATAGATGACACACAAGTTTGTTATTAAGGCACATGAAAGTTCACATGTTCAAGAAGGCATTTGTGCCCCAAAAATAAATGTACATGTAATGATTTAATTTTACGTTCAAATGCCTCTCCTGTGAAGTAGTGATTTCCGTCATACAACCAGCTTTCTGAAACGGGCCACATGTGAAAACGGCGCGTTTCTATGATCTGTGGTTAAAAAGATAAGAAGAAAAGTAAAAAAAAAAGTATTATCTGTGACATCACAGGGTAGGATTAAAAGTATGAAAAACAGTGATTTTCAAAACCTGCAAAGAGTTTCTAGCCAGAGTGAGGGTATTTTCTTGCTCCCCACGTCACTGCGAATGTCATAGTGTTTGAAAATCACTGTTTTTAACTTTTTTTAACTTTTGATGATGTCATTGGGAATAACTTTTTTACGTTATATTTTTTCTACAATATGTAGAAATGCACCATTTTCACATACATAAACACTGGTTTGGTGCTGGAGATAATGAATATGAGGTTGAAAAGTGGCGGAGTTGCTCTTTAAGTCCAGGGCCAGCTCCGTTTTGACCTAGTGGTTGGCCAGTCCAAGTGGATTATTATTTGTTCATATGGTGACTAAATAAATATGTAAAAAAAAAAGGGAAAAATACAAAAAGGCATCTTACTGATGATCACCTTAATTGGCAGCACCTGATGTGCTTATCAAGACTTCCTTCTAGCACAGCACTTGGACATAGTTGGTGCTGCCACCTGGGGGATGGAGTGTGGAAGTCTATCCTGGTAGAATGTGTTGCCTGTGTGCTAACACTGAACAACCTACTACATAGCAGAACACACCGAAAAAAAAAATATTATCTACTTATAAAAGTCCATGTAGCTTAAATATTCAAGTTGGCTGGACTTTAAATTGGGAAATTGTTGAGATGACATGGAATACTCCACTAACCCTATGACGTTTTGCTCAATGTGAGTTGAATTTGAAATCCTTTGCAACACAAATAGCTGAGATGATCCCACAAGAGAGTTTAGTTTGCTGAAACCCGCAACAGAAAAATATTTATTATAGTTCATCCAACTTCAGATCTCTTGGCATAATGTCTAAGGTGTTGGGTTGACAGTTGCAGGACCCGGTCAGGGCTACCCACCTAATTTGCTACATTGGTCCATGGAGCTTAAATAGTTCAGCTGATGATATCCTTGCATCGTTAAGTTGAGAGGACTAGACATCCAAAGTTGAGTCATCTTAAAAAATCAAGGCAACCAGCTGCAATACGATTTCTAGTTTACTCAACTTTGGCAAATGTGTTGAGACAACTCAGGAAAAAGTATTTGATCCCCTGCTGATTGATCAGTCTATCATTTTAATGGTAGGTTTATTTGAACAGTGAGAGACAGAATAACAACAAAAAAATCCAGAAGAACGCATGTTAAAAATTTTATAAATTGATTTGCATTTTAATGAGTGTCACGATCGCTTAAGGAGGAGGACCAAGGCGCAGCGTTGCGGGTGAACATATTTATATTTATTGACTAGATCACACGATCAAAACAAAGAACGAAACGTGAAGTCCTTCGATATACAAACCAAAAGGAACAAGAAACCACAAAACACAAAGTGCAAGACAAACAGTTAAATATGGCTCCCAATCAGAGACACCCAGCTGACACTCGTTGCCTCTGATTGGGAGTCACTCAGACCAACATAGAAAATTAAACATAGACTTACACACCCTGGCTCAACATAACATAGTCCCCAGAGCCAGGGCGTGACAGTACCCCCCCCGCAAAGGCGCGGACTCCGGCCGCGCCAAACAACCACAACAGGGGAGGGACCGGGTGGGCACTCCGCCTCGGCGGCGGATCCGGCTCCGGACATGACCCAGGCACGGGTTGTGCTGGACTGACGACGCACACCCCTGGCTTGCTGCGTGGAGGAGGAACAGGCCGGACCGGGCTGACGAAGCGCACCCCTGACTTGGTGCGGGGAGCAGGAATGAGCCGGACCGGGCTGACAACGCGCACCACTGACCCGGTGCGGGGAGTTTGGACGGGCCGGACCGGGCTGGCGACGCGCACCACAGACTTGGTGCGGAGAGCAGGAACGGGCCGGACAGGGCTGACGAAACGCACCATAGACTTGGTGCGGAGAGCAGGCACGGGCCGTGCCGGACTGACGACGCACACCACTGGCTTGGTGCGGGAAGCTTGGATGGGCCGGACTGGGCTGGCGACGCGCACCACAGACTTGGTGCGGAGAGCAGGAACGGGCCGGGCTGGGCTGTCGACGCACACCGTAGGTTTGGTGCGGGGAGCAGGAATAGACCGGGCTGGGCTGGCGACGCACACCGTAGGCTTTGTGCGTGGAGCAGGGACAGGCCGGGCTGGGCTGTCGACGCACACCACTGACTTGGTGGGAATGGCAGGAACAGGCCGGGCTGGGCTGACGACGCGCACCACTGACTTGGTGGGAATGGCAGGAACAGGCCGGGCCGGGCTGACGACGCGCACCACTGACTTGGTGGGAATGGCAGGAACAGGCCGGGCTGGGCTGACGACGCGCACCACTGACTTGGTGGGAATGGCAGGAACAGGCCGGACCGTACTGGGGACACACACCACTGGCCCCACGCAGGGATCAGGAACGGGCCGGACCGGACTGGTAACACACCCCAGTACCTCTCGCCGTGCCTCCACACTTTCCCTCTCCTCTGTGCCCAGTGGCCCCCCTAACCTGGCGGCCTTCTCTGCCAACGCTTTGCACCGCTCTAACCCGTACACCTGCTGCCCCGACGTCGTGAGCCCCCCCCTAAACATTTCCTGGGGGTCTCTCCTCTTGCCAGACTCGCAATCATCTCCTCCCACATCCATCCTCTCTCCTCGTCACGCTGCTTGATCCAGTCGAGGTTGCCACGGAGATCTGCCAGCGATGGCTCCTGAACACGCTGCTTGGTCTGGTTAAGGTGGTTTCTTCTGTCACGATCGCTTAAGGAGGAGGACCAAGGCGCAGCGTTGCGGGTGAACATATTTATATTTATTGACTAGATCACACGATCAAAACAAAGAACGAAACGTGAAGTCCTTCGATATACAAACCAAAAGGAACAAGAGACCACAAAACACAAAGTGCAAGACAAACAGTTAAATATGGCTCCCAATCAGAGACACCCAGCTGACACTCGTTGCCTCTGATTGGGAGTCACTCAGACCAACATAGAAAATTAAACATAGACTTACACACCCTGGCTCAACATAACATAGTCCCCAGAGCCAGGGCGTGACAATGAGGGAAATAAGTATTTGACCCCTCTGCAAAACATGACTTAGTACTTGGTGGCAAAACCCTTGTTGGCAATCACAGAGGTCAGACGTTTCTTGTAGTTGGCCACCAGGTTTGCACACATCTCAGGGGGGATTTTGTCCCACTCCTCTTTGCAGATCTTCTCCAAGTCATTAAGGTTTCGAGGCTGACGTTTGACAACTCGAACCTTCAGCTCCCTCCACAGATTTTCTATGGGATTAAGATCTGGAGACTGGCTAGGCCGCTCCAGGACCTTAATGTGCTTCTTCTTGAGTCACTCCTTTGTTGCCTTGGACGTGTGTTTTGGGTCATTGTCATGCTGGAATACCCATCCACGACCCATTTTCAATGCCCTGGCTGAGGGAAGGAGTTCTCACCCAAGATTTGACGGTACATGGCCCCGTCCATCGTCCCTTTGATGCGGTGAAGTTGTCCTGTCCCCTTAGCAGGAAAACACCCCCAAAGCATAATGTTTCCACCTCCATGTTTGACGGTGGGGATGGTGTTCTTGGGGTCATATGCAGCATTCCTCCTCCTCCAAACACGGCGATTTGAGTTGATGCCAAAGAGCTCGATTTTGGTCTCATCTGACCACAACACTTTCACCCAGTTCTCCTCTGAATCATTCAGATGTTCATTGGCAAACTTCAGACGGGCCTGTATATGTGCTTTCTTGAGCAGGGGGACCTTGCGGGCGCTGCAGGATTTCAGTCCTTCACGGCATAGTGTGTTACCAATTGTTTTCTTGGTGACTATGGTCCCAGCTGCCTTGAGATCATTGACAAGATCCTCTTGTGTAGTTCTGGGCTGATTCCTCACCGTTCTCATGATCATTGCAACTCCACGAGGTGAGATCTTGCATGGAGCCCCAGGCCGAGGGAGATTGACAGTTCTTTTGTGTTTCTTCCATTTGCGAATAATCGCACCAACTGTTGTCACCTTCTCACCAAGCTGCTTGGCGATGGTCTTGTAGCCCATTCCAGCCTTGTGTAGGTCTACAATCTTGTCCCTGACATCCTTGGAGAGCTCTTTGGTCTTGGCCATGGTGGAGAGTTTGGAATCTGATTGATTGATTGCTTCCTTTGATTGATTGCTCCCTTTAAGAGTGTGCTCCTAATCTCACCTCGTTACCTGTATAAAAGACACCTGGGAGCCAGAAATCTTTCTGATTGAGAGGGGGTCAAATACGTATTTCCCTCATTAAAATGCAAATCAATTTATAACATTTTTGACATGCGTTTTTCTGGATTTTTGTTGTTGTTATTCTGTCTCTCACTGTTCAAATAAACCTACCATTAAAATTATAGACTAATCATTTCTTTGTCAGTGGGCAAACGTACAAAATCAGCAGGGGATCAAATACTTTTTTCCCTCACTGTATATTAGCGAACTTTTTTGCCCCAAAGTTAAGTGAACTAGACATCATAATGCAGCTGGTTTCCTTGATTTGACTCAAGTTGACTCAATTTACAGTGTAGAATAGAATAATTCCATTGTGAAACAGAAATGTGTCTTGTTGCTGTATTTTTATTCTCACCCTTCCGGTCTTATTATCCATGAAAGAGGGATGTTGTTGTCTTGTATTTAGCAACTGAATGCTAACCTGGCCAAACTAACATCGGAGTTTGAGAAGGCCACATCGGACAAGCTGAGGTGTCAGCAGGAAGCAGACGCCACCAATCAGACCATCTCCCTGGCCAACAGGTGACATGCAGCTATAGTACAGTACAGTACAACACAGCACAGCACAACAAAACACAACCACAGACATGGGATGACACTCACTGCCTGTGCCTTCCTGGCTCAAATTCAAACTGTGTCTTTGAACATTTGATCTAATTTTAGTATAGAGATGATATTTTAAGATTTTTAGAATTTGAAATTAGATCTCTGATTTAATAACATTTAGTCTACCATCTTTGATAACTGTCATATTGACGCGTGTGGTGTGACTGTCTCTCTCTCTGGCAGGCTGGTGGGCGGTCTGGCCTCAGAGAAGGTGCGTTGGTCAGAGTCGGTGGGCCAGTTTAAGATCCAGGAAAAGACTCTGAGTGGTGACGTCATGCTCATCTCTGCCTTCGTCTCCTACGTGGGCTACTTCACCAAGAAGTACCGCATAGAACTCATGGACAAGTACTGGCTGCCCTACCTCAAAGAGCTCAAGGTACACCACACAGTCCTAACCCTACCTCAGAGAGGTCAAGGTACACCACACAGTCCTAACCCTACCTCAGAGAGGTCAAGGTACACCACACACTCCTAACACTAACCCTAGCCCTACCTCAAAGAGCTCCAGGTACAACACACACTCCTAACCCTACCTCAAAGAGCTCAAGGTACACCACACAGTCCTAACCCTACCTCAAAGAGCTCAAGGTACACCACACACTCCTAACCCTACCTCAAAGAGCTCAAAGTACATCACACACTCCTGGCTCAGCACACAAACCATACGTCATTAATGGAAACATCACAATCAGACCCGGGTCACTGAATGAATATAATTTTATTTTTATTTTTTATTTCACCTTTATTTAACCGGGGAAGCCAGTTGAGAACAAGTTCTCATTTACGACCTGGCCAAGATAAAGCAAAGCAGTGCGATAAAAACAACAACAACACAGAGTTACATATGGAATAAACAAAACATACAGTCAAAAACACAATAGAAAATCTATATACAGTGTGTGCAAATGTAGTAAGTTATGGAGGTAAGGCAATAAATAGGCCATAGTGAAAAATAATTACAATTTAGTATTAACACTGGAGTGATAGATGTGTAGAAGATGATGCGCAAATAGAGAAACTGGGGTGCAAATGAGCAAAATAAATAACAATATGGGGATGAGGTAGTTGGGTGGACTAATTACAGATGGGCTGTGTACAGGTGCAGTGATCGGTAAGCTGCTCTGACAACTGATGCTTAAAGTTAGTGAGGGAGATAAGAGTCTCCAGCTTCAGAGATTTTTGCAGTTCGTTCCAGTCATTTGCAGCAGAGAACTGGAAGGAATGGCGGCCAAAGGAGGTGTTGGCTTTGGGGATGACCAGTGAGTACCTGCTGGAGCGCATACTACGAGTGGGTGTTGCTATGGTGACCAATGAGCTAAGATAACCTGGAGCCAGTGGGTTTGGCGATGAATATGTAGTGAGGACCAGCCAACGAGAGCGTACAGGTCACAATGGTGGGTAGTATATGGGGCTTTGGTGACAAAACAGATGGCACTGTGATAGACTACATCCAATTTGCTGAGTAGAGTGTTGGAAGCTATTTTGTAAATGACATCGCCGAAGTCAAGGATCGGTAGGATAGTCCGTTTTACGAGGGCATGTTTAGCAGCATGAGTGAAGGAGGCTTTGTTGTGAAATAGGAAGCCGATTCTAGATTGAACTTTGGATTGGAGATGCTTAATGTGAGTCTGGAAGGAGAGTTTACGGTCTAACCAGACACCTAGGTATTTGTAGTTGTCCACATATTCTAAGTCAGACCCGCCGAGAGTAGTGATTCTAGTCGGGCGGGCGGGTGCAAGCAGCGTTCGATTGAAGATCATGCATTTAGTTTTACTAGCGTTTAAGAGCAGTTGGAGGCTACGGAAGGAGTGTTGTATGGCATTGAAGCTCGTTTGGAGGTTTGTTAACACAGTGTCCAATGAGCCAGATGTATACAAAAGAGCCAGATGTATACAAAATGGTGTCGTCTGCGTAGAGGTGGATCTGAGAGTCACCAGCAGCAAGAGCGACGTCATTGATATACACAGAGAATAGAGTCGGCCCGAGAATTGAACCCTGTGGCACCCTCATAGAGACTGCCAGAGGTCCAGACAACAGGCCCTCTGATTTGACACATTGAACTCTATCTGAGAAGTAGTTGGTGAACCAGGCGAGGCAGTCATTTGAGAAACCAAGGCTATGTAGTCTGCCAATAAGAATGCGGTGGTTGACAGAGTCAAAAGCCTTGGCCAGGTCGATGAAGACGGCTGCACAGTACTGTCTTTTATCGATCATGGTTATTATATCGTTTAGGACCTTGAGCGTGGCTGAGGTGCACCCATGACCAGCTCGTAAACCAGATTGCATAGCGGAGAAGGTACGGTGGGATTCGAAATGGTCGGTGATCTGTTTGTTATCTTGCCTTTCAAATACTTTCAAAAGGCAGGGCAGGATGGATATAGGTATGTAACAGTTTGGATCTAGAGTGTCACCCCCTTTGAAGAGGGGGATGATCGCGGCAGCTTTCCAATCTCTGGGGATCTCAGACGATACGAAAGAGAGGTTGAACAGGCTAGTAATAGGGGTTGCGACAATTTCGGCGGCAAATTTTAGAAAGAAAGGGTCCAGATTGACTAGCCCAGCTGATTTGTAGGGGTCCAGATTTTGCAGCTCTTTCAGGACATCAGCTATCTGAATTTGGGTGAAGGAGAAGCGGGGGGGTGGCATGGGCAAGTTGCAGCAGAGGGTGCAGAGCTGTTGGCCGGTGTAGTGGTAGCCAGGTGAAAAGCATGGCCAGCCGTAGCAAAATGCTAGATTTATCGGTGGTGACAGTGTTTCCTAGCCTCAGTGCAGTGGGTAGCTGGGAGGAGGTGCTCTTATTCTCAATGGACTTTACAGTGTCCCAAAACTTTTTGGAGTTAGTGCTACAGGATACACATTTCTAGCCTTTGCTTTCCTAACTGATTGTGTATATTGGTTCCTGACTTCCCTGAAAAGTTGCATATCGCGGGGCTGTTCGATGCTAATGCAGTACGCCACAGGATGTTTTTGTGCTGGTCAAGGGCAGTCAAGTCTGGGGTGAACCAGGGGCTATATCTGTTCATAGTTCTGAATTTTTTGAATGGGGCATGCTTATTTAAGATGGAGAGGAAAGCACTTTTAAAGAACATCCAGGCATCCTCTACTGACGGAATGAGGTCAATATCCATCCAGGATACCCGGGCCAGGTGAATTAGAAAGGCCTGCTCACTGAAGTGTTTTAGGGAGCGTTTGACAGTGATGAGGGGTGGTCGTTTGACCGCGGACCCATTATGGACACAGGCAATGAGGCAGTGATCGCTGAGATCCTGGTTGTAGACAGCGGAGGTGTATTTAGAGGGTAAATTAGTCAGGATGATATCTATGAGGGTGCCCATGTTTACGGATTTAGGGTTGTACCTGGTAGGTTCCTTGATAATTTGTGTGAGATTGAGGGCATCTAGTTTAGATTGTAGGACGGCCGGGGTGTTAAACATATCCCAGTTTAGGTCACCAAGTAGTACGAACTCTGAGGATAGATGGGGGGCAAGCAATTCACATATGATTTCCATGGTACAACTGGGGGCTGAGGGGGGTCTGTAGCATGCGGCAACAGTGAGAGACTTATTTCTGGAAAGGTGGATTTTTAGAAGTAGAAGCTCAAACTGTTTGGGCACAGACCTGTATAGTATGATAGAGCTCTGCAGGCTATCTATACAGTAGATTGCAACTCCGCCCCCTTTGGCAGTTCTATCTAGATGGAAAATGTTGTAGTTCGGGATGGAAATTTCAGAATTTTTGGTGGCCTTCCTAAGCCAGGATTCAGACACTGCTAGAACATCAGGGTTGGCAGAGTGTGCTAACGCAGTGAATAACTCAAACTTAGGGAGGAGGCTTCTGATGTTAACATGCAAGAAACCAAGGCTTTTTTTATTTTTATTTTTTATTTTTATTTCACCTTTATTTAACCAGGTAAGCCAGTTGAGAACAGGTTCTCATTTACAACTGCGACCTGGCCAAGATAAAGCAAAGCAGTGCAATAAAAACAACACAGAGTTACATATGGGGTAAAAAACATAAAGTCAAAAATACAACAGAAAATATATATACAGTGTGTGCAAATGTAGCAAGTTATGGAGGTAAGGCAATAAATAGGCTATAGTGCAAAATAATTACAATAGTATTAACACTGGAATGCTAGATGTGCAAGAAATTATGTGCAAATAGAGATACTGGGGTGCAAAAGAGCAAAATAAATAACAATATAGGGATGAGGTAGTTGGGTGGGCTAATTTCAGATGGGCTGTGTACAGGTGCAGTGATCGGTAAGGTGCTCTGACAACTGATGCTTAAAGTTATTGAGGGAGATAAGAGTCTCCAGCTTCAGAGATTTTTGCAATTCGTTCCAGTCATTGGCAGCAGAGAACTGGAAGGAATGGCGGCCAAAGGAGGTGTTGGCTTTGGGAATGACCAGTGTGATATACCTGCTGGAGCGCAGACTACGGGTGGGTGCTGCTATGGTGACCAATGAGCTAAGATAAGGCGGGGATTTGCCTAGCAGTGATTTATAGATGGCCTGGAGCCAGTGGGTTTGACGACGAACATGTAGTGAGGACCAGCCAACAAGAGCGTACAGGTCACAGTGGTGGGTAGTGTATGGGGCTTTGGAGACAAAACGGATGGCACTGTGATAGACTACATCCAATTTGCTGAGTAGAGTGTTGGAGGCTATTTTGTAAATGACATCGCCGAAGTCAAGGATCGGTAGGATAGTCAGTTTTACGAGGGCATGTTTGGCAGCATGAGTGAAGGAGGCTTTGTTGCGAAATAGGAAGCCGATTCTAGATTTAACTTTGGATTGGAGATTCTTTATGTGAGTCTGGAAGTTGAGTTTACAGTCTAACCAGACACCTAGGTATTTGTAGTTGTCCACATACTCTAGGTCAGACCCGTCGAGAGTGGTGATTCTAGTCGGGTGGGCGGGTGCCAGCAACGTTCGATTGAAAAGCATGCATTTAGTTTTACTAGTGTTTAAGAGCAGTTGGAGGCTACTGAAGGATTGTTGTATGGCATTGAAGCTCGTTTGGAGGTTTGTTAACACAGTGTACAATGAAGGGCCAGATGTATACAAAATGGTGTCGTCTGCGTAGAGGTGGATCTGAGAGTTTACGGTTACAGAAGTCAACAAATGATAGCGCCTGGGGAGTAGGAGTGATAATGGGGGCTACAGGGCCTGGGTTAACCTCTACATCACCAGAGGAACAGAGGAGGAATAGAATAAGGATACGGCTAAAGGCTTTAAGAACTGGTCTTCTAGTGCGTTGGGTACAGAGAATAAAAGGGGCAGATTTCCGGGTGTTTTAGAATAGATTCAGGGCATTATGTACAGACAAGGATATGGAAGGATATGAGTACAGTGGAGGTAAACCTAAGCATTGGGTAACAATGAAAGAGATAGCATCACTGGAGGCACCGATTGAGCCGGTCTCCGCGTGTATGGGGGGTGGGACAAAGGAGCTATCTGAGGCAGGTTGAGCGGGACTGGGGACTCTACAGTGAAATAGTACAATAAGAACTAAGTCAAACAGCAATAGGCAAGGCATATTGACATGGGAGAGAGGGATAACGCAATCATAGGTGTTATTCGAGAGAGCTAAGACAACAACTGGTAATGGCGACGAAAGTTTGGGCTGAGGCTAAACAGATAAACAGGATGGGTTACCGTTTAAAGGAACAGTCCAGCAGGCATCAGCTGTGTAGCTGAGTGATCATAAGGTCCAGTGAACAGCAATAGGTGAGTCCGGGAGCAGTTCGTAGGCTGCTACATTACAGGTGAGCAGGAGGCATGGCTGTTGATTGCGTGTGCTAGCGGGCCGGGGCTAGCAGATGGATCTTCGTGGTCTTCACAACGGGAAGCCTGTTGAAACCACATTAGACGATTACGTCGGCAGACCAGTCGTGATGGATCGGCGGGGCTCCGTGTCAACACTAGGAGGTCCCGTCCGGTTGACAGAGAGGTAGATAGCCGGGAGATGGGCCTGGCTCGAGGCTAGCTCAAGGCTAACTGGTACGTGCTTCAGACAGTGGTGATTAGCCAACAACAACAACAGCCATTCGGTTGCAGCTAGCTAGTTGCGATGATCCGGTGTTAAGGTCCAGTGATTCAGTGATTCCGGCAGAAAATCCGATATGCTCTGGGTCGATAGCACGCTGTGCAGACTGGCCGATAATTGTCCAAGCTAGAGCTGGCTGGTAGGTAGTGCAGGCCACGGACAGTGGTGAAGACCGCTAACGGTGGCTAATAGCAAGTAGCTAGTTAGCTGGCTAACTGGCTAGCTGGCTAGTTTCAGTCAGAGGTTCTTGATAAAAGGTATAAAGAAATAATAGAATCCGTTCCACATTGGGTGAGGCTGGTTCCAGGAAAATATATTTAGTTAAAGGATGGAAAAGTGAGATAGAGAAGTATATACGAAAAAAACTACAAAAAAACAGGCTATTTACACGAGGACACAACAGAATACACGACCGCACTGCTACGCCATCTTGGATAAATCAGTTCAACATTACTTAATCATCTGAAAGGAGATTGGCTTGCATGATTGTGTTCTCAATTAAACATTTGCTAACCAACAAAGTGATGCAGATGTAGTATACTGTAGTAATCTCCTGTTCCCCCCCTCCCTCTCCCAGGTCCCCATCCCGATCACAGAGGGGCTGGACCCTCTGATGTTGCTTACAGATGATGCAGACATCGCTGCCTGGAGCAACCAGGGCTTGCCTAGTGACCGCATGTCCATTGAGAACGCCACCATCCTGTGCAATACGGAGCGCTGGCCGCTCATCGTGGACGCCCAGCTCCAGGGAATCAAGTGGATCAAAAGGAAATACGGAGACAACCTCAAAGTCATCCGGTTGGGACAGAAAGGGTCAGTCGCTGTCCTTCTCACACACAGTTCGGATAGAGTAGCCAGTGTGTGGTCTTGGTGTCCAGGCATTGACATACTATCTACCTGTGTGTGTGTGTGTGTGTGTGTGTGTGTGTGTGTGTGTGTGTGTGTGTGTGTGTAGGTACCTGGACAGCATCGAGAGCGCTGTGTCTAACGGAGACCCTCTGCTGATAGAGAACATCAGTGAGAATGTAGAACCTGTCCTGGACCCTTTACTGGGCAGGAACACCATCAAGAAGGGCAAGTAAGTCACCACATCATCACCTCTATATACCACCTACAGCCCCCTCTCACCGCTCCCTGGGCCACTATGACTCCTCACAATGGATGCATCCCAAATGGCACCCTATTCCCTATTTAGTGCACTACTTTTTACCAGGTAGTAGTGCACTCTATATTATTTTGAACAGTCAAAAGTAGTCCACTACTTAGGGAATACGGTGCCATTTGGGACACACACAATGACTCCACATAGGGCAGGGATGTCAAACTCATTTTCCCTGCGGACCGCATTCGGTCTTAACCGAGGTCCGGAGGGCCACACTTAAAATGTATTATATTTATTTGCCGTAAAAATAACAGTCCTTCAGTCTCTCTCATGCATTCTGTCTGCCAGGTACATCCGGATAGGAGACAAGGAGGTGGAGTACAGCCCTAGCTTCCGTCTCATCCTCCACACTAAGTACTTCAACCCTCACTACAAGCCTGAGATGCAGGCTCAGTGTACGCTCATCAACTTCCTGGTTACCAGAGATGGGCTGGAGGACCAGCTGCTAGCCGCCGTGGTCGCTAAGGAACGGCCCGACCTAGAGGAGCTCAAGGTGACAGAGGCCTTGTTTATACCTAGGGCTAACATTCGTCCTTTGTCCTGATCTTATCTACATTCTGATTGTAGCCGTTGCATACATGGTAGTAAAATGTGTCTCTTATCCGTCCACTGTGTCCGCATTGTGACCGGATATCCAGGTCCCTCCCTGTATGCAAATTATTTTACAGACATTCTTCCACACTTGTAAGGCTGCGTTTACACGGGCAGCCCAATTCTGATATTTTTTACACTAATTGGTCTTTTGACCAATCGCATCAGATCTTTTAACATCAGATATTTTTCAGATCTGATTGGTCAAAAGACCAATTAGTGATCTTTTTTTATATTTGGCTGCCTGTGTAAATGCAGCCTAAGATATCTCACAATGCCTGTCTGACTACTTCCAGATGTGGTCAGGAAGATCTAATCACAATCCGATCACAATGTCTTTTAATCGTCTACACCTGTCTAAAAATGTGGGCATAATCAGAATGTGGACAAGATCAGGACAAAGGACGCATGTTAGAACCAGGTATAAACGGGGCTTGGGACACGAAGAGACAATCACATTGTGTGTCCCAAATGGAACCCTATTGGTCAAAAGTAGTGCACTAAATAGAGAATAGGGTGTCATTTGGAACGCATTTGGACATGGCAGGGGCCATCCCATCCCCTCACCTTTGGGTTATGCTATTACACTGGAACAGGCTTCTTTCTGTCCGATAAATATCTAAAAGAGTGTTCCTCAAGGGTTCTTTGGTAAGGGTGATGGTTCTATGTTGAAGCATTATGACTCAAACAACCCCTTGAGCCCATCAATGGTTCTTTGCAGTTCAGAAAAAAGGTTAGTTCATCTTTTTAGGCCATACAAATTAGATTTACTGTATAACGGATTAAAAATATATATATATTGAGGCGAGTGAGAAAAAAAAAAAAGAACGGTTGGACGCCTTGTAAAAATACTAAACAACCTTAGTTGTCGGCTGTTGCCAGATGAGAGAGCACAGCGAGTAAGGTAGGCTACAAAATAGATAGCCAATTCGAAACATTGCTTGTAGCTTGGGTAGTTAGCTCACTTGGTCAAACAGTAAAGAGCATTATCTTCATAATTCCTCTAATGAAATGTGTCTGCCTTGCCCATGTGTCTGTTTCACTGGGGCCTGCTGCAGTGATAATGAGCAAGCCACTTTTTACTGCCTTTCCCACTGCGCTCCTGTATATTTTTTTTCCTTCTGATTCTAGCCATATGAAAAACACAGCTATCCTGTGTAATAATACTTGTCACAGTTGAAGAGAGGATGTTCTCAGCTTTGTGCAGGTATATTTCTGTATTTATCAGCTGTATATTTTACAACCAAGATATTGATATGGATTTGAGATACGGAGCACGCCGAGTGAGCATTGGCAATTGTGAGCGCATCGGCCTCTGCGAGCATATCTGCCTCATTGGGTATTAGGCTATGACAGCAAAGTTTTTTTAGGACATTAATAATTACTTTACTGTTAGATTAAAACACGGCTACTTCCAGTCAAAATTATATTTAGAGTTAGTGATTTAGCTAATGTGTTTTGAGTTTCCACTTACCCGGCTGGTGAATTAGCACCAAATATATTAGTCTTTGCTATTAGTGCACATAAAGATGTAGGCAAATTAATCTCTATTTAACTACAAATATTGAGTCCTATTTTAACAGTAAAATATAACAATGGCCTAATTGTCAACCCAAAATTCATGACAATCACTGGATTAGGTTGCAGTGCACATCAAAATATCTTGAATCATGCATTCCTGCTTAGATGAAACAAGTTATTTGAATACCATCTCAGTAGTCTATTTCACTTCTTTATTAAATCACTGTGAATGCCATTAGAAGATGATTAACCTACTCATTTTTTCTATTGGTGACCGTGAAGAAATATGTGAATATTAGCAGGTTTGTGGCGCACGCAGACCTCAAAATTGTTATTAAATGGCATTTCAAGTGGCATTAAAAAAGTCTTCAATTCAACTTGATGGATCCTGCAGAAACCCTGTGTACTGTACAATGCACTTATTAATGAACTCGCCCTACTGCCCGAGTGCCTACAGAAATGTACCACCTCTATTACATATGCAGTCAATGCATTCTCATAGAGCCCGACCGATATGGGATTTTTTGATCCAATTCCGATTTTAGAGTGGAAATAATTGTGCTTAAAACAGCCCTACAAAGATACTCAGAAAGCTGATTTCTTAAATTTGAGGAAAGAACATTCATGTAAGTACCACATACAATTTAGGAGCACCAGAAAAATGACATTTTTTAGTGGACAAACTGTCTTACTCTAGTGAAAGGAGGATAAACTGCACTGATTCCAGCAAAAAATCTGCCAAGTCGCTGAAGAATGAGCTGCCTTATGCTAGCCAGCTGGAAAACAACGACATAGGACACATTTTCAATGTATTGGTATTTAGCTACAGTGGGGAAAAAAAGTATTTAGTCAGCCACCAATTGTGCAAGTTCTCCCACTTAAAAAGATGAGAGAGGCCTGTAATTTTCATCATAGGTACACGTCAACTATGACAGACAAAATGAGAAAATAAAATCCAGAAAATCACATTGTAGGATTTTTTATAAATTTATTTGCAAATTATGGTGGAAAATAAGTATTTGGTCAATAACAAAAGTTTCTCAATACTTTGTTATATACCCTTTGTTGGCAATGACACAGGTCAAACGTTTTCTGTAAGTCTTCACAAGGTTTTCACACACTGTTGCTGGTATTTTGGCCCATTCCTCCATGCAGATCTCCTCTAGAGCAGTGATGTTTTGGGGCTGTCGCTGGGCAACACAGACTTTCAACTCCCTCCAAAGATGTTCTATGGGGTTGAGATCTGGAGACTGGCTAGGCCACTCCAGGACCTTGAAATGCTTCTTACGAAGCCACTCCTTCGTTGCCCGGGCGGTGTGTTTGGGATCATTGTCATGCTGAAAGACCCAGCCACGTTTCATCTTCAATGCCCTTGCTGATGGAAGGAGGTTTTCACTCAAAATCTCACGATACATGGCCCCATTCATTCTTTCCTTTACACGGATCAGTCGTCCTGGTCCCTTTGCAGAAAAACAGCCCCAAAGCATGATGTTTCCACCCCCATACTTCACAGTAGGTATGGTGTTCTTTGGATGCAACTCAGCATTCTTTGTCCTTCAAACACAACGAGTTGAGTTTTTACCAAAAAGTTCTATTTTGGTTTCATCTGACCATATGACATTCTCCCAATCCTCTTCTGGATCATCCAAATGCACTCTAGCAAACTTCAGACGGGCCTGGACATGTACTGGCTTAAGCAGGGGGACACGTCTGGCACTGCAGGATTTGAGTCCCTGGCGGCGTAGTGTGTTACTGATGGTAGGCTTTGTTACTTTGGTCCCAGCTCTCTGCAGGTCATTCACTAGGTCCCCCCGTGTGGTTCTGGGATTTTTGCTCACCGTTCTTGTGATCATTTTGACCCCACGGGGTGAGATCTTGCGTGGAGCCCCAGATCGAGGGAGATTATCAGTGGTCTTGTATGTCTTCCATTTCCTAATAATTGCTCCCACAGTTGATTTCTTCAAACCAAGCTGCTTACCGATTGCAGATTCAGTCTTCCCAGCCTGGTGCAGGTCTACAATTTTGTTTCTGGTGTCCTTTGACAGCTCTTTGGTCTTGGCCATAGTGGAGTTTGGAGTGTGACTGTTTGAGGTTGTGGACAGGTGTTTTTTATACTGATAACAAGTTCAAACAGGTGCCATTAATACAGGTAACGAGTGGAGGACAGAGGAGCCTCTTAAAGAAGAAGTTACAGGTCTGTGAGAGCCAGAAATCTTGCTTGTTTGTAGGTGACCAAATACTTATTTTCCACCATAATTTGCAAATAAATTCATAAAAAATCCTACAATGTGATTTTCTGGATTTTTTTTCTCAATTTGTCTGTCATAGTTGACGTGTACCTATGATGAAAATTACAGGCCTCTCTCATCTTTTTAAGTGGGAGACCTTGCACAATTGGTGGCTGACTAAATACTTTTTTTCCCCACTGTATGTTTTCATCGATTGTAGGGCTGTAGCCATTGAATTCTGATAATTGTCTCTCCCCCAAGTGTTGCCTCAGTGAATACAGCTGCAGTCTCTACACTGCTACACAATACAGTTCTAGTATGCAAACATAGACGGTAAACTATAAAGTTGCCCGCAAGGACACGTGACAACTGCAAGGTGCAATAACTGCGTACTCAAGTTTTTATTACGCCTCATGTCCACCAAATGCATCAAACTCTTTGCGTTCCGGCAGAAGTAATTCATTGTCAATGGAACAGTCCACAACGCTACATTGGGGGTGCGGCACTAGGCTGCGGTGTGTTCTGTGTACCGCATGCGTTCAATACTTTCAACTCCTGTGCGTTGCTTTACAGTGCAGTGGCACAAACGGAAGTACACACACAGACTCCAAGTAGCTAGCGTTTAGCTAGTTGAAAAGCAAAGCACATGTGCATCAAGTATGGAAAATGCGGGCTAGACATTGGGCAAAACACATACAGTGGGGAGAACAAGTATTTGATACACTGCCGATTTTGCAGGTTTTCCTACTTACAAAGCATGTAGAGGTCTGTAATTCACATTGTATGATTTTTAAGTAATTAATTTGCATTTTATTGCATGACATAAGTATTTGATCACCTACCAACCAGTAAGAATTCCGGCTCTCACAGACCTGTTAGTTTTTCTTTAAGAAGCCCTCATGTTCTCCACTCATTACCTGTATTAACTGCACCTGTTTGAACTCATTACCTGTATAAAAGACACCTGTCCACACACTCAATCAAACAGACTCCAACCTCTCCACAATGGCCAAGACCAGAGAGCTGTGTAAGGACATCAGGGATAAAATTGTAGACCTGCACAAGGCTGGGATGGGCTACAGGACAATAGGCAAGCTTGGTGAGAAGGCAACAACTGTTGGCGCAATTATTAGAAAATGGAAGAACTTCAAGATGACGGTCAATCACCCTCGGTCTGGGGCTCCATGCAAGATCTCACCTCGTGGGGCATCAATGATCATGTGGAAGGTGAGGGATCAGCCCAGAACTACACGGTAGGACCTGGTCAATGACCTGAAGAGAGCTGGGACCACAGTCTCAAAGAAAACCATTAGTAACACACTACGCCGTCATGGATTAAAATCCTGCAGCGCACGCAAGGTCCCCCTGCTCAAGCCAGCGCATGTCCAGGCCCGTCTGAAGTTTGCCAATGACCATCTGGATGATCCAGAGGAGGAATGGGAGAAGGTCATGTGGTCTGATGAGACAAAAATAGAGCTTTTTGGTCTAAACTCCACTCGCCGTGTTTGGAGGAAGAAGAAGGATGAGTACAACCCCAAGAACACCATCCCAACTGTGAAGCATGGAGGTGGAAACATAATTCTTTGGGGATGCTTTTCTGCAAAGGGGACAGGACGACTGCACTGTATTGAGGGGAGGATGGATGGGGCCATGTATCGCGAGATCTTGGCCAACAACCTCCTTCCCTCAGTAAGAGCATTGAAGATGGGTCGTGGCTGGGTCTTCCAGCATGACAACGACCCAAAACACACAGCCAGGGCAACTAAGGAGTGGCTCCGTAAGAAGCATCTCAAGGTCCTGGAGTGGCCTAGCCAGTCTCCAGACCTGAACCCAATAGAAAATCTTTGGAGGGAGCTGAAAGTCCGTATTGCCCAGCGACAGCCCCGAAACCTGAAGGATCTGGAGAAGGTCTGTATGGAGGAGTGGGCCAAAATCCCTACTGCAGTGTGTGCAAACCTGGTCAAGACCTACAGGAAACGTATGATCTCTGTAATTGCAAACAAAGGTTTCTGTACCAAATATTAAGTTCTGCTTTTCTGATGTATCAAATACTTATGTCATGCAATAAAATGCAAATTAATTACTTAAAAATCATACAATGTGATTTTCTGGATTTTTGTTTTAGATTCCGTCTCTCACAGTTGAAGTGTACCTATGATATGCTTTGTAAGTAGGAAAACCTACTTACCTAACCTACTACAGTTCTCCCCACTGTATGCATCTGGTGGACATTGCGCATTAGTCGTATAGGGATACACTGTCCAACGAAATGCTTACTTGCAGGTACCTTGACAATGCTACAACAATAATAAATAAGAAAATATAAGAAAAGTAGAATAGAATAAACATTTTAGCATAAGTATAATACAGGAATGCACAATTTATAGACCAATATGTACACGTGTTTTGGGGAAGGGAGGATAGGGGGGGGGGGGCAAGTGTTTGTGCAGTATTTAGCAGTCATAATAAGAGTCTGGTAGACGGCAGTTGTGATGTGTGTGTAGCATGAATGTATATATGTGTATGTGTGTTGTCGTGGAATATTCTAATCAAGTGAGAGAGACTTTGTCATTTCTTCAAACAATCATCTTTATTCAATATCGTTTTAATAATTGCAATAATGAAGCTGGTCGACCGCACACTGAAGTGTGTGTTGCCGAGAGCTCAAACTCATACAGAGAATACAGGGTCTTATATAGCAAACCTAAAAATGCTTAGTCATGGCTGGTTCCACCCCTCCCTTGCAGATCGGGGACATCATAAGCCACCTTGGGTTCATCTGGTGGTTATCTACACGGAGTGTTATTTTACTCCTCCTGGCTTAGTTTCCCAGATGCAAGGATGAGAACAAACAATGAAATGTTTGTTCTACTCCTCCAGGCTATCTCTATCTCGGGTCACACACACCACATATTATCTGTGGAATGCAGGCTGTAAATCAATTGTCAGCTCAAGCTATCTTTAGTGACCATACGCCCAGATTAGCTGCAGGGAGTTAGAGTGGAGACCGTCCCTTTCAAAAACACAGCATTAGTAGAACAGAAATGTCTTACTATTTGTTAAGTATATAATTTAACTATTAAAATCAAACAAATCAGGTAAATACGTAATTTTTCTCTCACAATGTGACCAAGAAAATAGTGGACAGAGCGAGAGCGCTCACTAACACAACTTAAACCTGCTATCTATAATAAACTGCCGCAGTTGCAAGCAGGCTGGACAATGTAATGAACTCTGCATAGAATAAATGCAATAATAACAAATATTCTTATAGGCCTACCTAAAGTAAAGACACATAACTGCAATGCACCGTGGGCATGACGCATAGAAAATAGTTAGCCAGGCTAGCTAGTAATAAGCATAAGCAACTTACAACTCAATATAACCCCCCAAATTACTTTATCCCCCCAACAGCATATGGCAAACATAACATACAGTATTACTACTCACTTTTAGGTGCACACACAAATACAGTTAAAGGAGAATGAAAACACTAGGATTTAGAACGCCAGCTAACTGTAACTGTAAATCACCATATTGGCATTGTTGCGTCACTGGAAGGAGAGACAATTTTGGAACTCCCAAAAATGGCTGAATTTACCGAGTAGCTCAGTCTGAGAATTAGTTTATTACAGAGAATGAATTAATGTTAGTTAGGGAGCCAATAAAACCTACTGAAGCCGTTCATGTTTGAACCGATCGTTGCCCCAGATCAAAGAGTTAGTTCTCGTTGCAGTAACAACACAGACATGCCGCCTGAAACACCTCAGCTAGAGGGTTGGCGTTGCCAAACACAAACTGGTGTGAGTGGGGATGCTGCCAGATAATGGCTAGAGAGTATGAGTGTGTGTGTTGTAGAGAGATGGTGCCGATACAGCACAAAATCCCAGCGGATGGTGGCTGTATTACATCCAGTCATGTACTGTACATTAAGAGACTATTGTAATATTGATGTACTGTACATTAAGAGAATATTGTAATATTGATGTACTGTACATTAAGATACTATTGTAATATTGATGTACTGTTAATTAAGAGCCTATTGTAATATTGATGTACTGTACATTAAGAGCCTATTGTAATATTGATGTACTGTACATTAACAGACTATTGTAATATTGATGTACTGTACATTAAGATACTATTGTAATATTTATGTACTGTACATTAAGAGCCTATTGTAATATTGATGTACTGTACATTAAGAGCCTATTGTAATATTGATGTACTGTACATTAAGAGACTATTGTAATATTGATGTACTGTACATTAAGAGACTATTGTGCAGTGGTCTAAGGCACTGCATCGCAGTGCTAGCTGTGCCACTAGAGATCCTGGTTCGAATCCAGGCTCTGTCGTAGCCGGCCGCGACCGGGAGACCCATGGGGCGGCGCACAATTGGCCCAGCGTCGTCCAGGGTATGGGAGGGAATGGCCGGCAGGGATGTAGCTCAGTTGGTAGAGCATGGCGTTTGCAACGCCAGGGTTGTGGGTTCGATTCCCACGGGGGGCCAGTATAAAATAAAATACAAATAATAATAATGTATGCACTAACTGTAAGTCGCTCTGGATAAGAGCGTCTGCTAAATGACTAAAATGTAAATATATGTAAATGTAGGTTCCTGTCAGTCTGTCTGGATGGCGATGTATTTATTGGACGTGTCACTAATCCTTATGAAGGACTTCCTGGCAGAAGAGGTTACTCGACCAGTCAGCAGCCGATTTGCCAGTTAAATAATTGCTGAAATTTTGCTTGATTATAAATTGATTAAGGTTAATATCAGTAGTGGGTAGGTGCGAAATATATATAAGCAGTATCCTATAACGATGTTTATCACCAGTGCTGTTTGGCGCGATGGGAACACATTAACCTTTTGATCAGACGACCAGAGTTCGAATCGCAGACAGCATTATGATTCATGAAATGTCATTCTAACCAATAATGGGGCGTGCTCATTATAAATATGTTGTGATTTAGTTTCGATATCAGACTAACTTTTCTTATGATTTGGTTTGCAGAGCATACAGGCTGTCAGTTTATCGCCAGTTCACCCTATGGGCACAAGGGAGAATTGGACGAGGTGTACGGCGTCTCATCCCTGCGTGTGCCGTTTCTTCCATAAAGCGCGCATATTCATAAGCAAAGGCATTTACATAGGGTTTGAGTTTGAATAAAACCAGTTCATTTAGTAAATCTAGACCTAATGCCTGCACCTTATGTAAAAATAGTATTAGTTAGCTTGTCCACTATAACAACAGGTTCAAGCATAACCAGATAAACTTGCTTTGTATTTAAAACTACTTTCAACGCGCACTAATCCCGTGTCCCCGTCACTAGAGTAGTGACTTCAACTAGCTTTGGCTGCCATCTATTGGAAAGGAATGGTACCTACACTGGGCAGCTAGTTGGCAGAGTCAAAGTAGACTTAAATAATATATGCCATTTAGTAAACGCCTTTATCCAAAGAGAACTGGGTACATGGGTAGTGGAAACAGATCATAGAAACAGGATTCCAATTTTTATATCATGGATGGTCAGTCCTTGCATCAATAGCTCTGTCTATTAATTTCTCCAGCCCCATCCCTCAGCTTTTTACCAAAAGAGGAGCAGGGAGACACTTTGTTATTGTTTCTACTGCTGAATGCCACTTTAAGAAGTTAAGATGCAGATTAAATACACACCAAAATGTGTTACAGATACTATAAAAATGTCCCATCACTCAGACAGTTAGTGAATACACAGCATCCAGCACAGCAAACAATCAATCAATCAAATGTATTTTACAAAGCCCTTTTTACATCAAATAATAACCACAGTGGTTATAGAGGGTGCAACAGTTCAACACCTCAGGAGCAAATGTCAGTTGGCTTTTCATAGCTGAGCATTCATAGGTTGAGAGAGAGTCGATACAGCAGGACCGGGACAAGGTAGAACATCCGTTGAAACGGGTAAAAAAAATCAGTGGAAAAACAATTCCACTTTATGGATGGGTGTATCTTTGAATTTGCAATTGAATGGCCTGCTCCTTCTACATTTTCGGAACACCAGCCCGCTCCCCGAAAGTGATCGATAGTATATCTTGGCTCGCACTGTGATGATTGTGATTCTGAGCTCTCAGGTTCATACAGCGAGTTATGGTCTTCACTGATCTCACTCTCCATCAGCTCCATCTGTGGCGTATAGGGGCAGGATTCGGTTGTATACTGATGGTCGTGAGCGCAATCTAACTGGGCCCCGAGATCTTTAGTGATGGTCCTGGTGGACCTCTTCTCCACCGCAGCACAGGAACACTCTGGCAACCAGGGGTCAGTTTGGCATGCTGTACTAACCGTTCTTTCCTGTTGGTAGAAAACAATTAAGGCATCTATTAGACTATAGTTATATTCAAGAATCACTACATATAGTGTATATTGTCCATTTTATATCCAAAATGGCCTCAGGGACGACAGATTGTGTCTTGAAATAAACAATAGCCTTAGAAATAACATGGATTTGTATGTACCTCCTCTGCCTCCTGCACAGTCTCCTCCAGGATGAAAACCTTTTCAGGGATGAAGATGTCATCCTGAAAACAAACAAACGTTTTGTTAAGACAACTGAACCCAAATGGTGATGATGGTCGGTCGGTAACCCCTACACCATAACCCTCGGAATTTAAAATGGAAGCGCAAGCAGAGGGCTTCAACGTAGGCCTATGACTCCTTTCCATTCGGAAACTCCCGGTTGCCGCATCAAAAGTGCCCTTCATCGTGCTGTCTGCAGATCCTGCTAGCTCGAGCTGGCACGTCCTTCCTCTTCAGGACATGGAGCCACTTCTTCAAAAGCTGTGGGTCCTTGGGCAGCCTATGGTAGCTTACAGAGGGATTTTTAGACCCAATTCATACAGCCTGGCTCTATACAGTTAATGTTTGAATTACTACTTGTTGTTGCCATCTTGTTGTCCGCACCTAACCTCACTCTCTTCGATGCACTCTCCACGCGAAAACTCAATACCACAGACAATTTGCTGATTCCTGCCAGTGACGCACTGGCGTCAGTCGTTACTATGGCAATTTAAAATGGCGCTGACCATAGCTCAAATAAACCTTGTCGATGATCAAAATACTAAATATAGAGATGTTTTTATGTTAAATTTTTAGTATTAGTGGATTGAATTTTTAGTATTAGTGGATTGAATACATCTCTTTGTTTAGATTTACTTCCTAAAGTGTTTCCATTCCCCTTTAAACATGCTGCAACTGACTGGAGGCAGGACATACAACGAGCAGGCTAAATAGAATGTCTCTGGGGTGATTGACTGATGAGCTGTCAGCCATTCTAACTAAAGGGACAAACTAGTGGTGCATAGGGAAATCTAAATATGAAGGCCTGATTGGAAGCTCCTCAGAGGCGGAAGGGGAGGACCATCCTCCTCAGTGAATGTCATAAAAATAAAAATAGTGAAACGTTAAAAAAGTTATCTTTTTTTTAGATAAAACTATACTAAATATATTCACGTCACCAAATAATTTATTAAAACACACTGTTTTGCCATGCAGGTCTACAGTAGCCTCAACTGCATGGTGTAGCTGGAGGACAGCTAGTTTCCGGCCTCCTCTGGGTACATTGACTTCAAAACAAAACCTAGGAGGCTCATGGTTCTCACCCCCTTCCATAAACTTACACATGAATTATGAAAATTTCTGGAGGACTTTCTCCAACCTATCAGAGCTCTTGCAGCATGAACTGACATGTTGTCCACCCAATCAAAGGAGCAGAGAATGAATCTAGTACTGAACGCATAAGCTACAGATAGCTAGCACTGCAGTGCATAAAATGTGGTGAGTAGTTGACTCAAAGAGAGAGAAAGGCAATAGTTGAACAAATTAATTTCTTTAAAAATTAAGGAGAACCAAGAGAGAGAGAGAGAGAAATATGTTGTATTTTTTTCACTTTAATTTAGCTAGCGAATGCAGCTAGCTAGTTTAACCTACTCAAACACCCGGCTCAAACAGAGAGGGATGCTATGTTAGCTAGCTGGCTATGGCTATCCAAAATAAAAAACACTGTATGGTTCTTCAAAAGGTTATTTGTAGAACCTTTGAGATTGAGAAAGGTTCTTTATAGAACCATTTTCCATAAAGGTTCTATAAAGAACCATTAACAAGGGGTATAACCATAGGTGAATGCTTTGGTGCTGTATATAACCTTTTTTTAATGATTATTTGTAGCTTAGGAAAGGGTTCTTTATAGCACCATAAAGGTTCTTTATAGTGCCTTCAATAAAGGGTTCTTACACCACCCCAAAAGGGATCTGCTATGGTTACAAGCCAAATAACCCTTATTTGGCACTGTAGAACCATTTGTGTGTGTGTAGAGAGAGGGCAAGCCAAATCAAGCAATGAACATTTATATCCAATATAATATATCCGGTTTGTGACAAAATAAAGTCAGTTCCTCAGTCTTCAAGTGGTAGGTGAGTGGTAGGTGGTGTGGCTCCGGGGTGAAGTGTTGGGAGCCACACCACCTGATCTAGGATCAGCTTCCACATTCCCCACCTTTTAACCATTAGTGGAGAAAATGCAAAACGGACCCAAGATCAGCATCTAGGGGCACCTTTACTCTACTCCGGATGGTTTGACTAACCCGTCCCCCTGTTGCTCTGCGCTGTGTATATAGGCTGAGCTGACCAAGCAGCAAAACAACTTTAAGATTGTGCTGAAGCAGCTGGAGGACTCTCTGCTGGCTCGACTCTCGGCCGCCTCTGGCAACTTCCTGGGAGACACCGCCCTCGTAGAGAACCTGGAGATCACCAAGGCAACCGCCACCGAGATCGAGGAGAAGGTACACGCACACACAAACACACTTTCTCAAATTATGGTCTATTATGGTGTGAAGGTGAGCGGAGAGTGTTTGGGTTTGTGGCCCTCAGGTGCGCGAAGCGAAGATAACAGAGGTTAAGATCAACGAGGCCAGAGAGAACTACAGACCTGCGTCGATACGAGCTGCTCTGCTCTACTTTATCCTCAACGACCTGAACAAAATCAACCCCATCTACCAGTTCTCCCTCAAAGTGACACTCCACAGAACTCTAGAATCACACACTCTCAATACTCATGACTTTATTATCAACCTCAGAACTTAAGAACTTAAGAACTTAAGTTTTGGTGTGTGTGTCTGTCTGTGTGTGTAGGCCTTCAGTGTTGTCTTTGAGGTGGCCATCATGCTTACAGAGCCGGCGGACGAGGTGAAACAGAGAGTGAACAACCTGATTGACCAGATCACCTACTCTGTGTTCATGTACACCAACCGTAGCCTGTTTGAGAGGGACAAGCTTACCTTCATCGCTCAGGTCGCATTCCAGGTCAGAAAACACAGCAGATAGGCTGTACTGAATAGGCCTATGAGCCCTGGTCAAAAGTAAAGCACTAAATAGGGAATAGGTACCGTTTGGGATGCACACAGAATATGACTTTTAAAAGAATAGAAACTTACAGAATCAAAGTGACATTTGGTGACACACATAGGCCCATATACTTACATAGAACATTTCTGCTTGGTGGATGAGAATACTGTTCATATCTATATGTGTGTGTGTGTGAGTAGATCTTGCTGATGAAGAAGGAGATCAATCCTACGGAGCTGGACTTCCTCCTGAGGTTCCCATACAAAGCTGGCCTGGGCTCTCCTGTCGACTTCCTTGCCAACCAGGGCTGGGGCGGCATCAAGGTGGGCACAGCCCAAACACACACACACACACTCTACACTCTCAGAAGAAAGGGTACGGTTAGGGTACAGTATTGTAACCAGTGGTTTAATCAAATTTCCCTTCAGAAGTACACATATAATCTCACATGGTACTGTGCGGTACCTTTTAGGTACATGTGCGGATAATCTAGTTAAATGGTACATTTTTGTACCCAATATTTTGAATATAAAGGTACAATCATCACACACTCTCAAAAGCCTTGCCCGTCATTATCATATTTCCCAGCATGAAAGTTGATTTTTAGAATTGTTTGTTTCAATATGTGTGTTTTTGCATGCACATTGATTGATCTTATGCTACACAAAGATAAATAGCATACATTTTTCTAAACTAATCCAAACTGTTAGAAGTTGGACTTATTACCAGAGGTGGGATCAAGTCAGTATTATTCTAATCACAAGCAAGTCTCAAGTCACAAGGTCCTAGTCTCAAGTTGAGTCCCAAGTAGAATGGGCCAAGACTCGAGTCAAAGTCGTGCATTCTAAGAGCAAGTCAAGTTGAGTCACAAGTTTAAGTCAAGTCTCAAGTCAAGTAAAATAAAATCGATACATGCAACGACTTGTTCAACTACAAATCATTGTCTATTTCTCGAGGCTACAGGACAGCCCTTTTCATTATTTTGTCTACAACATATGTTTATTAAAATATGGACCATGTAGCAGTCAGAAGGGCATGAAATCAGCAGAAGGCAAGGCAGGTTGACGTGCAGATTTATTTACAGGTCTTAGTGATCCAATGGTGAAAGCGCCATATCATACAAAATATACACGTAGCTTTACCAAATATACACAGGCAATAGCCTCTGTATCAGGCTTAACCTGTCCTATCTGAGAAACCAAATCCAATCTGTCTAACAGGAGCTCAAACAGGTAGGCCTACATAATAAGCAATTGGTCGTCAGGACCATACAATTAACCAATTGGCAATTACAACCAATAAACTGGTTCTACAATGTAAAAGGCCATTTCCACATCCATTGTTACATTGGTACATTGGTCTTAATCAGACTTAATGATTATTAATGATATTCCAACACCAAGCATACATTAAACAATAATTTTATCTTATTCAACCCTCTGACTCCAAAGCATGGACGCAGTAGCCTATTTCTATGGGCACTAAGGCATGTTTGCTCCTATTACGAACAACAAAAATGACAGAGACATAGGACACAGACACACGCAACTCCGACATAACCCGGGAAATATGAACAAAGGAAACTATACATTGAATTAAATAAACATAACGTCTACCTCATGTGTCTTGCGAATGTTCATGTGCACAATAAACATCGCGCCCACTCAGAGCAGGGTAAGAAATGGTTGGCTATAAAATGAAAATGTATCGTAGGCCTATCAAACATGAAACAGAAATGTCTACGTGTTGCAATAAACATTAATGGAATTATGAAACGCAATGGAATATAGATTTACCCCATAGGGCTTATGCATTTAAACGTGTGAAAGCAACAGCTAATATTTTATTTCAACAAGAGAAAAAAAGCACACTCCACTGGCAGGAGTTTGGAGACTGCAAGTGAAGAGCAGTGCCTATGGTGCATCTTTGCCACAGTAATATTTGATTTTAACAACAAATTCCAAATACAAGCTTCATAACTAAATGATCAATATCAAGCAATTGTTACATACCAAAAGACCAGTAGACCTATGCTAGTAATTGTTGCTGGTGAGCTTGCAAAGTAAACAGTTAATATTCTTGATCACCAAACAATTTTTGGAGCTGCATATTTATTTATTATGGTAATCCTCTCTCACTACAATTTGCCGTTTGCGCTGCACCGGAACCTATAGCTGTACTTTAAATCAACAATCTGTTCGCTAGCTCACCCGACCTGTGTTGACTGACAGTTTGTGGTCCAATCAGAGTGCAGAGTGTGTGTTTCACTAGCCAATCTGTTGCAGTTTTTTTTGCAAGGGTGATGCTGCTGCTACTGTCTCTGGCTGCGTGAAGATTAATACACGTAACCAAACCATATACTTGATGTATCTGTTATTATCAAGATGAACAATCAAGCATGGCGCAATCAACCTGTCAGTGACTACTCGTGCCCTGTGGATGGGGACATTGTCATCCTATGGGGGCATTGCCATGGTAGCCAAAATAATGGCCTGCCTAGCATTTATGTACATGACCCTAAGCATCCCAAATGAAAAAAGATATAGTATACTATGGTATTAATGCTATAGTATTCACTGTAGTGTTTTTGTGGAATTTACTGCAGTATTCACTGTATAGTTTTTGAATACTGTAGTATTTACTGTAGTATACTATAGTATTTGCAGTTAATTATAGTATAAATACTGTAGTAAGATAACTGTAGTATATACTATAGTAATTAATGTAGTGTTTATGCGGATTGTAGTATACTGTAGTGTTTTTGCAGACATTACCGTAGTATTTATTATAGTGTTTTTGTTTTATTATCTTTGACATAGAAGTGGGCTTTCTCCTTCAGGAAACCTACTGGAGAAATACAAAAATAGCATATTTTCCATAGCCTGTAGGTAGGTCTGGGTTCTGAACAGATAGTTCAGAGCTTCTGCTCTTTTCTATAACCTTTAGGGAACACAATATATGGTTTATACTTGGCATTTAGGTTTCTCACTTACAGGTGGCACAAATTGTGATATAGGGGAGGGGAATGGACAGGGTATATGCTAATTAAATACTGTAGCATTTACTATAGTTAAAAAAGTGTCGTGTTTTTGCAGACTAGTGTTTTTGTGGATAATACTGTAGTATTTACTAGAGTATTCTACAGTATACTACAGTTTACTATAGAATTCTATAGTAAACTGTAGTATTTTTTCATTTGGGATGTTGGGATGCTAATTGCTTAATTAACTCAGGAACCACACCTGTGTGAAGCACCTGCTTTCAATATACTTTGTGTCCCTCATTTACTCAAGTGTTTCCATTATTTTGGCAGTTACCTGTATGTAATGTGTTGTCATAAAGACTTTAATTTCAATGATAAAATATTCACTTAGGCACTCACTTGGTGAAGGCTACAGAACTGAAAGCCATTGAAAGCCACAACCATGTCTCTGTCACTAGCAAACACAGTCATGGGTGGTACTGGTAACACTAAATTACTCCAAATACCCTGGGATATATGCAAAAAGGCTTTACACTCTACAGTGTTAAAACAACACCCCAAAACCTTTTTAGAGGTATATTTTTGCCACTTAAAAGGAACGAACGACCTTGTCAATGTGGTGGTACCCGAAAAAGGCAAAATTGTGCCTTTTCTAAAGGTATGCTTTTGTACCTGTACTATCTTGTCCCATAAGGTACACTATTGGCTCTATTAAGGTACAAACTGCAAGGGTACAATTATGTACCTATAACTAAAGGTATAACTTACGTACCACTACAGTGACAAGCGTTTGTACACCTTTAAGAACAAATCTAAACCTTTATTTCTGAGAGCGTACCGACACACACACACTATCGACCTGCATAGCTGAGTAATATAGGTGTGTGTGTGTGTCAGGCCCTGTCGGAGTTTGATGAGTTTAAGAACCTGGACCGGGACATGGAGGGATCTGCGAAGCGCTGGAAGAAGTTTGTGGAGTCGGAGGCTCCGGAGAAGGAAAAGTTTCCTCAAGAGTGGAAGAACAAGACGGGCCTCCAAAAACTGTGCATGATGAGGTGTATGAGACCGGACCGCATGTCCTACGCAGTCAGGTACGAGACACGTATGCACACACATATACCCATGTAAAGGAAGCAGTTAGGTGTTTGTTCCGGTAATGTTGAGTGTTTGTTCTGTGTGTTGTAGTACCTTTGTGGAGGAGAAGATGGGTACAAAGTACGTGGAGGGGAGGAGCGTGGAATTCGCCGTGTCATTTGAGGAGAGCAGCTCGTCTACTCCCATGTTCTTCATCCTCTCCCCGGGAGTCGACCCCCTCAAAGATGTGGAAGCCCTAGGTCTGTACACGCACACACGAACACACACACACGAACACACACACACACATTCTTGCTATAGTACCTTGAACCCTATCTGTTTCATGTCTAACCTGCCATCCTGTCATTTGGTCCAGGTAAGAAGATGGGCTTCACCTTTGACAACGGGAAGTTCCACAACGTGTCTCTGGGTCAGGGCCAGGAGGTGGTGGCCGAGGCTGCTCTGAACGTGGCAGCTAGAGAAGGACACTGGGTTATACTGCAGGTACACTGTATGGGCACCACTTACTCTTTACTCACAGGCTGGAGTTTGAACAGCATGCACGTTATTAGCTTCGTCTCAAATGGCACCCTATTCCACTATATAGGGAAGACTAGGGTCTTATAAAAATCGGTTTAATTTTTTGCCTAATTCCATATATATCTTTCCCAAATTCAGTTTTCTCCATTTAGTTTTTCCAGGTTTCTGATTTGTCAGTTTCTTCAGGTTTTCACTCTCAGAATCACCATTTTACGTCCACAACGATACTTAAACCACATCAGGAGACCTATTTTGACGTTTGGGAAAAATCTAAGAAATTTTCATTTTTGGGTGTAGATACCCTTTAATTCAAGTGTGCACCAGCAAGATACTTGTTTGGTTAGTGGTGTTTCTGTAGTGCACATTTGATTGCAGAGTTTGCTAATCAAATCACCTGTCATGGGGTGCTGAGGGTGGGTGTGATGCAGGAATCAAGCGCAGGACGCAGAAGCTAAGTCCAAAAGACTTTAGTGAGTTATTCACGTAGTACACGAGAACACTAAGCCCGGAGGCGAAATAACGGCGCACACAGGCGTCAAACAAAAGGGCGCACAAACATGTGCGAAAACCTCTCCAAACACGGAGGGAAGAATACGTAGCTCCGAACACCAAACAGAGGAGCAATCACACACAACACCATACACACACAACGAGAACTAAATAGGACACTAATGAGGACTAACTAGACACAGGTGTACAACATCCAGACAAAACCAAACGAACATGAAACATAGATCGGTGGCAGCTAGTACTCCGGGGACGACGACCGCCGAAACCTGCCCGAACAAGGAGGAGGAGCAGCCTCGGCCGAAACCGTGACATTACCCCCCCCCCCTTGACGCGCGGCCCCAGCCGTGTGCCGACCCCGGCCTCGGGGACGACCAGGAGGGCGCGGAGCAGGGCGCGCGGGATGGTCCCGGTGGAACTCCGACAGGAGAGATGGGTCTAGGATGTCCCTCCGCGGCACCCAGCACCGCTCCTCCGGGCCGTACCCCTCCCACTCCACGAGATACTGGAGACCCCCCATCCGGCGTCTTGAGTCCAAGATGGACCGAACGGTGTACGCCGGAGCCCCCTCGATGTCCAGTGGGGGCGGAGGAGTCTCTCCTATCTCACCTTCCTGGAGTGGACCAGCTACCACCGGCCTGAGAAGAGACACATGGAACGAGGGGTTAATATTCTTATATTCAACAGGCAGATGTAACCTATAACACACCTCGTTCAATCTTCTCAGGACTTTAAAAGGCCCCACAAACCACCGACCCAGCTTCCGGCAGGGCAGGCGGAGGGGTAGGTTTCTGGTAGAGAGCCAGACTCGATCTCCGGGTGCGTACACCGGCCCCTCACTGCAGTGGAGATCGGCGCTCGCCTTGTGATGACGGATGGCCCGCTGCAGATGGACGTGTGCAGCGTTCCACGTCTCCTCCGAGCGCCTCATCCAATCATCCACCGCAGGGGCCTCGATCTGGCTCTGCTGCCAAGGTGCCAGAACCGGCTGGTAACCTAACACACATTGGAAGGGGGTTAGGTTGGTAGAGGAGTGGCGGAGAGAGTTCTGGGCCATCTCGGCCCAGGGAATGTACCGAGCCCACTCCTCAGGCCGGTCCTGGCAATACGACCTCAGAAACCTCCCCACATCCTGGTTGACTCGTTCTACCTGCCCGTTACTCTCCGGGTGATACCCTGAGGTAAGGCTCACCAAGACCCCCAAACGTTCCATGAACGCTCTCCATACTCGGGAGGTAAACTGGGGGCCTCGATCAGACACTATATCCTCGGGTACCCCGTAATGCCGGAAGACGTGGGTAAATAGGGCCTCTGCGGTTTGTAGGGCAGTAGGAAGACCCGACATAGGGAGAAGACGACAGGCCTTAGAGAACCGGTCCACAACGACCAGGATGGTGGTATTCCCCTGAGAGAGGGGAAGGTCTGTCACAAAATCCACTGAGAGGTGGGACCATGGTCGTTGTGGAACGGGCAGGGGTTGTAACTTACCCCTGGGCAGGTGTCTGGGCGCCTTACACTGGGCGCACACCGAGCAGGAGGAGACATAAACCCTCACATCCCTGGCTAACGTGGGCCACCAGTATTTAGTGCTAAGACAATGCACTGTCCGGCCAATACCCGGATGTCCAGAGGAGGGTGACGTGTGAGCCCAGTAAATGAGTCGATCCCGAATCTCGAGCGGAACGTACTTCCGACCCTCAGGACACTGTGGAGGGCTGGGGTCGGTACGCAACGCCCGCTCGATTTCAGCATCGACCTCCCACACCACCGGTGCCACAAGACAAGACTCCGGTAGTATGGGAGTAGGCTCAACGGACCTCTCCTCCGTGTCATACCGCCGGGACAGCGCATCTGCCTTACCATTCTGGGTCCCAGGGATGTACGTGATTTTAAATACGAACCTGGCGAGAAACATACTCCATCGAGCCTGGCGAGGGTTCAGTCTCCTCGCTGCCCGGATGTACTCCAGGTTCCGATGGTCAGTCAAAATGAGGAAAGGGTGTTGAGCCCCCTCAAGCCAATGCCTCCACACCTTAAGGGCCTGAACTACAGCTAACAGCTCCCTGTCCCCGACGTCATAATTTCGCTCCGCCGGGCTGAGCTTTTTTGAGTAAAAAGCACAGGGGCGGAGTTTAGGTGGCGTGCCGGACCGTTGAGAGAGCACGGCCCCTATACCGGCTTCAGACGCGTCCACCTCTACCTGAAAGGGTAATGCGGGGTCCGGATGCGCCAGCACCGGAGCCGACGTAAACAGGTCCTTCAGTCTCTTAAAGGCCCTGTCCGCATCAGCTGACCACTGCAGGCGCACCGGACCCCCTTTCAGAAGGGACGTGATGGGAGCTGCCACCTGTCCAAAACCCCGGATAAACCTCCGGTAGTAATTCGCAAAGCCCAAGAACTGCTGCACCTCTTTGACAGTGGTTGGGGTTTGCCAATTACGCACAGCTGACACACGATCCACCTCCATTCTCACCCCTGACGCGGACAACCGATAACCCAAAAAGGAGACCGACTCCTGGAAAAACAGACATTTCTCTGCCTTGACATATAGGTCGTGCTCCAACAGCCTCCTCAATACACGACGCACCAGGGCTATATGCTCGGCTCGGGTAGACGAGTACACTAGAATGTCATCAATGTACACGACCACCCCTTGCCCCTGCATATCCCGGAAAATGTCATCTACGAAGGATTGGAAGACTGATGGAGCATTCATCAACCCATATGGCATGACGAGATACTCGAAATGACCTGACGTGGTACTAAACGCTGTTTTCCATTCGTCGCCCTCCCTAATGCGCACCAAGTTATACGCGCTCCTGAGATCCAGTTTTGTGAAAAACCGCGCTCCATGCAATGACGCCGTCATGGTCGCAATCAGAGGGAGTGGATAACTGTATTTCACAGTAATCTGATTGAGACCACGGTAATCGATGCACGGGCGCAACCCTCCATCTTTTTTCTTCACAAAAAAGAAGCTTGAGGAGGCGGGAGAAGTGGAGGGCCGTATGTATCCTTGTCTCAAAGATTAGTCTATGTAAGTTTCCATAGCTTTTCTCTCCTCTTGAGACAAAGGATACACGTGGCTCCGTGGGAGCGCTGCTCCTGCCTGGAGATCAATCGCACAATCCCCCTGTCTATGAGGAGGCAACTGCGTCGCCCTAGCTTTACTAAACACGAGAGCTAAATCCCCATATTCAGGCGGAATGTGCAGTGCGGGCACTTGGTTTGGACTTTCCACCGAAGTCGCCCCTACGGAAACACCCAGACATCGCCCCTCACACTGAGCAGACCACCCATCGAGAGCCCTCTGTTGCCACGAAATAGCAGGGTTATGGGTGCTTAACCAGGGAATTCCCAGCACCACCGGGTACGCAGGAGAGTCGATCAGATACAACTGTATAGTCTCCTCATGACCCCCCTGCGCACACATCCTAAGTGGCGCTGTGACTTCCCTAATCAACCCCGACCCCAACGGGCGGCTATCTAAAGCATGAACGGGAAAAGGCTTGTCAACAGGTAGGAGAGGGATCCCTAAATCTAAACAAAACTTCCGATCAACAAAATTCCCAGCTGCGCCTGAATCTACTAGCGCCTTATGCTGGGAATGAGGTGCAACCTGTGGAAAACAAACAGGTATACAAAAGTGCGCAACAGAGAGCTCTGGGTAAGTGGGGCGTCTACTCACCTGGGAAGCCTCCCCAGTGCGTGGCCTGTTGTCTCCTCCCTCGGGGAACCCTCCCCAGCACCTGGCCGCAGTGTGCCCTCCACGACCGCACTTGGTGCAGGGGACAGGCCCCCTCGGGCTCCTCCTCCTCCTTCCTCTAGCGCCAGCACCCCCGAGCTCCATAGGGCTCGGCTCGGAGGTGCCGGAGGGTGGAATGGACGGACCCCACTCGGGACGTCCACGGGTGGCCAGCAGGGTGTCCAGACGGATGGACATATCGACCAACTGGTCGAAGGTGAAATTGGTGTCCCTGCAGGCCAACTCACGTTGAACGTCCTCCCGTAGGCTACATCGAAAATGGTCGATGAGGGCCCGTTCATTCCACCCTGCGTCTGCCGCTAGAGTCCGGAACTCCAGCGCGAACTCCTGTGCGCTCCTCCTCCCCTGTCTCAGGTGGACTAGACGCTCCCCCGCCGCTTTGCCCTCAGGTGGATGGTCGAACACGGCCTTGAAGCGACGGGAGAACTCGGCGTAGGAGATGGTGGTGGCGTCCATCCTCCTCCACTCGGCGTTGGCCCATTCCAACGCCTTGCCTGTGAGACAGGAGATGAGGGCGGAAACCCTCTCGTGTCCCGAGGGCACCGGGTGTACAGTGGCCAGGTAGAGCTCCACCTGCAGGAGGAACCCCTGACACCCGGCAGCTGTTCCGTCATAAGCCCTCGGGAGCGAGAGCCGAATCCCACTGGGTTCCGGACCTGGGACTGGTGGACCGGCCGATGGGGGTGGCAGGGTAGGTGGAGGTGTGGGTACCCCTCTGGACTCCCATCGGTGCAGGGTGTTGATGACGTCCTGAAGAGCGGTCCCCAGTTGTCGTATCTGGTCATCCTGGCCGCGGACATGCTCCTCCAGCGACTCAGGCGTGACGGTTGCTCCTGCTGATTCCATTCAAGTGGTGTGTGATTCTGTCATGGGGTGCTGAAGGTGGGTGTGGTGCAGGAATCAAGTGCAGGACGCAGAAGCTAAGTCCAAAAGACTTTAGTGAGTTATTCACGTAGTACACGAGAACACTAAGCCCGGAGGCGAAATAACGGCGCACACAGGCGTCAAACAAAAGGGCGCACAAACATGTGCGAAAACCTCTCCAAACACGGAGGGAAGAATACGTAGCTCCGAACACCAAACAGAGGAGCAATCACACACAACACCATACACACACAACGAGAACTAAATAGGACACTAATGAGGACTAACTAGACACAGGTGTACAACATCCAGACAAAACCAAACGAACATGAAACATAGATCGGTGGCAGCTAGTACTCCGGGGACGACGACCGCCGAAACCTGCCCGAACAAGGAGGAGGAGCAGCCTCGGCCGAAACCGTGACATCACCACTGGATTAATGCAAATAATCATGATATCATTCTGTCAGGTACACATAGGCTACTTTGTAGTTAACATTTAATTGTTGATAGTTATCATTGGCATCATCGCTAAGGGCTACTAGCCAGCAGATCTGACCCGCTTGCTTACAGCTGCACTAGGGTTGGCAGGCTTCCTGTATAGATTAAGACACCTCAGTTTACTTTAAAACTAGCAGTCATTCAATCTTCTCGGTGGAACAGTTGGGATAATTGGACAATTTGAAATACAACGCATTTCTCACCCCTGGATTGAGGTACGTTTTCCGAGCCATATCTTGTGCCTGCTCCGCGGTGTCTTAATCTAGACAGAAAGCCTGTCCGATCTTAGTGCAGCTGTAAGCAAGCGGGTCGTATCTGCTGGCTAACGGCTACATAAAGTAGGCAAACTGGCACACACAGACAGAGTGGCATTGCCTCTTCAGAAAGTTTAAGGAAAATAGGAATCACTAATGCATTTTGTTCATCTCTTATGATAATCTGGACAAATTCATACATTTTCTAATCAGTTCAATACATTTAGTTGATTTTCTACTGTTCAATACATTTTTGAATATTGTTGAATTCCATTTTAATGTCTGGATTCCGTGATTTTGTCTGCGTTCTCCGCAGTGCAGATTTGATAGAGTTGGGACGCAGCCATTGTCACAGAATATTTTGTTCCAACATGAATTCTATTTTTGCCAAATGCTTTATATGGCTCTGGTTGTTATTAAACGTCAATTGTAACCTTATATAGACTAGTTATAGACTAACTACAATGAACAAAAATATAAATGCAACATATATAGTGTTGGTCCAATGTTTCATGAAATGAAATAAAAGATACCTGAAATTGTCCATACGCACAAAAAGTGTATTTCTCTCAAATTTTGCCCACAAATTAGTTTACATCCCTGTTAGTGAGCATTTCTCCTTTGCCAAGATAATCCATCCACCTGACAGGTGTGGTATATCAAGAAGCTGATTAAACAGCATGATCATTACATGGTCTGGGGACAATAAAAGGCCACTCTAAAATGTGCAACACTGTATTCCCAGTCATGTGAAATCCATAGATTAGGTTCTAATGAATTTATTTGAATTGACTGATTTCCTTATATGAACTGTAACTCAGTAAAATCTTTGAAATTGCGTTTATATTTTTGTTCAGTGTATATAGACTACTCGCCATGTATTAAATAATAAATACTCTTCTTTGTAGAACATCCACCTGGTGGCCAAGTGGCTGGGCAGCCTGGATAAACTAGTGGAGCGCTACAGCATGGGTAGCCATGACGACTATCGCGTGTACATGTCAGCTGAGCCTTCGCCCACGCCAGAGTCGCACTACATCCCCCAGGGCCTGCTGGAGAACGGCATTAAGATCACCAACGAACCACCCACCGGCATGCAAGCTAACCTGCACAAGGCCCTGTATCTCTTCAACCAGGTAACACACACACGTACGCTCACACACACACACAAACACTGACTTTACAAAACATTAAGAACTGCTCTTTCCATGAGACTGACCTGGTGAAATCTATGATCCCTTATTGATGTAACCTGTTAAATCCACATCTATCAGTGTAGATGAAGGAGAAGAGACAGGTTAAAGAAGGATTTCTAAGCCTGGAGACAATTGAGACATGGATTGTGTATGTGTGCCATTCAGAGGGTGAATGGCCAAGACAAAATATTTTAGTGCCTTTGAATGGGGTATGGTAGTAGGTGCCAGGCGCACCAGTTTGTGTCAAGAACTGCAACGCTGCTGGGTTTTTCACCAGTTTCTTGTGTGTATCAAGAATGGTCCACCACCCAAAGGACATCCAGCCAACTTGACACAACTGTGGGAAGCATTGGAGTCAACATGGGCCAGCATCCCTAGGGGGGTGCAACTCAATATTAGGAAGGTGTTCTTAATGTTTGGTGTACTCAGTGTACAGTACATGCCCACACTTAAACATTGAATTTGAGTTTAATGTAATCTCTTCCCTATCTCTGTGTGTGTGTGTGTGTGTGTGTGTGTGTGTGTGTGTGTGTGTGTGTGTGTGTGTGTGTGTTAGGACACTCTGGAGATGTGCTCTAAAGAGTCAGAGTTCAAGGTGATCCTGTTTGCGTTATGCTACTTCCACGCCGTGGTGGCTGAGAGGAGGAAGTTTGGAGCTCAGGGCTGGAACAGATCTTACCCCTTCAACAACGGAGACCTCACCATCTCCGTCAACGTGCTCTACAACTACCTGGAGGCCAACTCCAAGGTGAGTGTGTGTGACTGACCTCACCATCTCTCAATCAGCCTAGAGCTTTATGGCCCTGCTACACTACAGCCATCGAGCGTCCGGCATTGCCATCAGCCATTGAGGGACTGCTTCCTTTGAAATCAATGAAAGCTGCTGTACTGTTCGCGTTGCATCGTGTCCAATGTCAGCGTCCAACCTCAAGAATCGCTGAGGTTCAATGCTCGATGGCTGACGTGCGCGTTCATTCTATCTTGTGAATTGAAATAATGAGAAATAAGTTGATTTTGGTTTGTTTCTGTGTAGCAGGTAGAACGGCACATTGGTGGTGACGTGTGTAGTGTGTGTCTGACCCCACTCTCTCTCTCCCCCTTCGTCTTTCTCCATTTCTCTCTCCCTCCATTCTCTCTCCCCACCCCCTCTCTCCAGGTGCCGTGGGACGACTTGCGCTATCTGTTTGGGGAGATCATGTACGGCGGCCACATCACAGACGACTGGGACAGGAAGTTGTGTCGTACCTATCTGGAGGAGTACGTCAGACCTGAGATGCTGGAGGGAGAGCTGTACCTTGCACCCAGCTTCCCTGTACCACCCAATTCTGACTACAAGGTTTGGAACACACACACACACACTCTTTCACAACACAAGACATCACCCTTGAAAACTACAAATATTGTTACCTCAGTAACCCTCAGTGTGTGTGTCCAGGGCTACCACATGTACATAGATGAGGTGCTGCCTCCAGAGAGCCCCTACCTGTACGGCCTCCACCCCAACGCTGAGATCGGCTTCCTCACCATCACCTCAGAGAAGCTGTTCCGCACTGTGCTGGAGATGCAGCCCAAAGAGTCAGACGCAGCCGGGGGAGGAGGGGTGTCCAGAGAGGAGAAGGTATGAAAGCCACTATCACTACACCTCAGAGCCTTTAATGAGCCCCCACTAGAGTCCTGACCTGTGTGTGTGTTTTCCCCTATAGGTGAAGGGCATCCTGGATGAGATCCTGGAGAAGCTGCCGGATGGTTTCAACATGATAGAGATCATGGCCAAGGTGGAGGAGAGAACTCCCTACATCATCGTGGCCTTCCAGGAGTGTGAGAGGATGAACTTCCTCACCAAGGAGATCACGCGCTCTCTCAAAGAGCTCAACCTTGGACTCAAGGTACGAGAGAGACAGTGTGTATGTGTGTGACATGACATCACAGTGGTTGTCTGTAGTCATTCTGAAAAGAGTACACAGCGAATGGTGTGACCACTGTTCCAGCTCATTTTTTCCAGCACTGAGCAAATTTCAGGTCTGCTGAGCGCAAACTTGAACATTGTGAAAATTCTGTGTAACTTCCAGCGCACGTTTACTGTGAACACTGAGGCTGTACCTGCTTTAAGTTACAGTTGTAACAGTGGCCATGTAGACTACTGTGGCTATTTGATCATAATGTAGGCCTACCAAAGTGGCCTACCATCAAAAACAATGGAGAAAATGCATCCCATAACATTTTAACATGGAAATAGCATTCAGCCTACAGTAGCAGCCAATGTGTGGTGTTCAATGTAGGCCTACATTCCATGAGACTTTTGAAAAAAACATGCAGGGCTTGACATTAACCTGTTTATCCACTTGTCCTTCAGACAAGGTGGTGACTGAAAATGCTGTTGTGTTGTTTGATGCAAGAAATAACTTTATTATAGCATTATTATTCTCATACCATTATGACAGAGAATCAGACAAATTATGCTACCCTCTGCCTTTTGGCTACTTAGCTTATTCAAGCCTGTCTCAAAATACAACACTCTTTACAACAACAAAAAAGCTCTTTACCTGACTCGCTTTTCAAAAGTGTCTAGAAATATACACATTTTGTGCTCTTGTAGGAAGCAATCACTCCCCTATTGCTGACTTCAAATGATCTACAGTGGGGGAAAAAAGTATTTAGTCAGCCACCAATTGTGCAAGTTCTCCCACTTAAAAAGATGAGAGAGGCCTGTAATTTTCATCATAGGTACACGTCAACTATGACAGACAAATTGAGGAAAAAAAATCCAGCAAATGACATTGTAGGATTTTTTATGAATTTATTTGCAAATTATGGTGGAAAATAAGTATTTGGTCACTTACAAACAAGCAAGATTTCTGGCTCTCACAGACCTGTAACTTCTTCTTTAAGAGGCTCCTCTGTCCTCCACTCGTTACCTGTATTAATGGCAACTGTTTGAACTTGTTATCAGTATAAAAGACACCTGTCCACAACCTCAAACAGTCACACTCCAAACTCCACTATTGCCAAGACCAAAGAGCTGTCAAAGGACACCAGAAACAAAATTGTAGACCTGCACCAGGCTGGGAAGACTGAATCTGCAATAGGTAAGCAGCTTGGTTTGAAGAAATCAACTGTGGGAGCAATTATTAGGAAATGGAAGACATACAAGACCACTGATAATCTCCCTCGATCTGGGGCTCCACGCAAGATCTCACCCCGTGGGGTCAAAATGATCACAAGAACGGTGAGCAAAAATCCCAGAACCACACGGGGGGACCTAGTGAATGACCTGCAGAGAGCTGGGACCAAAGTAACAAAGCCTACCATCAGTAACACACTACGCCGCCAGGGACTCAAATCCTGCAGTGCCAGATGTGTCCCCCTGCTTAAGCCAGTACATGTCCAGGCCCGTCTGAAGTTTGCTAGAGTGCATTTGGATGATCCAGAAGAGGATTGGGAGAATGTCATATGGTCAGATGAAACCAAAATAGAACTTTTTGGTAAAAACTCAACTTGTCGTGTTTGGAGGACAAAGAATGCTGAGTTGCATCCAAAGAACACCATACCTACTGTGAAGCATGGGGGTGGAAACATCATGCTTTGGGGCTGTTTTTCTGCAAAGGGACCAGGACGACTGATCCGTGTAAAGGAAAGAATTAATGGGGCCATGTATCGTGAGATTTTGAGTGAAAACCTCCTTCCATCAGCAAGGGCATTGAAGATGAAACGTGGCTGGGTCTTTCAGCATGACAATGATCCCAAACACACCGCTCGGGCAACGAAGGAGTGGCTTCGTAAGAAGCATTTCAAGGTCCTGGAGTGGCCTAGCCAGTCTCCAGATCTCAACCCCATAGAAAATCTTTGGAGGGAGTTGAAAGTCCGTGTTGCCCAGCGACAGCCCCAAAACATCACTGCTCTAGAGGAGATCTGCATGGAGGAATGGGCCAAAATACCAGCAACAGTGTGTGAAAACCTTGTGAAGACTTACAGAAAACGTTTGACCTGTGTCATTGCCAACAAAGGGTATATAACAAAGTATTGAGAAACTTTTGTTATTGACCAAATACTTATTTTCCACCATAATTTGCAAATAAATTCATAAAAAATCCTACAATGTCATTTTCTGGATTTTTTTTTCTCATTTTGTCTGTCATAGTTGACGTGTACCTATGATGAAAATTACAGGCCTCTCTCATCTTTTTAAGTGGGAGAACTTGCACAATTGGTGGCTGACTAAATACTTTTTTCCCCCACTGTATTACTGGGCCTATAACTCACTAACTAGCAAAGGATATGAACAAAATGTGCACGTGGCTACATGAAGCTCTCGCTTTGATCTCAAAACAAGGGCATCTACTTACGACCACTTATGCTGTAAATAAAGTTCAGTTCAATGTAAATGGCACAGATCCATATACAATACCAGTCAAAAGTTTGGACACACCTACTCATTCAATTACATTGTAGAATAATAGTGAAGACATCAAAACTATGAAATAACACATATGGAATCATGTAGTAACCAAAAAAGTGTTAAACAAATCAAAATATATTTTATATTTGAGATTCTTCAAATAGCCACCCTTTGCCTTGATGACAGCTTTGAACACTCTTGGCATTCTCTCAATCAGCTTCATGAGGTAGTCACCTGGAATGCATTTCAATTAACAGGTGTGCCTTCTTAAAAGTTAATTTGTGGAATTTCTTTCCTTCTTAATGTGTTTGAGCCAATCAGTTGTGTTGTTACAAGGTAGGGGGGGGTATACAGAAGATAGTCCTATTTGGTAAACGACCAAGTCCATATTATGGCAAGAACAGCTCAAATAAGCAAAGAGAAACGACAGTCCATCATTACTTTAAGACATGGGATGGTCAGTCAATATGGAACATTACAAGAACTTTGAAAGTTTCTTCAAGTGCAGTCGCAAAAACCATAAAGCGCTATGATGAAACTGGCTCTCATGAGGACCACCACAGGAATGGAAGACCCAGAGTTACCTCTGCTGCAGAGGATAAGTTCATTAGAGTTACCAGCCTCAGAAATTGCAGCCCAAATAAATGCTTCAAAGAGTTAAAGTAACAGACACATCTCAACATCATCATGGTCGAATTGCTGCAAAGAATCCACTTCTAAAGGACACCAAAAAGAAGAGACCTGCTTGGGCCAAGAAACACGAGCAATGGACATTAGACTGGTGGAAATTTGTCCTTTGGTCTGGAGTGGAAATTTGAGATTTTTGGTTAAAACCGCCGTGTCTTTGTGAGACGCGGTGTGGGTGAACGGATTATCTCCGCATGTGTAGTTCTCACCGTAAAGCATGGAGGAGGAGGTGTTATGATGTGGGGGTGCTTTGCTGGTGACACTGTCTGTGATTTTATTTAGAATTCAAGGCACACTTAACCAGCATGGCTACCACAGCATTCTGCAGCGATACGCCATCCCATCTAGTTTGGGCTTAGCGGGACTATCATTTGTTTTTCAACAGGACAATGACCCAACACACCTCCAGGCTGTGTAAGGGCTATTTTACCAAGAAGGAGAGTGATGGAGTGCTGCATCAAATGACCTGGCCTCCACAATCCCCCAACTTTTTTTTACATTTGACATTTTAGTCATTTAGCAGACGCTCTTATCCATAGCGACTTACAGTTAGTGAGTGCATACATTTTTCATACTGGCCCCCCGTGGGAAACGAACCCACAACCCTGGCGTTGCAAGCACCATGCTCTACCAACTGAGTTACAGGGGACCAGACTTCAACCCAATTGAGATGGTTTGGGATGAGTCGGAAGGCAGAGTAAAGGAAAAGCAGCCAACAAGTGCTCAGCATATGTGGGAACTCCTTCAAGACTGTTGGAAAAGCATTCCAGGTGAAGCTGGTTGAGAGAATGCCAAGAGTGTGCAAAGCTGTCATTAAGGCAAAGGGTGGCTATTTGAAGAATCTCAAATATAAAATATATTTGGATTTTTTTAACACTTCTTTGGTTCCTACATGATTCCATATGTGTTATTTCATAGTTTTGATGTCTTCACTATAATTCTACAATGTAAAAAATAGTAAAAATAAAGAAAAACCCTTGAATGAGTAGGTGTGTCCAAACTTTTGACTGGTACTGTGTGTACAAAAGCTGAAGAACATAGGCACATCCAGGTGCTTTCCCAGGTTCTGGAGTTGTAGACAAACTGATGGAAAACAGAAAGGAAAACGCCGCACACTGCTGCTCATGTATTTATAACAACGTTTCCACCCTTAGGATGCCTGATGAAGACCTAAGGGTGGAAACGTTGTTATAAATACATATCACCTGGGAGCGTGAGCAGCAGTGTGTGGCGTTTTCCTTTCTGTTTTCCACAGATCCATATATGGCAATGGTTTATTTGCATATAGGCCTACTGCAGCTCTGATTGGTTATGGTGCACTGGTCTGTGTAGAGTAGGGGCTAAGTAGTGTGTCAATGCAATAGAATTCTACACTGATGCGTTCTGCCTACAAAATCTCTTGCATTGTTCGTTTTGTTTCGGTATGTTGCATTGATAGTGGCTAATATTGCGTTGATTTGATCACAATTGCCACAGTGAAGGGAAACGTTGATAGTGTTAACAGGGAAAACTCTAGAACAGTGGTCACCAACCTTTACTGAGTCAAGATCACTTTCTGAGTCAAAATGCAAGGTAAGATCTTCTGCTCAGATTTTTTTTTAACATGACTTAAAAAAACATAAACCTATGCAACAGTAACCAGTTAAAAACAGTACTGTAGCAATGAGGTTTGTGCAGTAAGCAATAGGCCCAATACATTATCACTGCATATTGGCTTTGCTTGAATTGCCCTGCCAATGCATTGTTGTTCGGGCCATTTAAAAATATATATATTTCAAAATTTGAGGTAGGCTATATGATCACACTGGTAATAGAGCCGTTGTTGTATTACTTGTGAAGCACAGCTAAGCACAGCTGAGTGAGCATACATTTAAATAATTTGCTTTTTATTTTATTGGGCTGATGGTGCCTGCATCTGATGGTCAGTCTCAGCAGAGGGAGAGAGCAGCAGACTGATGGTCCGCCTCTCAACATCCCTCCGCTCACCCTTTCCTCCACTGACACTGACCAAAAAGGGACACCGTCTTCCAGCTGATGGCGAAACTCGAGTCGCACAGCATTATTTCTGTCTCATGCACAAATTTATGTTGTTACTCCTATGAACAGAGAAAGTTAAATATTCCTCAATATTAAAAAAGACCCAAACCGCTAATAACAACAATGCAAGCCTATAGATACACTTTCCTACTCATTCATTACTGCTACAGTGCTTGTTGTAGCGCTGAGTGGAAATAGGAAGAACACACATTTTATGGCTTATAAAAGTGTTGAATACAAAGTGTTGACAGTGCTGAGTAAGAACTTAAACATGAACTCATAAAAACAGCTTTTTGCTGTATTCGTTGATAGTCTCTCTCTAGTCATGGTTTTAAATGTTTGTAAATCTCACAGTACCTTCAGACACATGAAATGGTTCATAATGGCAACAGTTTGCCTACACGGCATGCAGGGCAGCTAAATCAGGTACCTACCGCCAACAGCCCGAGACATATAAAAAAATAATAATAGGAACAAGGCTTTCTTTACAGAAATGTTTGGCGATCAACTAGGAATGCCTAGGAGACCAATCGACCGGTTGGTGACCACTGCTCTAGAAAGTTGAGTGACGTTCAATCTCCTGCTTCTCTCTGTGGGCTGATATTTCTACAAGGCAGTCCAGGGGAGCTGCTCAGCAGTCTCGGGACTACTGCACGTAGCTTAGAGGGAACATTGGGTGTGAAATTCTGTCTTTGTCTGTCTCTGTAGGGTGAGTTGACAATCACAACTGATATGGAGGAGCTGGGTAACGCTCTGTTCCTGGACACGGTGCCAGAGTCCTGGACCAAGCTGGCCTACCCCTCCCTGCAGGGCCTGGGGGGCTGGTATGCAGACCTGCTGCTCAGGATCAAGGTACAACACCATAATACACTCTCTGATCGGGAGACATGTCCGTGAGTCCATCAGTATGTCTGTGGATAGGGATGTCCATTTATATAGGATATGTGTGTGTCATTGTCTACATTTTCATCCCATGTTGTATTATTCACAACTTTGGCCGGGATTCAATTAAAGCGCATTGTAGCACACTTGAAATTTAAAGAGCAAGGGCCCGATTCAGACTTAGGAAATGTACGCCTTTCCTACGCACTTCTCAGTACTCGGTATTCAGACTTACCTTAAGCAGGTGCGTAACAGGCTTTGCAGGCACGGTTCCCTTGCGCGTGTGTCACGAGAATTTCTATCTCTAATTCAACCTAAGCTTGAATCATTACCAGAGGTTGCAAGGCTCTGGTTTTAATCATAAATGATTCAAGGTCCACAACCAGCAAGAATGATCTGTATTTTTATTCATGGAGAGCTCTGGCGCCAAAACCCATACACTCCTGTTTTATACCCCTTGACACACAAAGGCACTTTGCTCCGCCCCCCTCTGTTAGTGGGTAGGGGGCTTTTTTTAACCCGTTTTCTCAGTCCCCTTCACCCTGGAATGTTTAGTCCCGCCCCCCTCTGTTAGTGGGTTGCCACTACATTATAACTCTAACACCGTTCACACATTTATACTGTATTTGGGGTGAAATCCTTTAGTCATTATTCTTAAAATACAAATTAATCTAACAATCCACCCCTTTGACTAAATGTTTTCACATTCAGGATAAATGTATTTTACAAGCATGATTAATCTCAGAGATCACGTCAGAACTAATAAACATTTCATCCAATTGCAGTCTTTCAGGGTCCAAATCCTCGTCATCCACCAAGCCTGGAGGATCGTTTTTCACATTCCCCTGGTCAGAGTCCGGAGTCAGTCCATCTCTCATCATTGTTTAGATACTGCATTTCACCAACACCTGACTCACCAATCCTCGGACACAGGGAACAAGACAACAACCACATAATACAAGAATACCCATACAAACACTGACCGCTCCTAAGATGGTGGCTGCTATGGTTTTCCATTTACCAAACATTTCATCAAACCACCCTATCCACGATGTACTAACTTCTGAGTTCTCAGTTCATTCTTCACTTAGTGCAGTTAATTATGTAAGAGCTCTGGTGACTGTCCCATCCAGTGTGGTGTTGTTAGGGATAAATGTGCAACAATGGCTTATCATTCTATAGACACCGGCCCTTTCTGCCTGATCTAGAACCAACCTCTACTAAGTTATGAGCGGGATTGCGGATAATTGCTCGAAGATCCCCTTTACTGCATCTCTAGTCTGGTTAATAAATCGTTGTTGGTTGTAATAGATATAATTTATCCAATCCACATTCTTGTTTATTGTCACCCACCAGAAAAATGTTGTGGTAAAACCCTCCCATATTTGATTCATAGCTTTGTATTCGTCTGGAACACCCCTGGGGATGCCTATACCATCTATCCAAATTGGGCTATTTCCTTCCTGACCTATATTTCTCCTCCTCCTGATTATTCTTCCTGTCACTGGTCTTTGATGAAATTCTTACAGGTTTGGACCAACAATACTGGTGCACAAGTACCCACCCATCCTTCTGGTAATGTCTGTCTTATGCTCCCTTTGTTAGTACATGCCCACCACACATCAGTCAGAGGGATGGTAAGGTTCATACTTTTCCCCTCCCTTCCTTATCTAAATCAGTCACATTAATTTTCTCCTTACAGCCATCAAAATCACCCAAGTTACGGGTGCCATTTCTATGTCTGCAACACTGGTATTCGCCAGGAGTTAAAATGAATCTAGGTGGGCTGGCCGAGTAAGTCAACTTTGCCAGCCCAATCCCTGTGCAATTGGGCTCTTTTTGATTGGACCCCAGGTCTAATACACAGGGAAACATTGCCTTTGGCATTGGGGGCGGTCAACATTGTCGGTCGCCCAATGGAGCATGCATAACAATTGGTCTCCCCCAAGGCCCTAGCGGTGTACTTCATCCACTTTAACCAGAGATTCTCATCAGGGACCCCCTCCACTTCCCCTTGGTTCCATTCTTGGAGGAGAAAATCTTTCATAGTGGACGGGTTAGTCGAATTGACTCCGTCATCCCTTGACTGATCTACTCGGTCTATTGCTATAAATGGATTAATGACAGTACCTGTGCCCTCCATATCTTTTGACTCCATCAAATGTAATCTTAGACAAGTATCCCGTCCGTATTTGTCCGTGCAAGCCCAGTAAATTATTTTAATGTCCTCTTTAGTGACCTTTACTATTGTTACTACCATCTCCGTGGGGATGTCATTATACCTTCTTATCCTCCATCTGGACGTCCAGCCCGCCCCCCCCCCCCCCCCCCAGTATGTCTAAATACCTGAGCCCAGGAACAATACACCGAGGGAGCTGAACATAAATACAATGGGATCTTATAATCCCACGTTGCTTGCTTATTTGCCCTGATAAGATCCCTAATCCTAATTTTGAATCTTACTCCCCACCCTTCTCTGACTCCTATTTTGTAGATCACTCGCCCTTGACGGTCAGTATGTCGGGTCGCTTCCCTTTTATTTCTTAATAATGGTAAGGCCATAGCGTAATTGGTGCGAGGTGGTGGTGGATCTTGACATACCAAGACTATTACCGAGACTATGATGCAGCTCAGGGTCACCCATATTCCCAAAAACCGCCAACCCTCTCCTGCCTTTAGTCCTTCTGCTTGGTACCACCCCATACTCACACCCTAAGAACACACTACAGTGATGATAGGTCGGGGTAGGAGATCTTCGTTAACAGAGGTGATCCCCAGACCTTATTGGTTCAGTTCTTCTCTCCAACTCTGTGTGTGTTTCAGTGGTGCTTGTATGTGGTCTTCCCTCTTGCAGTGGGTAACATGGACCCAGGTTACTCTCTCTGCTATTCTAATGGCCAAGGCAGTGACCAATATAACCTGATAGGGCCCTTCCCAACAGGCCTGCTTCCAGTTTTTCTTCTTTAGGGACTGGATGCTCACCAGTCACCTGGTTAGATAGAGTGGGTCACCTTCTCCTTTAGTTCACCGGTGGGGCACAAAACCTCTGACATACGGGTGTGGTTAATAAACTATCTTCACACATGTTCAGATTAATCTAACAATTTCTGACTGCATTCTCTTTCTAGACTGTATCTAAAAAAAAAAATTATTTCTTTTTTTTTAAAGTATTTTGTACTCTCCTTCGTATATTATTTAATCCTACCATTAGCCTCTTCCCCCCTCTTGACACATAGTTCTGCTCATGTGTCAATATTACCACCTACCTAAACAATCACTTAGGTAATTTATCAACCAATTGCCATGCCTTTTATTTTTTTATTGCTCCTCCCACTTCCTTTGTCTTTTATGGTGGCTAAATTCGACTTTCATTCAGTTCAGAATCAATTAGTAATCCAATCAATCAATCTCTTATTTTGTAAAAACACGTATGTTTAGTTCAAACTCTGTTCTACCCCGGCTCTTCCGGGCTTGACCTGAAGACTGATTGTTGGACATGACAAGTCCATATTTAAATATTTCAAACCTAACACAACCCCCCCCCCCCTCCTGCTGTAATCAATCAAGAAGATAGCAAAGGAGAGACAGGTTTTAGCCTGAACTCTGCTTAATCCTGGTGCTGCTCCCTTCACAATGTTTGAAGAGAGACAAAAGACAGCCATGGATTGAAGTAAGAGCAAGCACTTCGACCCTAGGTCACCTAAGTCTTCTGCCTAGCAACAAAGAATAAAAACCTCTATGTTCGTGATTAACCCAGTTATATCTAATAGCCCACCAAAAAAAAAAAACATCATCATCTTTAAATCACGACCAATGTCATATCCCTCTTTACTCTCTACCATTTGGGTAACATCCCTGATATATGTATGAAAAGCTAAGACTGTTTGGGAAGAGAGCAACAACATAAACTGTTCTTCCTCCTCAGAGTTCCAAATGATTTTACCATGGGCTGCCATTGCCTTCCCATAGATAAGATCACTTAATTTTCCAGTATGCAGTACATAATGGAGTACCCAAGCTTTACAGCAGTCCATCATCACCAAAAATCTCATCATTCTTCATCTATTTTTGTTTTTCTCCATCTAGTCCCTATCTTCCTGATCTTATTGCTAAATCAATGATCTATGCAATAGCTGTTTCGCCTTAGATTGTACCTTCCTCTGATTACTGCAGCTCATTGCATCAATTTAGTTTCAAATTTCACCCAACAAACCATTCCATCCCACAGCATAGCAAACACCACCTATGAACTGTTGAAAATCCCCTAAATTCAACATAACAACCCTTTATAAACATCATGCTGGGTGTGTTGTTTTTTTATTTGAAAAACCCAATTGAAAAACAACAATCAAAGATAGCCAGGCTCAACTTAATTTGGTAGCTCACTTTTATGACCTAAATACTGCCTAACTTCACTACTGCTCCCCCTCGCCCTGAGCAATATTCCAATGAGATAAGCTAATCTCTTTCTCCTGGTTATACATTTTGTTAACCTTCAATTACCATCAGTAATCTAAAGATGGTAGTACACACAAAACATGATACAGATATCCCCAGTCCTAACCCATCAATAATGTTTGTAATTCTAATTCCTCATAACTAATCCATAAAACCACTCAAAATTCCTCGAGTATACAATGATTATTTAATTGATTACCCTAAATCTGCTACATGTGATCTCATCTCAAATGATCCATTATCAATTATTTGATCCACCCCCTAGGAAAATCTCTCTCCCCTTCTATTCTGGAGTTCTACCTCTACCAGCTATTTCCCCTAGAGTGGCCATTAAATACTCTGCTCCCTTCTGTTCTTTTCTTACTATATCCTGTCTACTATTCTGCTCATGATGGATTGCATATCTCTTGACCTCGGCTAACGAAGTAGTTCCCCATCCCACTAATGTCCTCTTAATATTCCTGCTTATTTCTGGTCTCATTCCACTAAGGAATGCTATTTTTAGCTGCTGATGGTACGGAGTATCATTTCCCTGCCCCTGGGGAGGCTCAGGTATGCCACTATTTGCGTTAAATACATTTCTCAGTCTCTCTAAGTATTGGCTGATGGTCTCACTGTCTTCCTGTTTACATTCATGTACTTTGGAGAAGTCCGCATGTCGATGGTAATGTTCCCTCAAATTATTACACAACTCAGTTATTTTCCCCTTTAACTTCATACTTATAACCAATGTTTTTTCAATCCATCATCCTAATAGTAAAAACAATATCCCATTGTTCACGTAACGAAACACATTTTTATTTTTTGAATCCACCATTTATTTTCATCCACCACTGGTGTTACTCAACCTACAGTGGGGGAAAAAATTATTTAGTCAGCCACCAATTGTGCAAGTTCTCCCACTTAAAAAGATGAGAGAGGCCTGTAATTTTCAAAATTCACATTGTAGGATTTTTTATGAATTTATTTGCAAATTATGGTGGAAAATAAGTATTTGGTCAATAACAAAAGTTTCTCAATACTTTGTTATATACCCTTTGTTGGCAATGACACAGGTCAAACGTTTTCTGTAAGTCTTCACAAGGTTTTCACACACTGTTGCTGGTATTTTGGCCCATTCCTCCATGCAGATCTCCTCTAGAGCAGTGATGTTTTGGGGCTGTCGCTGGGCAACACAGACTTTCAACTCCCTCCAAAGATTTTCTATGGGGTTGAGATCTGGAGACTGGCTAGGCCACTCCAGGACCTTGAAATGCTTCTTACGAAGCCACTCCTTCGTTGCCCGGGCGGTGTTTTTGGGATCATTGTCATGCTGAAAGACCCAGCCACGTTTCATCTTCAATGCCCTTGCTGATGGAAGGAGGTTTTCACTCAAAATCTCACGATACATGGCCCCATTCATTCTTTCCTTTACACGGATCAGTCGTCCTGGTCCCTTTGCAGAAAAACAGCCTCAAAGCATGATGTTTCCACCCCCATGCTTCACAGTAGGTATGGTGTTCTTTGGATGCAACTCAGCATTCTTTGTCCTCCAAACACGACGAGTTGAGTTTTTACCAAAAAGTTATATTTTGGTTTAATCTGACCATATGACATTCTCCCAATCCTCTTCTGGATCATCCAAATGCACTCTAGCAAACTTCAGACGGGCCTGGACATGTACTGGCTTAAGCAGGGGGACACGTCTGGCACTGCAGGATTTGAGTCCCTGGCGGCGTAGTGTGTTACTGATGATAGGCTTTGTTACTTTGGTCCCAGCTCTCTGCAGGTCATTCACTAGGTCCCCCCGTGTGGTTCTGGGATTTTTGCTCACCGTTCTTGTGATCATTTTGACCCCACGGGGTGAGATCTTGCGTGGAGCCCCAGATCGAGGGAGATTATCAGTGGTCTTGTATGTCTTCCATTTCCTAATAATTGCTCCCACAGTTGATTTCTTCAAACCAAGCTGCTTACCTATTGCAGATTCAGTCTTCCCAGCCTGGTGCAGGTCTACAATTTTGTTTCTGGTGTCCTTTGACAGCTCTTTGGTATTGGCCATAGTGGAGTTTGGAGTGTGACTGTTTGAGGTTGTGGACAGGTGTCTTTTATACTGATAACAAGTTCATACAGGTAACGAGTGGAGGACAGAGGAGCCTCTTAAAGAAGAAGTTACAGGTCTGTGAGAGCCAGAAATCTTGCTTGTTTGTTGGTGACCAAATACTTATTTTCCACCATAATTTGCAAATAAATTCATTAAAAATCCTACAATGCGATTTTCTGGAATCTTTTTTCTCAATTTGTCTGTCATAGTTGACGTGTACCTATGATGAAAATTACAGGCCTCTCTCATCTTTTTAAGTGGGAGAACTTGCACAATTGGTGGCTGACTAAATACTTTTTTCCCCCCACTGTATACAATAAAGTAATAACCATTTGAATTCATCAAAGCACTTCCTGATGGTGACCAGAGCCATAAATTATTCTCCTTTGTCCTCAACTCAATTTTCACAGCTCTATCGCCATTAAAATGCCCAACAAAACATAATAGTTCAATGGAACCCTCTATTGGCTCTCTACTATTTATACATTACTTCTATAACCACTTTAGTTATGGTCCGATCACCCATTAAACCTTATCACATAACCTTATCACCTAATCAAACAACGGCACAACCTTAAACTCATCTCGGCCGGCTGGTAGCCCAGTAACCAAGAGCACCGTGTCAGAAACCGAGAGGTCGCCGGCTCCAATCCCCGAGCCGACCAGGCGAAAAATCTGCCGATGTGCCCCCGAGCAAGGCACCCAACCCCCACTGCTCCTGCAAGTCGCTCCGGACCAGAGCGTCTGCCAAATGACCAAAAATGCAAATGTAAATATTCTCTACTTTCTCACTCATGACGTACGTCTACGTTTGGGTGAGAAAGTTCATACGTATATATCGTTGGAAATTTATAGGAACCTCTCAAATAATCGCTTCGTGGTGTTTTTAGCCAATTCTTAATCGACACGAATCATTTCTTCAAACATTTTACCCGTGGAACCAAAAAATAGACTGTCCTATCTCCGACACTGCCCTTTCCTCTACCCCTGCAGTCACGATGGTTATGACCTGTTCTGTTACAGTATTTACACGGGGCCTTACACTCCCTTGCCAAATATTCCTCTTTGTTACAGTTAAAGCACTTCCTCTCTCCTTCGCGCTTCCAAAATACCCTCGCTGTCTCTAGCCCCTCCCCTCGCTGTTTTTTCAAATCCGTTCCACAGTTTACATGCATCTGCTTAATCATAACTTTAACTTTTCCACATCGAGATGCCCAATAAATCCATACCTCTTCTCCCAAATGGATCCATAAAACATATTTCTTCGATCTCTTCCTAACATATATATTTCGTCCCCCGTTAATTCTCTGACCTCTTTAGAATATTTATTTCCCATGGTGGAAAAATAAGAAATCCCCCCGTTTAGTAATAATTCAATCCAGAATTATTTTCCTAGGAGTTATTATTAAATGAGTCTCTTGAGCCAATGTTATGATCTGCTTTTGTAATTAACCATTTAAATTATCTAACCCGTAACCCAGAGGGTTTTTTAAAACTCCGGTTTCATGAAAGGGGTCAGATAACCATTTTTTCTCACGCGATCTAATTCAGTCCCTCCTTGAAACAATTATCACGTATTTCGATGGATCATTAAGTCTCACACGTATACAACATTTAAAGATTTATTTCTAACACTATCCGTAACCTAGAGGTCGTAACTGCTCCAGTTTCATGAAATAGACAGAGTTAGAGCAAATCCCCAGTCGTTTACGCGACTTTTGACCTGTTTAATGTATCTATCGCACACTACGAAAATTATCCCACTTCCTGTTTATATTGTAAAGACTGTATCTCGTACAATCTCAATATTAACTATATTATTTTGGTAATAGCTATTTACCTAGGGTCAATTACGGACCCCCCTTCCTTCCATTATAATAATTATTATTTCCTTTGAGATTTTGGTAACTATTCTCTGCCCTTCACAAGAATTACTATTCTTATACAAGTTCAAATAATTACACCAAAATCTATGAATAAAAATTACTGACCTTTTCCTTGCATTTTGGATGTAAATGCTTTTTCAAACTCGTTAACGTCTTTATCGTTCATAAGAGTAATCACCGGCCTGTTTATAACCTTAACGTCGAAGGCCAGGACTATTCTCCACGGATGCAATCACCTGCCCGTGCACGGTTTCGGTGTCCTTAGAACGACAAAGACGTATTTAAGCTCCGCTCGAAGGACCACTTGTCACAAGAATTTCTATCTCTAATTCAACCTAAGCTTGAATCATTACCAGAGGTTGTAAGGCGCTGGTTTTAATCATAAATGATTCAAGGTCCACAACCAGCAAGAATGATCTGTATTTTTATTCATGGAGAGCTCTGGCGCCAAAACCCATACACTCCTGTTTTATACCCCTTGACACACAAAGGCACTTTGCTCCGCCCCCCTCTGTTAGTGGGTAGGGGGCTTTTTTTAACCCGTTTTCTCAGTCCCCTTCACCCTGGAATGTTTAGTCCCGCCCCCCTCTGTTAGTGGGTTGCCACTACATTATAACTCTAACACCGTTCACACATTTATACTGTATTTGGGGTGAAATCCTTTAGTCATTATTCTTAAAATATAAATTAATCTAACAGTGTGCTGAATACATTTAATTAAACCACCGAAAACCCTCCCACTTGCTGGCCAACAGATTACCTTGTGGAGTCTTTATTCAATAGGGTTTTCAGTACCTTTATCTTAAGTCATACATTTAAATATGGTGTACCTTTAATTCAAATTTTGTCGACAGACTCACTAGAATACATAGAGAGAACGGGTTCAGAATATAGGGATCAATGAAAGAAAGCCATCTAAATAAACTGAGTGTACAAAACATTAGGAACAACTTCCTAATATTGAGTTGAGAAATGAAAAACCCAGTAGCGTTGCGGTTCTTGACAAAAACTGGTGTGCCTGGCACCTACTACCATACCCCATTCAAAGGCACTTACATTTTTTGTCTTGGCCATTCACCCTCTGAATGGCACACATACATAATCCATGTCTCAATTGTCTCCAGGCAGAACCCAAATCTTGTTCTCAGTCGCATTTCCTAATGAGGAGAATTGAGTCAAGGCTAAAATCAGGAAGTTCAGTCCCCCTTTAAAGCCAGGTAATTTCCAATCGAGCCAACATATGCAGCGTTTACCGAGAATGACATCTCCGCGAACGCGGGAACATTGCATTTGAAAGACGCATTATCGATAACACGCGATCGTATTGAATATTCTGTCCATACATACTCTGTTGATTGCTTTTGTCTGTGTGTGTAGGAGTTGGAGTCATGGACGGCAGACTTCGCTCTCCCCACCACGGTGTGGCTGGCAGGGTTCTTCAACCCCCAGTCGTTCCTGACAGCTATCATGCAGTCCATGGCCAGGAAGAACGAGTGGCCTCTGGACAGGATGTGTCTGTCTGTAGAGGTGACCAAGAAGAACCGCGAGGACATGACCAGTCCACCCAGGGAGGGGGCCTACATCTACGGACTCTACATGGAGGGTACGGGTTATCATCTCGGTTGCATTCTAAAATGGCATCCTATTCCCTATATAGTAAAACACAAAAAAGCCAGACCACGATTAGAAAATAGATACGTTTATTCAGTCAGGCAAATGGCTACTTTGGATTTCTCCAAAGTGATACACTGTAGAACACATTTACGCCAATTTTTGCCATTAGCAATGGCATCATGAAACATCAGCCACCATCTTCTGGAGATGAATAAGTCCGTCAATAACACACATCAGGTGCAGTCAAAACTTTAATATCATTTTTAAAAACTCATCAAATTCTCTTAGGTTACAAAGATAGTCATCCATTCACACAGAGTGCCCAGTTCAGATCCTGGAATGACTCACTGTATGAGCTGGTTAGCGCAGGGTTTCCCAAACTTTCTCTCAGGCCTCCTTCCAGCATTGGGGAACATCCCTAGGGGGCACGCCCCACAGTTTGGGAACCACTGGTTTAGAGTACCGTAGTAAACACTGCTAGATCAGTTCTCCTCTCAACCGTCCTTAAGGCTCCTCCAGGGATCTCAAGACTCCACACACAGCGGTCTGTCTTGTCACCTTCACACACACGCACAGTTTGTTTATTCACCTTCAGACCCACACCTGTTCACATGCCTGTCTATTCACCTTCAGACCCACACCTGTCTATTCACCTTCAGACCCACACCTGTTCACACACCTGTCTATTCACCTTCAGACCCACACCTGTTCACATGCCTGTCTATTCACCTTCAGACCCACACCTGTCTATTCACCTTCAGACCAACACCTGTTCACACACCTGTCTATTCACCTTCAGACCCACACCTGTTCACATGCCTGTCTATTCACCTTCAGACCCACACCTGTTCACATGCCTGTCTATTCACCTTCAGACCCACACCTGTCTATTCACCTTCAGACCCACACCTGTTCACACACCTGTCTATTCACCTTCAGACCCACACCTGTTCACATGCCTGTCTATTCACCTTCAGACCCACACCTGTTCACATGCCTGTCTATTTACCTTCAGACCCACACCTGTTCACATGCCTGTCTATTTACCTTCACACACACACACTTTACTCTCATCATGTACCAGATTCTACTCTGTCAATACAAAACTAATGGGGAGGTTGTGGAATGTACACAACATCCTGGCTAACGTTCCTCCTGCTGGCAACATGTACTCAGCATATTAATGTTTGTAGTTCATGGAAAACACCTTACTAGTTTCCGTGACAAAAACAGTGCTATTTCTCAGGCATTGGTAACTAAGTGGTCCGTTTGTACAGTAGATATACACAACCATACAGTCTCAATGTGGAGATGGGGGTTGGAGTGATGACAGATGTTTCTATGTTTAGAGTTCAATACGGTAGGTATGTATGTGTCTGGTTGTGTATGTGCAGGGGCGCGCTGGGACACCCAGACAGGGGTGATAGCGGACGCTCGTCTGAAGGAGCTGACCCCCAACATGCCGGTGATCTTCATCAAGGCGGTACCAGTGGACCGGCAGGAGACCAAGAACGTGTACGAGTGTCCCGTCTACAAGACCCGCATGAGGGGTCCCACCTTCATCTGGACCTTCAACCTCAAGACCAAGGAGAAGCCTGCCAAGTGGGTACTGGCTGCGGTCTGCCTCCTGCTCAGCGTGTAACAGAGAGGCGAGAGAAACACAATAACACTGAGAAATGTCATCCAAAATACCTTTTTAAATAATAAAAAGACAATGACAGATTTCTGTCATCCATGTCTATTGGAGGAATGTGATGCTGAACACAGCCATCAGTGAGGTGGGAGAAAGATGTGTTGAGCTTGGAAATGGCATCAAAATCAAATCCCAAATAAAATTGTATTTGTCACATACACGTGTTTAGCAGATGTTATTGAGGGTGTAGCGAAATGCTTGTGCTTCTAGCTCCGACAGTGCAGTAATATCTAACAAGTAATATCTAACAATTTCACAACATATACCCAATACACACAAATCTAGTAAGGAATGGAATTTAAGAATATATACATATATGGACAAGCAATGACAGAGCGGCATGGACTAAGATACAGTATAATATTATAGAATAGAATGCAGTATATACATATGAGACGAGTAGTGCAAGATATGTAAACATTATTAAAGTGACTAGTGTTCCATTTCATAATGAAACAACTCCACTGTATCACAGTACAGCTTTCTCACCGTCCCAGTGTTCCTAGGAAGGCCCACTAGGGGGCAGCCTGTACAAGCATGGTTAGGACACACAGAGGTAAAGAACAGTACAATACAAGCATGCAGACAAACCGCAGTGATAACCTTTTGAATGGGAAAGTAAGGTGTGTATTGGAGGGCTTCCAGCCTGTTGTCAGTACAGTGTAACAATAGGCATACTGTAGATAAGAACATCCATCTGTAGATAAGAACATCCATCTGTAGATAAGAACATCCATCTTTCTTTTTTTGCCAGATAACAGCTAAGTACTTACTTCAACCACAGACTTCTATAACCACATTTCACTTTTATTCTGGGAAACTGTGCAGCTGGAGGGTGTGTACTCAGCTATTGTTAGAACTAAGCTTTATTTTAATTTTTTTGACAGATCACCAGATAACAGCTAAGGACTTACTTCAACCGACTTCTATAACCACGTTTCACATTTATTCTGTGAAACTGTGCAGCTGGAGGGTGTGTACCTGTGAGACCACATGGAGTTGGGAGGGTGTTGATACTAGCGCTGGCGTACCGGACTCCCCCGCAGCCAGTGCAATGAGTGGAGCTCACTCAGGTGTTCAAAATACAGAGAGCCTAATGTTTCTTAGGTAGTTCTTTATGAGTTTTAGTTTAGAAAATGATCTCTCCGCAGAAAAGACAGTTACAGGGATGGTAAAAACAGCTTGATTGCCATAGCAACATCAGGGAAACTAGACAGAAGGGAGTTGTGCTTCAAATACAGCAGTTCTGTAACATCTTTAATTGCGCCTCACATTCTCCATAATTGCCGGCCTCAACACGTTATGGAAAGAGATTAACTGTATAGGAAGCTCTGCGGACAGGTCGTCTGGATACTGGACAGCCAATAAATTGGCAGATGCAAACATGATCTTTAGCAGACAACAGTTTTTGAGGGCGGTTTGCGATTTCGTTCATACTGGCAAACCGGTGTTTGAGTTGTATGGTTACAATATCAACAGTCCCTTATCTCTGGAATATCTTGGCATGCATCATTCAAGACTAAGTTTAAATCGTATACGGCGCAATGGACATACTGTATAATGCACAATGTCTCAGGAAAGACTGTCTGGGTTATCAATACTCAGTATAGAAAACAGTCTGCCCGCAACCTGAACCTACAGGCCATGGTGAATAAATGTGCACACAGAAAAGGAGGACTTCAGGACACAACTTGATTGGAGTCCGCCTGTGGTAAATTCAATTGATTGGACATGATTTGGAAAGGCACACACCTGTCTATATTAGGTCCCACTGTTGACAGTGCATGTCAGAGCAAAAACCAACCAATGAGGTCAAAGGAATTGAACGTAGAGCTCCAAGACAGGATTGTGTCGAGGCACAGATCTGGGGAAGGGTACCAAAACATTTCTGCAGCATTGAAGGTCCCCAAGAACACAGTGGCCTCCATCATTCTTAAATGGAAGAAGTTTGGAACCAGACTTTTCCTAGAGCTGGCCGCTCAGCCAAACTGAGCAATCGGGGGAGAAGGGGCTTGGTCAAGGAGGTGACCAAGAACCCAATGGTCACTCTGACAGAGCTCTAGAGTTCCTCTGTGGAGATGGGAGAACCTTCCAGAAGGACAACTCTCTCTGCACCACTCCACCAATCAGTGCAAATAGTCCAATCCTTAGTAAGCTATTGTTTGAAGGTGGACTGACTATTATTTGGCATTAATAGACTGGTTTTACATACAACTTTCTATCCATGCTGGGAGAGAGCGTGAGGATGGTTCATGTCATGCAGATTCAGATAGCCTATACAGGACAAAAATCTATTGGTAGCTGAATGGTATGCTGTTGCATCGAACATTTATAATTGTACAATCTGCAATGTTTGAATTTCCAACTTTAATTACTGAATAAGTAATGACATTATTGCCACCCTGGCACCCCAGAAAACCTAGAATTGACTCGATAGGCATTCAGCCGCATAGACATGTCGCAATTTCATCACCATGGACAGTGACCTTGTGGGGGGGTCCAGAGAATCTGCGTTACACCAGTGGATACCATGGCTGTTTCTGAGAGGCGGGAGGGAGGACGGATGTCCATCTATAGATAACCCTGTTTCCCGGACCAGGTCATTCAACGGTCAATTACCTTTTGTGATCCCACCTCACATGCTCAGTGAGAGTGTGTGTGTGCGCACTGTAAGTGTGTGTTTTAATTTCCATTTCGAAATTAATTCATTTACCAGAACTGATGGTACACAACTACACAGTAACAAAAACAAACTATAGGTAGCATCTTTGTTCATGTATTTGGATGCTTGTGGTGCCAGTTTTAAGAGTACGAGGAGGAATGCGTGGCCCCATCCATCACACTGACACTTAAATGGCAATTTGTCTCACTGAGTGACATATTGTGGTGACGAGACAACTCCCATTAACAGTCAACATAAAAAAATAAAAAAACGTCCTGTTAGGCAAGTCTACATCCCTGTTAGAACACACACAATAAGCCACCCTCCCCCGTCTAAGCCGCCTCTGACCCCACTGCCTACTCTTAACTATCTGTCAAATCATCACCACAATGACATGATGAGAGGGATTTAACTAGAGGGAGGAGAGGGGAACAGGCCGTCACATTCCTCTCTCTCACACACACACAGCTGAATGGGTCCAGATGCTGACTGCAGAATGTTGACGCACTCAGCTGAGGGGTCAAAGGCCAGATGGGTCAGACAGTTTCTCTCAGAGAACCGGGACATTGAGGAGGAGGGGGGAATAAAGTGGATAAAGGTGTGGGAGGGGGAGGGGGAGTAGGAGTAGGATTCAAGCAGGGGGAGCTGGGTTCAGCTTCTGAGGTTGATGCGGGCTAGGTTGGGTTTGGGATTTGGGTTGAGGGCTGGTACACATAGCAGTGGCTAGGGACATTTTGGAGAAACCACGTTCTGCCGTTCTATAAAAAGCATCTACTTCTGTGTGAGACTAGGAGACAATCGTTCAGAGGGAGTGGCGTGTGTGTGCGTGTTACCTTTGTTTGGCTGTTTCTCTCAGAAGAAGTTCTTGATGAGGGGAGTGACCAGTTTCACCCACAGCTTGACATGGCGATCTGGCTGCTGGAACGTAGAGCTGGACACCTCTGTAGACCTCTGGTACAACATCTCCTGCTCCTGTTACAGAGAGAGCGAGAGAAAGAGGGTGTAATTGTGTGAGTGAGAGAGAGTGAATGAGTTTGTGTGTGTGAGAGAGAGTGTATGAGAGAGTGAGTGTGTGTGTGTGTGAGAGTATGTGTGTGTGTGTGTGTGTGTGAGAGAGAGAGTGAGTGAGAGTGAGTTTGTGTGTGAGAGAGTGAGTGTGTGTGTGTGTGAGAGTGCGTGAGTGAGAGTGTGTGAGAGTGAGTGTGTGTGTGAGAGTGAAAGAGTGAGTGTGAGAGTGACAGAGTGAGTGTGTGAGAGAGTGTAGGTGAGAGTAAAAGTGTGTGAGTGAGTGTATGTGTGAGAGAGAGAGTGAGTGAATGTGAGTACACATTTCCCAGGTTTCCCTGCTTGCTCGCTCTGTCTGCTTTGCATATTACTTCCAGCTTCACATAGCTCATGATCGCAGGAACTATCAGATTAGTTGAATTTTGTAGACAGGCCTTTTGGTTGAGAGCTGTATAAAGCAGAGCCATAGTAGCCATCAAGTCTGTTTAAATAAAGTTGTGTTGGTTTGAATGACCTACTTCCTGCAAGTGGGCCTGTAATTCCTGGTTCTCTGTTACTATGGCGATCTGGGCCTCCAGGTCTCGGTGCACCGAGCGGTAGCCAAAGTTAGGAGAGCCAATCAGAGTCAGGCACGGCCGCACCTGCCCCCGCAGGTAGTACCACAGCCCTGCAGAGAGAGAGAGAGAGAGAGAGAGAGGGATGAGGGAAAAGGTGGGGAGAGGGGGATTGGTGGAGGAAGGAAAGAGGGAGGAGAGAGAGAAAAAGGGAGAGCAGTTTCCCAACATCAGTGATTTGTTCTGCAGCTGGGGGTCAGGGTCAACTCTACTCTAATGGTCATTGATTCTCTCCCAGCTGGGTGCTGTGTGTGTGTGTAATTTCTCCCCTACTGTTCTCTCTCCTGCAGTGTGTGCTGTGCTTACGGGAAACGGCCGGCCCGCCCTGCTTTATCTAATAAATGGGACTCCTCTACGATCGTGTGAAATTACATTCCACTGACGCTGCTTCACTGTGTGTGTTCATTTCCCTCTCTCTGCTTCTCTCTCTCTCTCAGTGGCTCAATCTGTCTTTTGAAGAAAAAACAAGAATTTACCTAGCTACTAATGCATCACTAACATTTCAGTTCTTTAGAATATTCTTTCGGACACATTGCCATTTGATTCTATAAATGATGCATCAGCAAAAGGAAAGTGCAGGTTGGCAATAGTTCAGATATAATTCCTTAGAGCATTGTTTCATGTTTCAATGGGGATTCTGGTTCTCGTTGGCCATGCCCACAACTATAAAGGAAACACTGAAGCACACACACAGAAACCCCCAAAGTCTATCCAAACCCAGGAGTGACTGTGTGTGTGTGTGTGTGTGTGTGTGTGTGTGTGTGTGTGTGTGTTTCCTTGGCTCGGGGCTAAGAGTGAATGACTTGACAAGACGTTGTCTCTCATGCAACATGTCTGGGTTACCACAGGGACAGAACAGCAGAGCCACAGAACAGTACCACTGTCTGTCAGGGTGGAATTGACACTATGTGTGAGTTCCAAATGGCACCCTATTCCCCTATCCCTACATAGTGTACTACTTTTGACCTGGGCCCATAGGGCTCTGTTAAAAATGTAGTGCACGATATAGGTAATAGGGTGCCGTTTAGGATGCACACTATGCTTCCCAGCAGCTCACTGTCTGACCGTGGAACGTCACTTCACTACCAGTCAGAACTCACAGCCAAACAGAACTAATCACAATGGAGTAGAACCATTCAGAATCAATCTCTCAGGCCAAGGATTATATTGTGTGTGTGTGTTCACTCTGTGTGTACTTTGTGTACTCTGTGTGTGTGTGTGTGTGTGTGTGTGTGTGTGTGTGTGTGTGTGTGTGTGTGTGTGTGTGTGTGTCCCACCCTTGGCGTGGAAGGTCCAGTGTGCTCTGTGGTACTCGTGGAGGTGAACTCTCTCCTGCTGTCCCAGCTGACACACATTGCTGTAGAACTGTCTGGCAATGTGGATGTAGGCCGCTGGGATCTCCCCGGCAATACCCTTGGCGCCGAAAAACCCATTGACCTCCGGGGAGGCGGTGAGAATCCGGTAGTCGGCGCCCACCCCCAGAACCAGCGACATGTAGGCCCTTGTCAGGTTGAAATAACCCGACGTCAGAAACACAGTCGCACCGGGACCCGCATCTGTCAGCAAACGCTGCAAGGAAATAAGATGTTCAGATGTAGTGCCCTCTCACTAAAACACCACATTTTTAAGTAACACACAAAAATATCAAATAAAAGTTTACAAGATAGCATCACGTGTAGTGGTGTCCTGGTGTGTGTGTACCCACCTGTGTGATCTGCTCATCCACCTGTATTCCCAGAGGTTTCATCTGAACCAGAGGAAAAACCCAAGTGTCCTCCTTCCCTCCCTCCTCCCCTCCCCCTTCTTCGCCCTTGCTCTCCCGCTTCAAATGTTCTGATTTGGCGATGTCTTGGCGCATACGAGCCGTGCTCACCACCTTCATGATGTGTTGCCGGGCCGACGCCGAGAAATCATCCCTGTTACCTAGTGACAAAAGAATGTAGGGATGTAAGAGAGAAAACAGACCGACCTGGTTAAAGCTAGAATCCTTAGTTGCTACATCCATTTCTAGAATTCTTGAAGAATATAACTTATAAATGCCTCATGAGCTTAGTTCAACTGCCATACCCCATCAGAACCCTAAATATAAGCTTATTTTACTCCCATGTTTGTAAACAATGTAAACAAACAATGTATAGCCTCAAACACGGTTAAAACTATACATTTTGATATCATGGATGGTCAGTCCTTGCATCCATAGCTCTGTCTGTGAATTTGAGTGGTTACATTTCTCCAAGCCCATCCCTCAGCTTTTTAATGAAACAGAGGCGGGGTGCTCGCTTTGTTATTTTTGCAATTAACGATTCTAGCTTTAACCATACACAAACTCTCTCTCTCCCTCTCACACACACACACACAGTATGTGTACAGTAGAGCAGGTGAGTGTGTAAAGTACAGCAGGTCATTTAGTTCTGGGCATAGGTCATTTAGTTCTGGGCATTACGGCTATGGGTCAATATCTGGACTACGCCTGGCGGCTGGCGCCACACACCGACGTGACTCAGAGAGAGGGAGGAGAGAGAGAGAGAGAAAGAGAGGGAGGAGAGAGAGAGAGAGAAAGAGAGGGAGGAGAGAGAGAGAGAGAAAGAGAGGGAGGAGAGAGAGAGAGAAAGAGAGAGAGAGAGAGAGAGAGAGAGAGGAAAAGAGGAGTGAGAGATGGATACCTGCAAGCTCAGCATGAGTTCATTCTAAAGACGTTATTTTACTGTAATGTTTGCGCTCTCTTTCAGCAGGGGACCTTCATTCACTAATGATTAGTGTGTGCGTGTTCCCACTCTGTTGTTTACCAGCAACTCCGTGACATCACTGCTCTATTTCTAGTTTCCGTGACTACTGTGGTCCGGTTCTGCAGACATTATGTCATTTAGCACCCGACCCAACATCCTGACTGAACGTTCTCTGGTTACACACTCTCTCACACTATTTTTCTCTGTCCGTCTACCTCTCCGTCTCTCCCGACTCTCTCTCTCTTTCATTCACACACATGCCAGATCTCTGATTTCACTGTGTGTCTGAGCTGGAACAAGCTACATTTTCAACTAATCTGATTCCATGGACCTTTCCAAGAACAACGCATTACACTACATTATGAGAACTTGCAAGCCAAGCTGAGCAAGGAGTTAAGCACCTAGGGACTGTGTTACCTCTGTGTTATGTACAGTACATTCTGAAAATATTCAGACCCCTTCACTTTTTCCACATTTTGTTACATTACAGCCTTATTCTAAAATGGATTAAATAAAAATCAATTCTCAGCAATCTACACACAATACCCCATAATGACAAAGCGAAAACAGGTTATTAGACATTTTTGCAAATGTACTAAAAATAAAAAACAGAAATACCTTAGCTCAGGTGCATCCTGTTTCCATTGATCATCCTTGAGATGTTTCTACAACTTGATTGGTGTCCACCTGTGGTAAATTCAATTGATTGGACATGATTTGGAAAGGCACACATCTGTCTATATAAGGTCCCACAGTTGACAGTGCATGTCAAAGCAAAAACCAACCCATGAGGTCAAAGGAATTGTCCGTAGAGCTCTGAGACAGGATTGTGTCGAGGCACAGATCTGGGGAAGGGTACCAAAAAATGTCTTCAGCATTGAAGGTCCCCAAGAACACAGTGGCCTCCATTTTTAAATGGAAGAAGTTTAGAACCACCAAGACTCTTCCTAGAGCTGGCCGCCTGGCCAAACTGAGCAATCGAGGGAGAAGAGCCTTGCCTTGGTCAGGGAGGTGACCAAGAACCCGATGGTCACTCTGACAGAGCGCCAGAGTTATTTTGTGGAGATGGGAGAACCTTCCAGAAGGACAACCATCTCAGCAGAACTCCACCAATCAGGCCTTTATGGTAGAGTGGCCAGACGGAAGCCACTCCTCAGTAAAAGGCACATGACAGCCCGCTTGGAGTTTGCCAAAAGGCACCTAATGGACTCTCAAACCATGAGAAACAAGATTCTCTGGTCTGATGAAACCAAGATTGAACTCTTTGGCCTGAATGCCAAGCGTCACGTGTGGAGGAAACCAGGCACCGCTCATCACCTTGCCAATACCATCCCTATGGTGAAGCATAGTGTTGGCAGCATCATGCTGTGGGGATGTTTTCCAGCGGCAGGGACTGGGAGACTAGTCAGGATCGAGGGAAAGATGAGCGGAGCAAAGTACAGAGAGATCCTTGATGAAAACCTGCTCCAGAGCGCTCAGGACCTCAGACCTGGGCGAAGGTTCACCTTCCAACAGGACAACGACCTTAAGCACACAGCCAAGACAACGCAGGAGTGGCTTCGGGACAAGTCTCTGAGCCCGGACTTGAACCCGATCTAACACCTCTGGAGAGACCTGAAAACAGCTGTGCAGTGACGCTCCCCATACAACCTGACAGAACTTAAGAGGATCTGCAGAGAAGAATGGGAGAAACTCCCCAAATACAGGTGTGCCAAGCTTGTAGCGTCATACCCAAGAAGACTCGAGGCTGTAATCGCTGCCAAAGGTGTTTCAACAAAGTACTGAGTAAAGGGTCTGAATCCTTATGTAAATGTGATATCTGTTTTTTATTTGTAATAAATTAGCAAAAATTGTGGACAATCATAGCCTTACACGCGAGGAGACACAGCCAAACCCTTTCCAAGAAGGCTTGGTGTCGACAGAGATAAATGGCGAACGAAGGCATTAACACGTAAATACATTCATGATTTCTTACTCCAAATGGGCGGTAGTGGTTCATGTGCAAAGTATTATGATTACTGTGAAGGTAGTTTCCAAATGTATCAACGGTAAGTGTCTCTTTCTCTCTCTCTACCCCTCCCTCTTTTGGTAAACAAGCAGTCATGTTGTTGTTAGTCCGCTAGGGACTTTTTCTCATGTATGAAGTGTGTATGTTTATTCCGTGTTATTATTTAGCTAGCTAGTAAATCAATAATTAAACAAATTGGTGTAGTACTGAATAATGAGTAAGGCTGGGGTTTTTGCAGATCCAAGGTGGTTATGACTGTTCAGAATGATGATATGATAAGATGTTAGATTAATTTGGATTTTAAGAATAATGACTAAAGGATTTTACCCCAAATACAGTATAAATGTTAGAATTATCATGTAGTGTCAACCCACTAACAGAGGGGGCGGTACAAAGGTGGGAGGAGTCAAGTCCAGGAGGTATAAAATCGTATGTTTGGGTCTTTGGCCCCAGAGCTCTCTCCATGAATAAAAATACAGATAAGACTTGTGAGTTGTGGACCTTGAATCATTGATGATTAAAACCAGAGCCTTACAACCTCTGGTAATGATTCAAGCTTAGGTTGAATTAGAGATAGAAATTCACATGACATAAGAGGTTATGATTTAGAGCCTTTAGAGTTTAATTCGGGAGATGGTAACTCTTTAAACAACTTATTCCGTGGTGCCCCAAATCCTAATGAGTTAATTGTTACATGATTCATTTAAAATCGGGTAACAATTAAACATAGTTAGTTGATTCGATAAATAACAGTCATCAGAGTAATGAAAGTCATGTCATGACAACTGTAACGTAACAAAACGTGGAAAAAGTGAAGGGGTCTGAATACTTTCAGAATGCACTGTATGTATTGGTGTGTTTTCCGCGTGTTTTCTACCTCTGTAGGGGTGCACCATGTTTTCCATCATGCTAACAGAGTTGTCAGGCTGTAGCTGTAACGACACGTCTCCCACGGCGCCCACCAGATCAGAGAAGAAGTCGGCCACCTCCCAACAGTTCTCCAGGAGCACGTAGCGGTCCTGTCTGTTGGTGAAGTACGAGTCACTCAGGTTGGCCCTACGGAGGGAGGGGAGAGATAGAAGAGAGAGAGGTAAAAGGTTGAAAGAGGGATACCAAGCAACAACAGCTACTGTATGAGAAAAACACCAACAACTACAACAATGGTGTGTGTGTGAGCGAGTTCGTGTTCGTGTACCCGCTGATGATGAGGTCATCGTCAAACAGGTAGGCTTTGATGTGCTGTAATCCAATGGTCTCGTTGAAGCGCTGTGGGACCAGGAGCCGGAGCAGCCCTCTCAGGTCAGGGGAATGGTACAGAGACACACGCATCCGACTGCTGTACTGCTGCAGCAACGGCAGCAACATGGTCCTAGAGTTAGTCTCACCTAGACACACAGGTCACAGACACACGTAGATTGGTAAGAATTACATGGCATTTTCCCTCTCTCACATACAAACAACCCCTCCTACCTCTTGAGCCGCGTGTGTAGTCTAATAGAATGGAGACCTGCAGGTCGGAGTTGTCACCCTCCTGTGAACGCTCCAGAGCTTCCTGCATACAGTCCACCAGGTCCTGTTCCAGGGGTCCTGTACCCAGATACAGCGAGGCCATCACCACTCGCCTTTTAGCCGTCTTTATTCGAGCCTGAACACAGAACACAAGAAATTACAGTTTAATCAGGTATTACAGGAAACAAACAAGGGGACTTCTTCAGGGGCTTTAACTCCCCCCCCCAAAAAAAATATGTATTATTTACTTTCATCATTTTTTGTTATTGGGGAATGTTTAGTACACCATCTTTAGTACATCACATGATTTAGAGAAAGCTCCACAACCTCTCTCACACACATCTTACCTTCATCGCCTGGTAAAACTGGTCAGGGGAGGTGAGGATGTGGATGTGTGTGCCAGGCACCCTGAAGGCGGGCACATGTTCTGCCATCCAAAGGAAGCGAGCATGGAGGCCATCAGCGCCCTGAGCTCCAGTCGACCCGGGGGATCTGAAAAGAGGAAGGGGAGAGGGATCTGCCTCCGCTAGGAGAGGGGCTAGGAGCAACACAGACGACCTTGGGGGGGGGGGGGGGGGGGGGGGGTGGAGAGGAAGAGAAAGGGAGAATGGACAGGAATTACTTTCATAGAAACAGAGTGGGGATTGTCTCCTATAGATAAACAACCTACACTAAACAAAAAACATTACGCAACTTGCAACAATTTCTGTTAGTTACAGTTCACATAAGGAAATCAGTCAATTGAAATAAATGCATTATGCCCTAATCTATGGATTTCACATGACTGGGAATAATCTGTTGGTAACAGATACCTTAAAAAAAAAAATTGGGGCGTGGATCAGAAAACCAGTCAGTATCTGGTGTGACCACCATTTGCCTCATGCAGCGTGACACATCTCCTTCACATAGAGTTGATCAGGCTGTTGATTGTGGAATGTTGTCCCACTCCTGTTCAATTGCTGTGCAAAGTTTCTGGATATTGGCGGAAACTGGAACACTCTGTCGTACATGTAGATCCAGAGCATCCCAAACCTGCTCAACGGGTGACATGTCTGGTGAGTATGCAGACCATGGAAGAACTGGGACATTTTCAGCTTCCGGGAACTGTGTACAGATCCTTGCGACATGGGGCCGTGCATTATCATGCAGAAACATGTCGACGGATGAATGGCACGACAATGGGCCTCAGGATCTCGTCACGGCATCTCTGTGCATTCAAATGGCCATTGATAAAATGCAATTGTGTTCGTTGTCCGTAGCTTATGCCTGCCCATACCATAACCCCACCATGGAGCACTCTGTTCACAACGGTGACATCAAACTGCTCGAGCCATACACGTTGTCTGCCAGTTGAAAATGGGATTCATCCGTGAAGAGCACACTTCTCCAGCGTGCCAGTGGCCACAGAAGGTGAGCTGCAGTCAGCTCAAGACCAAGCAGATGAGCTTCCCTGAGACGGTTTCTAACAGTTTGTACAGGAATTCTTTGGTTGTGCAAACCCACAGTTTCATCAGCTGTCCGGGTGGCTGGTCTCAGACGATCCCGCAGGGGAAGAAGCCGGAAATTGAGGTCCTAGGCTGGCGTGGTTACAAGTGCTCTGCGATTGTGAGGCCGGTTGGATGTGCTGCCAAATCCTGCACTGACTCTCCACACCTTAGCACACATGCACTCACTCAGATATACACTCATCCACACACACACGCTACACAAATCACAACTACTGCTACCAGACTCTTATTATTTTTGCTACAGTGAGGGAAATAAGTATTTGATCCCCTGCTGATTTTGTACGTTTGCCCACTGACAAAGACATGATCAGTCTATAATTTTAATGGTAGGTTTATTTGAACAGTGAGAGACAGAATAACTACAAAAAAATCCAGAAAAACGCATGTCAGAAATGTTATAAAATGGTTTGCATTTTAATGAGGGAAATAAGTATTTGACCCCTCTGCAAAACATGACTTAGTACTTGGTGGCAAAACCCTTGCTGGCAATCACAGAGGTCAGACATTTCTTGTAGTTGGCCACCAGGTTTGCACACATCTCAGGAGGGATTTTGTTCCACTCCTCTTTGCAGATCTTCTCCAAGTCATTAAGGTTTCGAGGCTGACGTTTGGCAACTCAAACCTTCAGCTCCCTCCACAGATTTTCTATGGGATTAAGGTCTGGAGACTGGCTAGGCCCCTCCAGGACCTTAATGTGCTTCTTCTTGAGCCACTCCTTTGTTGCCTTGGTCGTGTGTTTTGGGTCATTGTTATGCTTGAATACCCATCCACGACCCATTTTCAATGCCCTGGCTTAGGGAAGGAGGTTCTCACCCAAGATTTGACGGTACATGGCCCTGTCCATCGTCCCTTTGATGCGGTGCAGTTGTCCTGTCCCCTTAACAGAAAAACACCCCCAAAGCATAATGTTTCCACCTCCATGTTTGACGGTGGGGATGGTGATCTTGGGGTCATAGGCAGCATTCCTCCTCCTCCAAACACAGTGAGTTGAGTTGATGCCAAAGAGCTCGATTTTGGTCTCATCTGACCACAACACTTTCACCCAGTTCTCCTCTGAATCATTCAGATGTTCATTGGTAAACTTCAGACGGCCCTGTATATGTGCTTTCTTGAGCAGGGGGACCTATAGGGCGCTGCAGTATTTCAGTCCTTGTGTTTCTTCCATTTGCGAATAATCGCGCCAACTGTTGTCACCTTCTCACCAAGCTGCTTGGCGATGGTCTTGTAGCCCATTCCAGCCTTGTGTAGGTCTACAATCTTGTCCCTGACATCCTTGGAGAGCTCTTTGGTCTTGGCCATGGTGGAGAGTTTGGAATCTGATTGATTGATTGCTTCTGTGGACAGGTGTCTTTTATACAGGTAACAAACTGAGATTAGGAGTACTTCCTTTAAGAGTGTGCTCCTAATCTCAGCTCGTTACCTGTATAAAAGACATCTGGGAGCCAGAAATCTTTCTGATTGAGAGGGGGTCAAATACTTATTTCCCTCATTAAAATGCAAATCATTTTATAACATTTCTGACATGCGTTTTTCTGGATTTTTTTGTTGTTATTCTGTCTCTCACTGTTCAAATAAACCTACCATTAAAATTATAGACTGATCATTTCTTTGTCAGTGGGCAAACGTACAAAATCAGCAGGGGATCAAATACTTTTTCCCCTCACTGTATATACTGCACAATTTAAACACTTGCCCCCCAATCCCCCCCTTCCCCAAAACGTCTAAATATTGGGCGATACATTTTGCCTTCCTGTATTATACTTATGCTCAAATCTTTATTCTATTCTACTGAGCCATTTACTGTTCGTATTCTGATCTTTTATTATTTATTATTGTTGTTGCATTGTCAAGAAGGTACCTGCAAGTACGCATTTCGTTGGACGGTGTATACCATGTGTATCCTGTACATACGACTAATACAACTTTAAACTATTTAGGGAATAGGGTGTAATTTGGGATGCACACAGAGAGTTGAGAGTCAGGAACAATGGCAGGGAATTACCATGTGGGCTCCACCCACAAAACCACGGGAGACAATACATTCAACATAAACATCAGACAGCAGATTCACAGAGAGAGCGCTGTGGCTCCACTGCTGCTTTGAACCAATGACGTAGTGTATAAGCCTACAGGGATTTCCTTATAGAGTAGAACATCTTTATTATGGTGGGCCAACAGCCTAGCGGCACACTAGACACCTGTTTTCCTGCCGGGCAAAGGTTGGATGGGTGTCAGTACACTGGAATTACAGGGTCTTTTAAAATAATACACTAGACGCACTTTTCATTGAACTGTGAGAATATCATAAGGTTATCCCGAGTGGCGCAGTGGTCTAAGGCACTGCATCGCAGTGCTAGCTGTGCCACTAGAGATCCTGGTTCGAATCCAGGCTCTGTTGTAGCCGGCCGCGACCGGGAGACCCATGGGGCGGCGCACAATTGGCCCAGCGTCGTCCAGGGTAGGGGAGGGAATGGCCGGCAGGGATGTAGCTCAGTTGGTAGAGCATGGCGTTTGCAACGGCAAACGATTCCCATGGGGGGACATGTATGAGAAAAAAATGTATGCACTCACTAACTGTAAGTCGCTCTGGATAAGAGCGTCTGCTAAATGACTAAAATGTAAATGTAAATGTAAAATGTTATATCTTAGAGAGCTGAGATTCTGTCCGTGTCTGAAATCTGTCTACTACTTACTAAAACAACATACTGTGTACTAATCGTACTACATATTATTTAGAACATGCTGTTTAGTAAAAACGAATGCAGTAAACAACAAATATAATCCATCCTGAGAATGCGTCATCTAATCAGATGAAATTGTATTTGCGTCGAATACAACAGGTGAAATGCTTGCTGGAGGAATTCCGATATGACGTCATTGTTTTTAGCGCTATCCACAGGGTTCTTAAACTACAGCGCGCAACATGGTTCAATGTGCCAGTAAATCAGCACAATCTACATTTTTGTTTTTTCAAATTGCCGCCGTCTTGGAGCTAGAATTGGGATCATGTATACTGTGCTAATGCCGATACAAAAGAGTAACGGAGAGCAATGTACAATATGGCGAACTTAGCAAACAAGTAATTTGTGGTCACAACACAACAGATTGGCTCAAACGCTTTAAGGAAAGAAATTCCACAAATTAACTTTTAAGAAGGCACACCTGTTAACTGAAATGCATTCCAGGTGACTACCTCATGAAGCTGGTTGAGAGAATGCCAAGAGTGTGCAAAGCTGTCATCAAGGCAAAGGGTGGCTATTTGAAGAATCTCATATAAAATATATTTTGATTTGTTTAACCCTTTTTTTGGTTAGTACATGATTCCATATCTGTTATTTCATAGTTTTGATGTCTTCACTATTATTCTACAATGTAGAAAATAGTCAAAATAAAGAAAAACCCTTGAAGGAGTAGGTGTTCTAAAACATTTGACCGGTAGTGTACCAAAAATGCCTACTACTTAGAACACAAGTCTAGGTATTGGGACACATAGCCAATATGTACCGGTGACAGCTTAGTAAAGGCAAGCTATTTCATTTGTGAGAACATGTGGCTGCCTTGTGTATGAGTCCCCGAGGGTGAATTTAGATAATGTGCCTTCCATTTACACACAGTTTCTTATTACAACCAAGTCTACGGCAACACAATCCTCCTCTCTTCCCACTCTCCTTTACCTCACCGTCAGGAGGCCATTGTCTTTCATTTCCCATCTGGGTCATCGTATTTATCAGGCACCAAACGGAAGAAAGCAGACAAACAGGGAGGGACTACCTGAACTTGTCCAATAAAAAAGGCTCATTTTCAACTTCAAAACATTTTGGTACGGTGTGCCATAATGAATATTACCCTGAATACAGACAAGCGTCTCCCTATGTACCCTTTCCCCTTCCTCTGTCTCTCAGGTAAGTAAATGGAGAACTGACACTGTGTAGCCAAACCTCTCTAGGTGCCATGACCATTGAGATAAAACTGTGTTCTGTCTCTACTGCCATGAGTCCGATCATGTAGCCTAGCTAGTCTAGGTGATGATGATAGCCTCCTCAGGACATTCGGATGAAGATAAAGCTCGAAGTTGTAAGCTCATAGTCGCTCTACGGTAGCTACTAAAGATGATGTGAAACTGAGGCACGTGACTATATGCAGGTGTGGACAGACAGACATCTGGCAGTTGTTGCAACTTCAGGTTTTCAGGAAACCACAAAAAGATGTCCTCATTCTGAGAATTTCTGAGTTACTGTTACTCAACACAGAGACAACACAAGGGGAGGAAAATGGAAATTCACAGATAAAAGTAGGCCTAAAGCAACCGGAAGAAAATTGAAGGGAAGACATACACTATATATACAAAAGTATGTGGACACCCCTTCAAATTAGCAGATTCGGGCTGTTTCAGCCACACCCGTTGCTGACAGGTGTATAAAATCGAGCACACAGCCACGCAATCTCCATAGACAAACATTGGCAGTAGAATGGCCTTACTGAAGTGCTCAGTGACTTTCAACGTGGCACCATCATAGAATGCCACCTTTCCAACAAGTCATTTCGTCAAACTTCTGCCCTGCTAGAGCTGCCCCAGTCAACTGTACGTGCTGTTATTGTGAAGTGGAAACAATTGTCTGTCCTCAGTTGCAACACTCATTACAGTGTTCCAAACTGCCTCTGGAAGCAACGTCAGCACAATAACTGTTCGTCAGGAGCTTCATGAAATGGGTTTCCATGGCCGAGCAGCCGCACATAAGTCTAAGATCACAATGTGCAATAACAAGCGTCGGCTGGAGTGGTGTAAAGCTTGCCGCCATTGGACTCTGGAGCAGTGGAAACACGTTCTCTGGAGTGACAAATCACGCTTCACCATCTGGCAGTCCGACGGACAAATCTTGGTTTGGCGGTGCCAGGAGAACGCTACCTGCCCCAATGCATAGTGCCAACTGTAAAGTTTGGTGGAGCAGGAATAATGATCTGGGGCTGTTATTCATGGTTTGGGCTAGGCCCCTTAGTTCCAGTGAAGGGAAATCTTAATGCTACAGCATACAATGACATTCTAGATGATTCTGTGCTTCCAACTCTGCGGCAACAGTTTGGGGAAGGCCCTTTCCTGTTTCAGCATGACAATGCCCCCGTGCACAAAACAAGGTCTATACAGAAATGGTTTGTCGAGATTGGTATGGAAGAACTTGACTGGCCTGCACAGAGCCCTGACCTCAACCCCATCGAACACCTTTGGGATTAATTGGAACGCCGACTGCGAGCCAGGCCTAATCGCCCAACATCAGTGCCAGACCTCACTCTTGCTTGTGGCTGAATGGAAGAATGTCCCCGCAGCAATGTTTCAACATCTACTGGAAAGCCTTCCCAGAAGAGTGGAGGTTGTTATAGCAGCAAAGGGTGGACCAACTCCATATTAATGCCCATGATTTTGGAATGAGATGTTCGACGAGCAGGTGTCCACATACCTTTGGTCATGTAGTGTATCTATCTGGCTAGTTAGCGACATCTACAGATAATGTTTGAGATAAAACTGTTCCGTCTCTACGGCCATTAGTCCCATCACCTAGCTACTCTAGGTGATGATAGCCTCCTCAGCTCATGGGAATGAAGATAAAGCTTAAAGTTGTGTCCCAAATGGCCCCATATTCCCTTTATAGAGTACTACTGGGGCCATTTGAGACCCAGCTCTAGTCTGGATGAGGAGTAGCCTGGACTGTCCGGGGTTGATCTCTCCCTTCTGGATGACAACCTCCAGACTAGTAGTCGGTAGTCTGTATTGGTTGGACCACCAGAACGGTACACAACTCATGGAGTCCAACCAAAACACAGACTACATTGTTTTCCCAAAGCTACCTCCAGAACTGACCTTGGCACTCACAGCTAAGCCTAGGCCAGAGTCAGTCGCCGAACTGACCTTGGCACTCACAGCTAAGCCTAGGCCAGAGTCAGTCGCCGAACTGACCTTGGCACTCACAGCTAAGCCTAGGCCAGAGTCAGTCGCCGAACTGACCTTGGCACTCACAGCTAAGCCTAGGCCAGAGTCAGTCGCCGAACTGACCTTGGCACTCACAGCTAAGCCTAGGCCAGAGTCAGTCGCCGAGCTCAGTGTGTGTGTGTCGCTCTATGGTAGATACTAAAGATGTGAAACTGAGGCATGTGACTCTATGCAGGTGTGGACAGACTGTCTGACAGACAGACAGACATCTGGCAGTTGTTGCAACTTCAGGTTTTCAGGAAACCACAAAAAGACCAGGGAGAGATTTCCTCATTCTGAAAATGTCTGAGTTACTGTTACTCTACACCAGTCCTTCTCAAATAGTGGGGCGCGCCCCCCTGGGGGGGCTCGGAGCGATGCCAGGGGGGGCGCGTGTGACCCCGGGGAACATGCTTTTTTTTGCCGCAGGGAGTAGTTTTTTTTTGCACCGAACAAGAGCACACAGCACAGAGCAGGAGATATGAAGTGCAGATAACAAACCCTTAAGAGACACCATGGAAACATATCTAACAGGGATGAAAAGAAAGACGGAGATAATGAGACAAAGTCTCCCGAAAACTAAGACGAGGAAATATGACGAAGCGTATGTAGCGCTTGGCTTCACTGTGACTACGGTGGGAGACGAGGAAAGACCGGTATGTTTACTGTGTCTAAAAATGTTGGCAGCGGACAGCATGAAGCCAAATAAATTAAGGCGTCACTTAAAGACATTACACCCCAATCACGCTGCTAAGCCTCTTGAGTTTTTTCAGCGAAAACGTGCCGAATATTGCCAACAATCGTCCCGCTTTGTGAATGCTACTTCAGTAAACAGCGTCATATAAGGTGGCGTACCAAATTGCTCAGTGCAGAAAACCCCACTCCATAGCAGAGGAGTTGATACTGCCTGCAGTATTAGACATGGTCTCTGTCATGCTGGATGACGCAAGTGCTGCAAAAATAAAAACTATCCCTCTGTCCAATGACACTGTCGCCAGACGTATAGATGACATTGATAACGATCTTAAAGAACAGCTGGTAAACTCAAAGACAAACTTTTTGCCTTACAGTTCGATGAAGCAACTGACAGCAACAAAGACTGTTTATCGTTTATGTACGTTTTGACATGACAAACTCCCTGTGTGAGGATCTACTTTTTTGTAAATATGTCAGAGACAGAGCCACAGCTGAAGAGCTATTCAAAATGCTGGACTACTTCCTGACTGAGAATGGGCTAAAGTGGGAGAACTGCATTGGTGTTTGCAGTGATGGTGCACAGACCATGGCAGGGATGAGAAAAGGACTTCGGGCACTCATCAAGAAGGCCTCACCTAATGCTGAGTGGACACACTGTGTTATACACAGAGAAGCACTGGCATCAAGGCACCTTTCCTCTGAATTAAGTGAGGTTATGACTGACATTGTAGGTGTAGTCAATTTCATAAAGACCAGACCACTAAAAACAAGAGTCTTCTCTGCTATCTGTGAGGAGATGGGAGCTGAACATCAAGCTGTGCTGTTTCACAGTGAAGCAAGGTGGCTGTCATGAGGAAACGTCTTGTCCCGAGTTTTTGAGCTCAGAGAGCAGATAAGAATGTTTTCGGAGCAGGAGCACAAGTATGACCTCGCAGAAAAATGTAGTGATGAGAACTTCCTGGCAAAGCTGGCCTACCTGAGTGACATATTTGGAAAGCTAAATGAACTAAATCTACAGCTTCAAGGGAAAGATAAACACCTCCCTCAGGTCACAGACAAGATCAGCTCTTTCACTCGAAAGCTTGCAATGTGGGGCAGGCGACTTGATGAAGGAAATACTGATTCATTCGAGAACCTGCATGAATTTGTTGACACTACTGACTATGATGCCACCTCAGTGATTCCATATATTAAGGAGCATATTTCATCACTGATGGGATTCTTTAAAAAGTACTTCCCTGAAAACAGTTCCCAATATGACTGGGTGAGAGATCATTTCAATGCACCAGCTCCAACTGGTTTCAGCTCTGCAGAGGAGGACCAGTTCATTGATATCACGTCTGACTCCACATTGAGACTGAGGTTCACATCACAGACATTGAGTGAATTCTGGCTGAGTGTAGAGAGGCAGTATCCACTCTTAGGGCAGAGGGCTAAGAGTGGATACTGCCTCTCTTTGTGAGACTGGCTTCTCTGCTGTTGCTGCACTGAAGACCAAGTACAGGTCCCAGCTAAACATTGAGCAGGAGCTGAGAGTTGCAGTATCACGCTTCAAACCCTGCTTCGAAAAGCTGTGCACTGCAAAACGTGCTCATTGTAGCCATTAATCCTGACTTCCTCATTTTTATAAAAATAAAAAAAATAATCAGCTCAAATTGTTTTATTCATTTTTGTTTTATAGGTCAAAGTGTTTCATATATTGTGCTCCTGAGTTAATGTTGCTGATCAATTTGAATGTATTGTTATTTATTGATTATATTTTATTTTATTTTTCAGTATCAAATGGTCAAAAAATGTTTACAGTTTAAATAAGGGTTGCATTTTTTTTTTTTCAGGCAAATTGATGCACTTTAAGTATTTTCTGTTACAATGTTAATAAAGTTATTCTTTGTTGTAAGTTGATCTATATTTCTTTCTTTTTTATTTTCTTTAATGTTAATAAGGATACAATGTTATGCAGAGGTGTACATATAACAATTTTATAGACAAATTATACTATTTACAGTCGTGGCGGAGAGTTGGGGGGCGCGAAATGTTTACTTCTTCCTAGGGGGGGGCGTAACAGAAAATAATTGAGAAGCACTGCTCTACACAGAGACTTGACAACACATGGGGGGGACAATTGAAATTCACAGATAAAAGTAGGCCTAAGCAACCGGAAGAAAATGGAAGGGGGGATGTTTGTTTTACATCGCTTACATGTGCTGGCTGAACTTAACTTGCACGCTGATGTTTATTATGTAACCTTCGCCATGACCATAATGTTATCAAATGACATTATGAAACTATTCGTAAGCAACAATCAGATTACAACAGAAAACGTGTTGCTATAATATCTGACGCACGCTATCAAAATGACAACATAGCCTTTTCCTACATTATGAAAGAACACGGAAACATTGTGTACGTAAAGACTGGCTGCACGCACACATCACTGCCACGAGAAGAGGTTGGCTAACCGAGTTTTCCCTCATCGTGGAGTTGAAATACCCAGCTAGAGGTTGGCATGTGAACGCTGTCATTATGTCTGACGAAGAAAAACAATGTTGTCTCTCTTTTTCTTCTCCACTTAAGTTCCACAACAGTCGTATCTTACCCTCGCCTTCGATCCCGTGTACGGAAGAATCGGTCTGATATTCGGGTGAAAACCCCGGCCAGGGCCGGTGTGTACACACAGTACACCAGCTTCCTCCACGACATGGGAGCCGCCATCATTACAGCGGTTTCTATCAACCCCAACTTTATCAACACACTGCCTTCGAGGGCATGCGCACTGCACATCATGTTCTGCACACAATGTTCAACATACAGAGTACAACAGTTTGAGTCATAATACCCATCAAACCTAGCGATCAAACCCAGAATTGGTTCCAATCGTTTTTTCACCATTCATTTGATGCATTGTGGATTTTAGAAACACTTCAAATAAGGGCTGTGTTTCGTGTAGGCTTAGACTGGCGTGACGTTTTTTAATAACCGTGTAAATCTCTCTAGAACAAGGTGACTTTTATCAATATATTCGGCTCTATTTACTCTCAGATTCGAAAAAGCTAATTAGCATCAAAGTAGACATCATGCAATACTACAAATGGACTCTTCACAGACTGTATCGTGTGGGCGAGCGGTTTGCTGATGTCAATGTTGTGAACAGAGTGCCCCATGGGGGCGGTGGGGTTATGGTATGGGCATGCAGGCAGGCATAAGCTACAGACAACAAACACAATTATATTTTATCAATGGCAATTGGAATGCACAGAGATGCCATGCCATTCATCCACCGCCTTCACCTCATGTTTCACCATGATAATGCACGGCCCCATGTCGCAAGGATCTGTAAACAGTTCCTGGAAGCTGAAAATGTCCCAGTTCTTCCATGGCCTGCATACTCACCAGACATGTCACCCATTGAACATGTTTGGGATGCTCTGGATCGACGTTTACGACAGCGTGTTCCAGTTCCAACCAATATCCAGCAACTTTGCACAGCCATTGAAGAGGAGTGGGACAACATTCCACAGGCCACAATCAACAGCCTGATCACCTCTATGTGAAGGAGATGTGTCGTGCTGCATGAGGCAAATGGTGTCACACCAGATACTGACTGGTTTTCTGATCCACGCCCCTACTTATTTTTTAAAGGTATCTGTGACCAACAGATTCATATCTGTCTTCCCAGTCATGTGAAATCCATAGATTAGGACCTAATGAATTATTTCAATTGACTTATTTCCTTATATGAACTGTAACTCAGTAGAATCTTTGAAATTGTTGCATGTTGCGTTTATATTTTTGTTCAGTGTAGTAGCGGTTAACAGCATTGGGCCAGTAAATGAAAGGTTGCTGGTTCGAATCCCCAAGGTGGAATAGTCTGCCGTACTGCTCTTGAACAAGGCAGTTTACCCCCAAAAACAATTGATCCCCGGGTGGCGATGACGTGGACCTCGATTAAGGCAGATTTCCCCCGCACATTTCTGATTCAGATGGATTGGGTTAAATGTGTAAGACACATTTCGGTTGAATGCATTCAGTTGTGCAACTGACTAGGTACTGTACTCCCTTTTATACAGAACATGTAAACATCTGAATTTAAGTAAACATTAAATTAATTATTCATCAATGCCACAAACCTGTAACCAGTGGTGTAAAGTACTTAAGTAAAAATACTTGAAAGTACTACTTAAGTCGTTTTTTGGTTATCTGTACTTTACTCTACTATTTATATTTTTGACAACTTTTACTTCACTACGTTCCTAAAGAAAATGATATACTTTTTACTCCATACATTTTTTCTGACACCCAAAAGTACTCGTTACATTTTGAATGATTAGCAGGACAGGAAAATGGTCACTGCCTCTGATCTAGTGGACTCACTAAACACATGCTTAGTTTGTAAATTGGGTCTGAGTGTTGGAGCGTGCCTGGCTACAGTGCCTTGCAAAAGTATTAATTCCCCTTGGTGTTTTTCCTATTTTGTTGCATTACAACCTGTAATTTAAATTGATTTTTATTTGGATTTCATGTAATGGACATACACAAAATAGTCCAAATTGGTGAAGGGAAATGAAAAAAATCACTTGTTTAAAAAAAATCTACAAAATTAACAACGGAAAAGTGGTGCATGCATATGTATTCACCCCCTTTGCTATGAAGCCCCTAAATAAGATCTGGTGCAACCAATTACCTTCAGAAGTCACATAATTAGTTAAATAAAGTCCACATGTGTGCAATCTAAGTGTCACATGATCTGTCACATGATATCAGTATATATACATCTGTTCTGAAAGGCCCCAGAGTCCTGTTCTGAAAGCCACCACCAAGCAAGGGGCACCATGAAAACCAAGGAGCTCTCCAAACAGGTCAGAGACAAAGTTGTGGAGAAGTACAAATCAGGGTTGGGTTAAAAAAATGTATCCGAAACTTTGAACATCCCACGGAGCACCATTAAATCCATTATTTAAAAAATTGAAATAATATGGCACCACAACAAACCTGCCAAGAGAGGGCCGCCCACCAAAACTCACGGACCAGGCAAGGAGGGCATTAATCAGAGAGGCAACAAAGAGACCAAAGATAACCCTGAAGGAGCTGCAAAGCTCCACAACGGAGATTGGAGTATCTGTCCATAGGACCACTTTAAGCCGTACACTCCACAGAGTTGGGCTTTACGGAAGAGTGGCCAGAAAAAAGCCATTGCTTAAAGAAAAAACTAAGCAAACACGTTTGGTGTTCGCCAAAAGGCATGTGGGAGACTCCCAAAACATATGGAAGAAGGTACTCTGGTCAGATGAGACTCAAATTGAGCTTTTTGGCCATCAAGGAAAACGCTGTCTGGCGCAAACCCAACACTTCTCATTTAAATGTTTCCCCTTAAACCACTTGAGTGTTGCTTTATCAGTATGCTTAGGGTCATTGTCCTGCTGGAAGGTGAACCTCCGTCCCAGTCTCAAATCTCTGGAAGACTGAAACAGGTTTCCCTCAAGAATTTCCCTGTATTTAGCGCCATCCATCATTCCTTCAATTCTGACCAGTTTCCCAGTCCCTGCCAATGAAAAACATCCCCACAGCATGATGCTGCTACCACCATGCTTCACTGTGGGGATGGTGTTCTGCGGTGATTAGAGGTGTTGGGTTTGCGCCAGACATAGCATTTTCCTTGATGGCCAAAAAGCTCAATTTTAGTCTCATCTGACCATAGTACCTTCTTCCATATGTTTGGGGAGTCTCCCACATGCCTTTTGGTGAACACCAAACATGTTTGCTTATTTCTTTCTTTAAGCAATGGCTTTTTTTCTGGCCACTCTTCCGTAAAGCCCAGCTCTGTGGAGTGTATGGCTTAAAGTGGTCCTATGGACAGATACTCCAATCTCCGCTGTGGAGCTTTGTAGCTCCTTCAGGGTTATCTTTGGTCTCTTTGTTGCCTCTCTGATTAATGCCCTCCTTGCCTGGTCTGTGAGTTTTGGTGGGCGGCCCTCTCTTGGCAGGTTTGTTATGGTGCCATATTCTTTCCATTTCTTTATAATGGATTTAATGGTGCTCCGTGGGATATTCAAAGTTTCTGATTTTTTTTATAACCCAACCCTGATCTGTACTTCTCCACAACTTTGTCCCTGACCTGTTTGGAGAGCTCCTTGGTCTTCATGGTGCCGCTTGCTTGGTGGTGCCCCTTGCTTAGTGGTGTTGCAGACTCTGGGGCCTTTCAGAACAGGTGTATATATACTGAGATCATGTGACAGATCATGTGACACTTAGATTGCACACAGGTGGACTTTATTTAACTATATAAACGCAACATGCAACAATTTCTAAGATTTTATTGAGTTAGAGTTCATATAAATCAATTGAAATAAATTCATTAGACCCTAATCTATGGATTTCACATGACTGGGTATACAGATATGCATCTCTTGGTCACAGATACCTTGGATCAGAAAACCAGTCAGTATCTGGTGTGGCCACCATTTTCCTCATGCAGGGCAACATATCTCCTTCACATAGAGTTGATCAGGCTGTTGATTGTGGCCCGTGGAATGTTGTCCCACTCTTCTTCAATGACTGTGCAAAGTTGCTGGATATTGGCGGGAACTGGAACACGCTGTCGTACACATCGATCCAGAGCATCCCAGACATTTCTGATGAGTATGCAGGCCATGGAAGAACTGGGACATTTTCAGCTTCCAGGAATTGTGTACAGATCCTTGTGACATGGTGCCGTGCAGTATCATGCTGAAACATGAGGTGATTGCGGCCGATGAATGGTATGACAATGGGCCTCAGGATCTCGTCACGGTATCTCTGTGCATTCAAATTAACATCGATAAAATAAAATTGTGTTCATTGTCCGTAGCTTATGCCTGCCCATACCATAACCCCAACACCACCATTCTACGGTTGTGCAAACCCACAGTTTCATCAGCTGTCCAGGTGGCTGGTCTCAGACGATCCAGCAGGTAAAGAAGCCGGATGTGGAGGTCCTGGGCTGGCGTGGTTACACGTGGTCTGTGGTTGAGGCCAGTTGGATGTACTGCCAAATTCTTTAAAACGACATTGGTAGAGAAATTAACATTACATTCTCTGGCAACAGCTCTGGTGGACATTCCTGCAGTCAGCATTACAATTGCGCGCTCCCTCAAAACTTGAGACATCTGTGGCATTGTATTGTGTGACAAAACTGCACATTTTAGTGGCCTTTTATTGTCCCCAGCACAAGGTGCACCTGTGTAATGATCATGCTGTTTAATCAGCTTCTTGATATGCCACACCTGTCAGGTGGATGGATTATCTTGGCAAAGGAAATGTTCACTAACAGCGATGTAAACAAATTTGTGCCTAAAAATTTGAGAGAAATAAGTTTTTTGTGCGTATGGAACATTTCTGGGTTATTTTATTTCAGCTCATGAAACATGGGACCAACACTTCACATGTTGCATTTATATATTTTTTCAGTGTAATAGCACTGCTAACATATTTTGGGTTAACTATTTAAACTCCAAGCACAGATAGGACACATGGAAAATAATTTCCTTAGGCATTAATCATGCAAACACATTTATTGTGACATAGCATTAGTGAGATTTGAAGCTATAATCTTCTGTTCTCTATCCATGGAATTAGTCCACTGTGCCACCAGGATTGAGGTAGCATGCCATGTTTTTTTCACATACAAAGCTGTTCATTTTAGTCTATTCAAACAGACCCCATTTCAAAAGAAACAC